CAAGGATGAAGACGTCTTGCAGGACAACGAGTTCAGGGTTCTGAGGGAGCTGGAGCCGGTGTTGGCGGTCAGTACCCATCAATCGTTTAGACGTTCAAACGTTTGATGACACGTTTGACGTTCAAACGTCTGAACGTCCGAACACTCTTAACGGACAATAACTGATCATCCGTTCTGTTTACTCAATGTTACACAGCTGATGAACGCCGCCACCAAGAGGTTCTCGAAGTCGACCGCCATCAAGATCGACAACACCTCGATCGCCGGCGTCATCCCGGTCATGGACGCCCTCACGTCCAAGTTCGATCAAGCCCGTTCGAACGCGAAGTCCCTGGCTGTATCGTACGGCATCAAGCGAGGTCAAGAACTGCTTGATAAGTACTACAGCAAGACGGACGAAAGCGTTCTGTATCGGATCGCCCTCCGTGAGTTCGGAACGTTCTAGGCCGTTCAAACGTTTCAACGATCTAACACGTCAACTGTTTCAAAACGTTCAGTCCTTCACCCCGTTTACCGTGTCGCCTACATGGTCCGAATGAAGTGGGAGTCTGCGTGGATCGAGGAGGCGAAGAGGCTGGGTCGGGAGATGTGGGAGACGTTCTACCACGTCGAAGGCCTCGAAGAATCGGGGCAGGTCGGTGCTGGGATGGAGGTGAGTCTTCCCGTTCAGGCGTTGAACGGTGAACGAGCTGATAACGTTCGAACGTTCTGGACGTTCAGGACGACGACGAGCTCGACGCCTTGTTGGCTAAGGACTCGCAGGCGGATGTTGTGGAGGCCGACGCGTTCGACACCTACATCAACGCTCCCAAGATCGACATCGCCGGTGCGCCGTTCCACGGGTCGTTGTTGTTGTGGTGGGTCCATCAGCCGCCGATGGATGGGTTGAGGCAGATGGCGCTGGATGTTCTTGGAACGCCAGGTAAGCCGTTTGAACGTCTCGGAACGTTTGAACGTCTACAAATCTAAACGTCTAAACGTCTTCCTTTGCAGCCACGTCGGTCGAGGTCGAACGGGCGTTCTCCAAGGCCGGCCTCATGATGTCAACTCGTCGTACTCGACTAGACCCCAACACCTCCCGTTCGCAGATGTTGGTGGGGGACTGGAAGAAGCACGACTTGCTGTCGGAGAAGAGGTGGGTCGAGGCCGTTCAGAAGGAGAAGGCAAACGCGAAGGCCCGTGACCGTTCGGTCGGGCAAACGTTCCCGAAGCCGGTCAAAACGGCCAAGCCTCCTACCGACGTGATCGAGATCAACGACGAGACGGAGGTGATCGACCTCGAGAACAATCCCGGCGGTATGGATATGGACGTTGACGTTTAATAGATGTGTTTATAATGATCGAGGTGGTTTATAATGAACGTTTTGTACTCTGTAACGGCTCGAAACTATGCAACATGTTCACAAGCTTCTTGAACGTTTGAACGTTTAAGCGTTCAAACGTTCTGGCCGTTCAAAACGTTCGACGCTGGGCTAAACGGCTCTGGGAAGGGGTGAACGGCGTTCAGCAAAACGGCGTTCACGTTCACGTTCACGTTCTGGGGATCGCGTGGTAAAAAAACGGCGTTCAGGGCCAAGCCGTTCACGTTTTGAACGGCCTGCCAACACTACAGTACTACAAGGTACTAGTTAGATGTCTACGAGAACATCTCCTAAAAGGTCTCCGAGAGGGTCTCCGAGAGGGTCTCCGAACGAGACCCCGAGGCGACGCGCACCGTAGGTCGCGCGTCACGTGACGCCTATAATAGCAAGCCTGGAATAGTGTCACACGGGACTAGAAGGTAAGGGTAAGGTAATGGATGTTAACGGATGTAGTACAACTAGTACTACATTACAGTAAACACATAGGGGTGTTCTAGATATACTCCGTACGGAACTCCCATCGCAGGTCCCTGTAAAACTACCCGACGCGGTTGTGCAATACACGTACCACGGATGCTATAACATGATCAGGGTGAATGCTTGGCAGACCATCCCAGACCATCTCCGCAGACGTGCTTGACGTTGACAAGACCTACAAATACTCCAACCATGACATCCACCATCACGTCAGCGAAAGTTTATATCATTCCGACAGATATAATCTTCAGTGTTGGTTATCGAACAACACCACACTAGACTTTCCCAAGGCATTCCAGTTGGGCGTGACCAAAGCGGCCAGAAAAGCGTCAAGGAACTTGTTCTCCAAACCGATCTTCGAGGATGCTTCTTACATCTGCCCGTGATGTGATCCTCACAAGAAACAAAACTCGAATCAGATTATCTTTCATATTGAAGAAGCACACAAGGACAAGGTCCCTGAACGTCTTCACGGAGGATTTTTCGATTTCCCGGATCATCAACGCGGGCATAACCAATTCTCTAGCCGTAAACAACCTTCTAAAAATCTGGCCGACGATGTTCTCAAGCGAAAGGCGGGTCCCGCTCCTAGTCTTGACATGGGATTGGCCGATATGACCTCTGCGGCCTCTGATTACGTCGACCTTCCGATTTTGGACCAAATGACATCGACAATTGGGAAGAAGAAGATGCCATTAACCTAGGGGAAGACACCATCGACTTTCGAGAAGACGCCATGGACCTCGATATTGAGGCCGCGGAAGAGGTTGAGTGGCAGATCCAGCGAGCGCTCGACCGCGAGGGTGGAAGAGGTTGAATGGCAGATCCAGCGAGGGTGGAAGTACCGTTCTGATACATCTGATTCCCCCTCATCCAGAAAAGACATGCAGTTTCAACTCGATGCAGAACACGTCCTTTAGTATTACGGATAAGGTCGATCCAGCGTGCCGCTACACTTCTACCACCTCCGGGACCGACTGTGACCCACTACCCGTACTTAACAAAGTGCTGCTTCCGGAGTTCCTTGGTGCAGTTCAAAAGCCGCTCCTGCGTACGCCATCATCAATCCCCACGTACAGTAGTATCAACCTGTACCGTGTCTATTCCGGTTCACATATCGATCTGGCGCACAAGGGAAACCCTGCATGGGAACCGCACCTGATATGTGAGGAGCTCGAAATAGGCTCTTACGGTCGCTGCGATACGGTAACCGGGCGGGTACAGTAGCTACTTACGTCGCTGTTAATTAAACAGTGACCCATGTGATGCCTGCCCTTGCCGAAGTGATGATTGATCGGTGTCTTGGCGAGTTTTAACCGATCAATCTCGGATCCGGGAGAGGAGGTGATTGATCAAAAGGGAGGGCGAGGGAAGAGCATATCCTTTGGACCTCTTCGATGATCTACTCAATCCGAAAGATCAAGATCCGACTCGAGAACGACTTGCGTGTCTGAACTACACCATGTCGTAACACGAACGACCTAGCCACCTAGCCATCAACCTAGAAGAATTCGCCGATCCCGCGCCGCCTTCCCCCTTCCCTCCGAGATGCGTCGTCAAGAGACCCTCTTCCGATTCCTTCTCGCCATCTCACCTTTAATCCTCACCATCATCTCTCACTTGACCTCGAGGTCAAGTCTCCATCTCACGTTCCCTAACCTGGCATTCACCCCACGAGCTCTCCTCTACAACAACGATGGTCTCGGGAGATTGTTACCGATCTTGTTCTCGCCCTGGAGCGTCGCGGAATCGGTACCAATCGCCATCTCCAGGTTCGGGCAGTGTGTCGTCCTCGTACTGCTCCCGACCTTCATCACCAGCAACAGCAGCTCTTCTTCCACCACTTCGACTTCGACATTGTTAAGGATCATAACGACCACCTACCTCCTCAACACCGTCACTCTCCTCATCCGGACGCTGGTAGGGTTCATTCTCACCCGGTCGGTAGGATGGATGTACCCGGAGTGGTTTTACCATTGGGCGCTGTACGAAGAGAGTTCGGGCTTCGGAGCCGGGTTGGTGGTGTACCTGGCAGTGGTTGCGGTCGGGGGTGGGGGTGGGGTCGGATTCGGTGGTAATAGCAATAATATCGGGGACAGGGATAGCGGATCCGACAAAGAAAGGACGGGCACGATATCATCTTCATCGACAACAACATCACTACCCTCAACCTCATCATCCTATCGCTCACAAACCCGCACCTCTACCCCTGGAACACCAATAATAACAACAACAGCCACCATCGTACTCGGCACCCTCTTCTTCTGGCTAGAAGACCGTCCATGGACATACCTCTCGGCTCTGGTCGTCATCGTATGTGGATGGACATTACGAATCGGAGTAGGGGTATGGTGGTTGACTGTAGGGTCCGGTCTGGGCGGTACGGCTAGGGCTAGAGCTGAGGCGAGGGAGAGGAGGACGGGGAGTGTCGAGGGACGGATGGTGGGGGAGGAAGAGGAGGGGTTGGCTTTCATCCAGCGAGGTACGAATACGGACGTCGAGATGGATCTGGACTCTGAGGACAAGGCACCCACCTCGACCGACGTAAGAACAGGAGCGAAATCGTCGTCTACATCCGGATCAACATCGACATCAACATCGACAAGGTGGTCACCCTGGAAGAGATACCTCATCCTACTCGGAACCTCATTTCTCAACGCCGTCATCTACCACCACCTTCTCGTCACCCATTATCCTCCTCATTCTCAGTACCTCCCGCTCCCACCACCTCCATCGCATCCATCTTCGACAACAAAAGGACCAACCCGACCACTACTGGAAATCCTCATCCTCTCTTACCCCCGCCCTCCCTCCACAGAGGTTTCGGAAAGGCTCTTGACGACGACGTTGGATACGTTCGTCCCGCATACAAAGAAGGGTTGGGTGGGGATCTCGGTGTTTACGCATTCGAGGGACCATGCGGCGATGGAGCGGGTCAGGGAGGCGTATTTGACTAAGAACCACTACGGTCCTGAGAATTCCGGGAGGAGCAACAGCAGCCATAGCAACGCCTCGGATGATATGGACCTGACATTCTACGTGGACGAGGACGATCATCCGGACGACGATCAGGGGCATTACCTGCACCTTTCCGAAGCCTTTCGTTGGATCTCCCAGCGCAGCGAATCGTACCACGGGGGGAAGATGGGCCCGGAATGGATCATGCTGGTAGAAGACGATTTCCCCGTCTGTCCAGGTGGGTGGGGAGCGATCGAGACGGTGGTGAACAAGCTGGAGAGGAGTCGAAGGAGGGGGGTGGTAAGGTCTGGGTTTGTGGGGACCGGAGGCAGGTGAGTCTGGGACGTAACGTCGACAGAAGAATTGAACGACAAGAGAGCTGGTTAGAGTTGGCGCTAACTCGCCGTTCATATTATTCCCGCGTCTTGTTCTAGCGGTCTAATCATACACCACACATACCTCCCCCTCCTCATCCGGATCCTACGCGATCATTCCGCTCTGGATACCCCCTTCCCATCCCACGTTCATCGGTTCGCACCGGACCAGATCGTCCAATCTTGCCTGATCGGGGCTCCTGGGTCGATGTGCGAACGCCGAGCTCGGTACTCCAACCACAACAACCTACACCCCCATGTCGACTCTGAATCTGACGCCGATGATGATGAGGATGGAGAGGAGACGGGGATGATCATCACCAGCCGACTCGTGCTCGATCATATCGGTGGGATGGCGACGACGACCGAGGGCAAGAGGTTGAATTCGGATAGATGGAGGTGTGGATGGAGGCATCCGTTCCACGGGTTCGACGGGGTCGAGGTGGTCGTCGTCGATTAGGTCGGATCGGGATGTGGCAAGTGCAAGAAAGCTGCTCGGGCTGTTTGAATAAGCCAATCACATTGTCGAGAGGGCGAGAGAGACAATATTACACCAAGGAGGTGGAGCAGGCCGAATACTGGCGTGACCCGTACGGCCCGCAAACTTGGGATGCTTGCTTCGGAGCCGGGCAGCATATCCGAGCAACAACCCACCGCCAAACGAAAATCAATAAGCCGATGGTCATCTGAACTTGCACATGGGTACATATCGTCATTTCACAGGATGCTGGTTATACGCGCAGGATCTGCAAAGTCGGACGACGTACTTCGAGCCTACACACTGCTTTATCAGAAGGGACCCTTATGAGACGTAAAATATCTATAGGATATAGCTGAGTCTGTGAACACCCTTTGGGAATGCTATTACAACAACAATGCTACCGCGATCGTATTCCGAACGTAACCTTGCATCCAAACCTGCAATCCTTAAATAACCCTTTTTCAATACTCGTTGAACTTCATCCCTTCCACCCCGGGTCCATGCGTACTCCACCACCTCCTCGCCGCCTTCTTCGCCCGGCGTCTTTCTCCGCTCAACAACCTCAACCCGTTCCCCTCGACCCCGGTCGAGTTGGCCTTGAGCTCGGCTTCGAGGTAAACCTCGTCACAGGCTCGTAAGAGGTCGGTGTAAGGGAGCTTCTCTTTGACGGCGTTGACGAGATGGACGTGCATAGCCGGACCTGGACCCTGGCTATCGAGTATGTCCTCGCCTTCGTGGGAGTCGAGGTCGTCCACCTCGTCCGGATCATTATGATCGTACCCCCGCCCGTCTTTCCGACCGCCGGACCCGACCTCTGGCAACGTATACCCGTTCAACCATCTTTGAGGTATTTCCCAGAACCTTTCTCCGAACCTAGGATCTGATTCCGATTTCAAGATGTCGCAAACGAGGTGTTGATCCGTAGGCGCTTTCTTTTCTGTCAGGATATGTTCTTGTTCCAGTTGCAAGATCGTATGGACGAAGTCTAGGGCGAGGCGTTCGACGTGGTAGATCATGACCCCGTAGTTTAGCCCGTTGTGGTCCTGATTCCCTAGAATCAAAGGAGGTAGAGGTAGCGGGGTAGGTTTCCCGTCGTGGTTCTCGCTATCGTAGTTGCCAGACGAGTAGAGGGACGGAGGAGGTAGATAGTCGGTCAACGGGATCGAAGGGTCCACGATGAACGTATCCACATCGACCACCCATATCCACTCTGCCCGCTCGTCCTTTTCCTTGGCGAGTTCTTCAAGAAGAGCTCTTTCCAGCGCGTACACCTTGTTCATGTACCCCTTTGACTCGACCTTCCCCCATATCCTAGCCCTACCCCACCCCTGTTCCCGTACATAAGGGAAGGAATCCACCTTATACCCGTACCCCCAAGCTTTGGCGTAGTCTTCATGGTTCCTCACAGAAGCTCTGTAGAGCCTGCTCCAAGGACCCAAGGTAGGGGGTTCATACTGCACGATCAACACCCTTGGCATCCCTTCTTCCAGCTGTGAGGCGGTAGCGGGGATGACGGCCCGAGGAGTGTAACGCGGGAAGAACCATGTCTTGTGATGAGGGAGAGTGAAGGTAGGGAGTACGAGGTTGGAGATTTCTTCCAGGTAGAATACGGTCAGAGAGTAGAGGACGAGGCCGAGGAGTACTTTGAGGCGGAAGAGGATGCGGCGGGTCGAGTATCGTCGAGTATGAGCGGGTCGTCGATGATGATAGTCATGGGGAGTAGGGATGACGTCGTACCGAGAGACGGGCAGTGATGTCGAGAGGATTCCCATCTTCAACAATGTCTGAATGAGTGACGACATTCCCTTTGCAAGGTTCGTAGTTGTTGTTGACAATGTCGCTCGCTCGCTCTTTGAACTTGCACACACGTCACTCACTCCCCTTGCCCCTTTGGTGAAACAAAAGAAAAGCGGATGTATCCTAGATATTACTTCCGATCGGATCCGAAATTAAACATCCGGGGTTTCAAGGGGGTGTGAAGTATTCCCTTTGAGTACGCGTTTCAACCCTCACGGTGGCGTACACATCGGCCTGTGTCACGTCACGATGATCAAGAATAATCATGTACTGCTTGCGGGATCAGCAGAGGACTTGCAGGTCAGATCGAAGAAAGCCCGCCCATTATCGATAGATATGCGTTATCATCCGTTGGTACACCTCGTCACAAGCGCGATCCTCGTCGCAGCTCAAAATGAAGCGTCGGAAGAGATAGACCTGGGTTTGATCAATGCTTCTGACAATACCACTGACGCTTTAGGTGTGAGTACAACCTGAATCCAACTGCCTTGACGGCGTAATTTCTTTTGGGCGCTGAAGGACTCACTCACCTTGTCATACTGTATGCTTCCCCTGCTTAGTGGTGGGACCACGGATACGGAGAACCCCTCAACGCGATCATCTCCAACAAATCCCACCCCTCCCTCCTCACCTCCCTCTCCTCCTGGTCCAAACCTTCATTCAACCATTATTTCCTCGCACACTACCTTTCTGACGAATGTCTAGGCCAGAGCGGACCGAACAAGATGTTGGCCGACTTGCATGACGGAAGGGGGATGCAGCCGGAAGTAGGGTTGAAACGATGGACGTATGAGGACGATTACCTCGGGACGTGTATCCAGACTTTCGATGGGGGTTTGCATTTCCGGTATTTCGTTCAGAACACTAGCCATAGCCAGGTCACGCGGGAGTCTGCTACAGGCGGGGCGATCTTTTTGGCGGTCTCTGAGGAACACGACTTGACGAAGAACCACGATATCGTGTTTGATGGGTATAACCTCGGTCGGGATTACCTCGTTGGGAACCTTACGCAACAGCGAATCGAGACCAAAGCATCAGGATTGAATAGTAGTACAGGTAGTCTGGATAGGGTCACGGTGATAGACCCGTCGATTGAATATCAGGGGACCAAGGTGTTCGAAGGGATCACTTACAAGACGTCGGTGAGGTACCATGCGGGTTTGGCTAGGAATACCAGCGGTAAGCCAAATCCCTCGCATATGGTCTCAACGGGTCTCAACTTCGTATTGAGACCACTATACCTGTTGACTAATGTGTCAAATCTGCTTGTTTGTGCGCGCAGACAAGATCAACCACGAAGCCAAGGTTACCACCCCCGGGATCCCGGCTGTGGACGGTTGGGTGGCGGTCATCACTATCGATGTCGACGAGGGGCAGACAGGGTGAGCTCATGACCGCCCTATAATTCTATAATGCCTCCCTGACGCCTCACCTCACCTGATCTCGCTTTGAAATCGCTGTCAGGTCCGCGTCGAGCATGATTATGGGAATGAAAGGAAGACGGGGGTGGATGACGGTGACGTGCTCGATATGTATTTCACTATTCTGGTTGATGTAAACGATCTCTATATGCTGTTATGCTAGATACACATCTATGTTATGCTATGCGACGGAAATGATGCTGTGATAGGGCTCGCCAGTGTCTGGAAAGGGGGATTTTGGGTAGGCCTCGTTTTGCGCCTCGGGATGTCGTGTCGCGTGGACTACGACTACGACCTTGCCATCTCGGACAAAGCTAGGATGACGATCTGAACATGAGGTTGACTGGTATCACACCCGCCTCCTCTCGAAACGAGCCAGTGTTGAGTGTGGGCCATGATCGCTCGACGTTCAGATGGGTTGAGGGGGATGTTTCTGGCGTAGACTCGTTCTTTGATCTTGCTCGTAACTACGAAGCCAGGTCACATCAGGAAGACTTAGCGTGAGCATGTTCAGGCTTGCAGAGCTCAAGGTGGAAGACCTACAGAACTGTACTTCCATCATCCAGTCTTGCATCCCCTTCATCGGTCCGCCTAGTATGGTCATCGGTTCCAGAGCCCTAAAGTAATCAAGCACGACGCAAAATCAGCTTCCTCTTCGAGACGGTCCCCGCGCGGCGCCACCACTCACCTGCCTAAAACCTCCACCCAACGCTCTATCATCATATGCTGAGGTGCGACTACTCCCGCCCTCTTCAACGAAGTGAGATCCCTCGTCACTCCCTTCATCATCATACTAGCATGTTGCCTTACGTGTGGCGGGGCGTGTCCCATAGGATAAGGCGAGGCCATCCCCGAGTGCGGCATAGTAGAGAACGCTTGGTGCGGGACGGGAGGGCGCACAGGTCCCTGTGGTTTCTTGCTGAAGAACCCCATATTGTATCGATTTTAAGGTGTGGTGGCAATATATCCAGCTGTGTGGGTGATAGGTAGAGCAGAGTTATGCAAGGCTTTATGATTCCGATCGGATCGCTCTTAAATGTATTGGGTCGGAGTGATGCTGCTTTCTGGTCTGCTACAGCTGTTGGCTGGGTTCCAACTTCTTGTCGTAAAGATCAAAGGAGGTCCTATCGAGTTGTATGGCGCGGATGGGAGGGAGAGAGAGGGAAGCCGGCAATAGGAATATAGCTTCGGGTCCGATTAGGTATACGTGAGGGTATGGTGGACGCGATCTCGGGGTATGGTATGGGCCAGTTTCTGAAGATGCAAAGAGAGCGCAAGTCGTATTTCGAGGTGAAACATCCCGTCTCACCGCGTCGACTGATTCGCGATCTCGCTTCCCTCTGCTTATCAACTCTTCCCAATCGGCGTCGATCGCGCTCCGATCGTCTTGAATCCCTTTCACCCGTTTCCTGTTGCCATTCTACCTGCTTGTCCCTTTCACCCTGTACATATGTTTGACTGCCCTTTGAAGCTGAAACATCTCCCGTCTGATGAAACATGGCTTGTCCTGTTTCCTTGATCTTCAAGCCTTGAGCTGAGCGAGGTCAGCTAGGGCCAAGCTGTGCACGAACGGTCGAGATGAAACGAAGCGCAAACGGTAAGATTCGCTCGGCAGGTTTCGTTGCCAGGCCGAGGTGCGAAGAGTTGTACATAGCGAAGTTCACGTGAATGGATAGCTGATCCACGTATGAACAAGATGGAAAAGAGGTACATGTCACGTATATTGCTGCGCGAGCACTGCTCGGGTCAGACGACTGCTGTATGCCAGCACGACACGAAGCGAGGGTTCTGCATTCAAGATTTCGCGACAGCTCGAATGTGGTAAGTATAGCTCGAGGGTTTAAGGCCTCAACGCCATCCGTTTGAGGGGTTTCAGTGTAAGATCATTAATTTGCGATAAGTAGCCTGCCTTTATATTACAGAGGAAGCGTCTGGCTATAGATTTGCCTTAAACAGGTCAAGCGACGGGAGCGAGACCCTTTTCGTGCATGTGAGCCAGGAACGGAGTGACGGTGATAGCCCGGTCCCGCATAATGTAGCGACGGAACATCCTTGGTGTCCAGTGACCGGTCTGGTACCCGACAAAGTCCTTGACGGGGACCGCAAAGACCTCTGTAGACCAAATCGGACGTCAGTCTCACACGACACTATCTAGGATGCAGAATCAAAACGACGTACGGTCCAACTCTTCAAGGGTAAGTTTCCTTGTCTCTCGAACATAAAGGAAGATCCACACCAACGCCAGGGTATTGATACCGGCATAGAAACCGACTGTTGCGTATTGGAGTGGATGTCAGCCAGAAAGATCCAACCTGCCCAGTACGAACGAAGCCCTGCGACTTACAGGCACCAATGGGACTGAATGCATCTAGTAGTTTGGGGAAGGTCAAACCCAAGATACCGGCAAAGGTGTTGTTGACCGAGACGGCTTGACACCTAGTGCGCAATGAGATGCAATGCTTCAAGTCGGAATGCGGTAACTAACAATCTCAGAGACCAGTTGCATGAAGACTTACATGGCACTTTCACGATGGATGTTGTCAGAAACCTCAGCCGAGTAGGCAAAAGCTGCGGACAAGTACCGCTTTAGCGCCACAACAGGAGGGCGTCGTGCTGTTATCGATTTGCTTACCGACGGGACCTTCTCCGACACTGTAGAAAGCCGTGAAGAGGTAGATGAACGTGGCCGTCAAGGCCAGCCTGACGTCTCCTTCGACCGGAGCCAAGAAGGACAATCCAGTGCACAGGAGGAATATAGTCATGAAGGGGAAAGTCGATAGCAATAGCGATCGTCGGCCGAAGCTGTCGATTAACCAAACGGCAGGGATGGCAAAGACAAAGTTGACGGCTGATAGGTCGAACACAACGACGTGCGCGTTCAGTTGAGGTTCGACTTTCCTCCAGGCGAGAAACGATATGAGATGACTCACCTCCGAATCCTAAACTAGCGAACAGTGCATTGTCTTGAGATGCCCCACCCTCAACAAATACGGTGGAACTGTAGAAACTGATGACTATTGTATACGAGAGCAATATCACTTAGCGTTCGCTATCCCTCAATGGGTCAAAGTGATCAACTCGGTAGACATACTGTTGATACCGCACATCTGCTGTGCAATCATGACGGTACAAGCGGCCAAGGAGGCTCGCCTGAGTCGTGGAATCTTCCAGCAATCGACGTTACGGCTCCAATATGTTGTGCCGGCAGCCATAGCCTTTTCTTCGATAAAGAGAACGTGACTGTAGTACATGTCACGTGCCGCCTGCAGGGGGTGCTTTCGTAGCCTGATGTAAGAGTTGAAGGCCGCGGCGTATCTACCCTTTTTCATGAGCCACTTGGGGCTCTCGGGACAGAACCAAATTCCGGCAACAAGAGGGACCTGCAGATCGAGTTTGGTTAGAGATGTCAGGACAATTATAACCGCAGCTGTACTTACGGCTGGAATGAAAGCGGATCCGAGCTAACAGAGCGGAGCTCGGTGATCAGCTTTGGCATTTGCAGAACTACACCGCGCGACTGACCTGGAGACGCCATGCGATATTTGGAACATCTTTGACTACCACGTTCGCCGCGAAACCCCTAGAAGACCGCAGATGTTGTCAGAATCTTTGCTGCTCGAGTGCTTGATCCCATGAAGGCAACTTACAAGAAGATACCGAAGCAGACCCCTGACGATATCGAGGCAACCAATCGGTTTAGTCCACGAGCCATATTTCTGTGAGTCCCCACAGAACTCACACAGCTGCCATCCCATGACCAAACCACCTCGGACTCGCGCCGGAGCGATTTCTGAACATAGAAAGCACGATGATCAGTCAGATTTCGCCGCGAGCTCGTCATGGTATAGCTCACCAGCAGAGAAGATTGGGACGGTAGAGTTCTTTGCGCCGAACGCCACGCCCATGAGGAAACGGATGATAAAGAGCTGGTACCAATTTTGACTGCGATGTCGAAATGAGCCAGTATTCTGACTTTGCACGATGTGGATGATGGGCACTCACGCAAAACCCGATCCGATTGGAGTCGCGATAAGGAAGACACCGGTGATGAAAATCTCTCCACGTCGCCTATGTGATTGGGAATAAGAAAAGGTTCGAAGGGAGAACGGAACATCGATCAGCGGATGGAACGAACAAGCTCGAGCGTGATGAAGGGGGCTTACCCGAAATAGTGGTTCAAGGGATCAGATAGCCAACAGCCCCTAAGAGAGAAAAGATATGGTTTGTTCAGCGCCAAGCTACCGTGAGTAAAGTTCCGCTAGGACTCACACAAGACCGGCAGCAAGATAAGGAATCGAGTTGATCAACCCGACGATCCAGAAACTTCGCTCCGAGTCGTCCTGTCAATGCGGATACATCGGTAGTCAGTACGAATGCGCCCGTGGCGAGACCCTTTGCGGCAACAGTTCTTACAGCCAAACCGAATTCTTGAGGGAAACTCAAGTTCGCCCCCTAATGGACCGAGATCATAGGTCATCAGTTTTTTGATTTTCCGAAGGCCATCGGAAAAAGCTCACATTGGATCCAGTTTGATCCCAACCTTGGGTAGCAGCTCCGGTAGCACAGATGAAAACGGTGTACCATAATCCCCAAGAGCCTGCCCATCTGTGATACGGAATGCCCCTGTTCAGTCGACAATCATACTCGTACTCTAGGCAGCGAATCTTACTTGTGGTTGGTCTCGTAGACAAGAGCCTCCTTTTCGTCGTCAGGCAGAGCCATCAGTGTTTCGCGCGACATGGGATCCCTCGCGACGAGAGCGCCCCGCTTGAAGAGGTCCCTGTGCTCGGACAGGCCGTACTCGTCGACGAACTGATCAACATCTCTGAGCATTTGATCGGACGAGATGAGCTGCAAGGCGTCACAACCCGATCTTGTTAGTACGCAAGCGTTGCATCATCCATCGATCAGCCATCACGAGGCTCACGGTCAAGGGATTGACGACTCCGGTCTCGGCGACGGCGTTTTGAATAACTGGATAATCATCGTCGGCCAGCTTGTGCTCCCCGTGGAAGACATCACGAGCCTTGTGTATTTCTACTTTGTCTGCCATCCTCACGAATGTCTCAATGGATAAGCAGAATCGATACGATTTGAGAGCAATTCTTGAGGGGGTTGCACGATGTTTTTGCCTACCTATGCTTTCTCTCTAGATCTCTATATAGCTTTCCGGAAATGCCACCCTCGCGCTTCGTCGCTCCCGGAAATTAGCTGCCCTGGATGTCAGTCACATGCTTCCCGACGTCGGTCTGGAAATCGACTTGGCGTCGATTGATTAGGGTGGAGCACCGTCGTCATTGAACCGGATTTCTCATTGTGAAAAGGCGGGACCCTCCACCTGCAAACTTCCCCTTCTCGGTTGGATGACGAGGCCCCGGGCGTGCCTCCATCGTGGTTTCCCCGATCTCTCCACTGTTGCGGCTGTGGAACTCCATTGCCGCGCCCAATTAGCGATCGCTTTTCACCTCGACCGACGTGTGACTCGCAACGATCGCCCTTGGCATATTCTGACGACCTTGGCGAGTCCGGTAGGTGGCGAAGAGGCTTTTCGGGACTAGACACGGATGAGAAAAACCCGTCATTAGCGCGTGCTCGCCATGTTTTTGTCGAATTCTTCTTGGCTCGGGCAGTTTTCGAATATGCGAACGAGCCGGAGCTGCATTCGATGGATCATGACAGATCATGACGCATCAGGATATGATCATGTGATGTGTATATGCCTAGATGGTTGTCATTACAGTCCTACAACTCGGTCATCGTGAAAAGTCATGAAAATCAGGTCCGACCGCGTTGCAAGCTCGGTCTTGTCGTTATCGTAGCCGTCGAAGCACTCAGCATCTCCTTCCGTCTATCGGGCGTTCCGGCCCTCAAACATTTCCGCAGCCGTGGTTCGCAGATTCCATCCCGCGAAAGGACGTGGTCAGAACTCGCCATCAAGCCGGGCTGATCGCAGCCCAGCCTTGCTTCCTACACTGTGGACATCGCAATGCCGCACGCTCGCTGTCGAGCGGGTGCAGTTCCTCGTTGAAAGTATTCGCTTGAACCAGACATGCCTCGTGAAATCGATGCTCACAAAGAGCATCAAAGGTCGAGAATCCGTTCAGCCGCATCAGTTCTTTGCCGCTGTCGGAGTCTCCGTCAAGATCCGATTGCACGTCAACACGCTTGCAGTGAGGATCATCGCATACGATCCCCAAGTCCCGTTCGCGCTTGTGCAGCCATTGTCGAAGCGAACTTTTGGGCGCCGGTGGGTTCCAAACAGCATCGCTCCTGACATGCACGACATCCTGGGGCGCAAAGGGATTCATGTTCTGCCCAAAGGCAAAAAGCACGGGAGGCATTCTGGGGAGGACCGGGTCGCGGTTGGGTGTCGTTCCAGCATTCGATCGTTGCTCTGCGTCACTATCACTTGGTGTTGTGGCGTTATCACCATGGAGGCGGACAAGGGGTGAATTTGGATCACCCGGCATGTGGACAAGATTCGGAGGTGGATGCGGCATGCGACCAAAATTTGGAGGTGGATGACCGGTTCCGAACGTCATGACGAGCCCGCCCGCCGGGGACGAGGGTGGTTGTCCGCCCGTGGTCCCGAATGGAGTGTTGTTCTGCCCATTTTCAGCAGCTGAAGCGTCGTTGTGAGGGTTTTCCTGACCTCGGCCGTCCCCGGCCAAGAACACGATCGTGAGGTTGCCCATGGGATTGTTCCCAGGATGACCGGGAGGACCAGCGTTGGCTTGAGTACCCATTGTATCCTGGGGACCTTCGGTCTCTGCTCGAGGTGAGGCCGATGCGGGTGCGTTGTCGCCAATGGGCCCTGGATCTACGGCCATAGCGTCGCTCGCTGCGGCCGGATTCGCAGTTGGGACCTCCTCTCCTGGAGCACCGGAAGGAGCACCGGAAGACGCGTTTGCCGCAGCGTTCTGACCTTGATTAAAGTCGCCGTTTGCGGTCGGCACAGGGACCAGGGGCGCAGAAGGTGACTCGCGCATCATCCTCCAAGGCCTGCTTCTCTGTGCTCCAGTGCGATCCAACGCTTCCCGTCGCATTGCTTGTCTCATCGCTGCCCGCGTCGCTCCAGGTCGCAAAGAGTTATCCCGCGATTGACGAGATACGGGTCGGCGAAGCGTGACCGAATGCGGGTCGATGTCGAGTCGGCATGTCGGGCTGCGTGGTGTCCGAGGTGAAGAGACTCGTTTGATCAGCTGGGGAGCAAAAAGATGCAGAATAAAGAGTGTATGACGACTTACCAAGTCGTATGCGTCGCCAACCAAGGCAAAAGACACCTGTAAAACACGCCAACGGCTTGAGCCTTCCTTCGTTTCGTCTCGGTCGAACAGACTAGCGAAACTCACTCTTGGCAAAACATGTGATGACAAGGAAACGCCCTAAACGTCGTGTCCTCCGACTTGCAAACCGGCTTTTGTCCGTCCAACAGCATCTCGACGTCCTGCATCTCAGGCGTATCAGGATCCGACGACCTCGATGCCGAGTCCGTGCTCTCTTCCGGATCGGGAGTCATCGTCGAGCCCGTCGATTCGGGATCCACCTCCACTCCCTCGGTTTCAATCATACCTCCTTGACAAGATCCGTCGTCGCCACGTTTCGTCTCGTCCACCTGGAGTGCCCTTTCTTCCCGATCTCGCTTCGCAGCCTTTTCCTTCTCCTGCTCTTGTTCTTGCTCTTGCTCCCTCTCGAAGATCTCCACGACCGTATCCAAGCAGATCCCACATTGCATCCCTACGACCTCTTCCCCCTCCCCCTCTCCCGCCTTGACTCTAGCATCCCTACTCTCGACCTCGCAAAGCCTTACCAACCGCCTCAACACTCCCTTGCCAGGATCCTTCAATCCCTTTAAGAGTTCCTCGGCTCGCTCCGGGTCCGAACGCGGCGAAGCGTGGGATTGCAAGAAGGGGAAAGCGTGGAGGTGGAGGTTATTGGCGAAATGAGCGAATTGGCGTTGAAAGGTCGCTCGGGGGTCGGTAGGGGGTTGGTCAGGTGTGGGTTGTTGAGCTTGAGCGTTGGGGTCGGGCGATGCTGAGCCTGATCTAGATCCGCTGCCACTATTGTTGTTCTGACCGCTCTCATTCTCGCTGCCATTGCCAGTCTCGTTCCGACCCATACCCGTACCACCAGCTGCAGGACCTCCAGCGGCGGCAGCGGCATCGACACCTCCCCCACCTCCAGCACCACCGCCTGCATTCGAAGCGTTCATAGCAGCCATCATCCCCATCAACAACGACTGTAACCCTGGAGGGAGCGGCATAGGCTGATGTGTAGGTTGCGGTTGGACAGGTAGATGCGCATGAGCGAGGGAAGGAGCGGGAGGAACAGGTCGATCTTCCGTTTGATTTTGAATTTGGTTTTGGGTTTGGGTTTGATCTTCGGCTTGGGCAAGACTGTTTTCGCCTAGGCTCTGGATGTCGTCCTGGATCGACGTTGGACCCCCATCGTGTTGCTCGAGTCTAGCCGTTGATGTTGTCGGTGTCGATAATGTAGGTGCAGTAGCACGTATTGCCCGCTCTCTGCGTGCAGCAAAAGGACGTCTTCGCGGTGTCGACGTAGGTTCAGGCCCGTCCGCCGACAAGTTCGACAAGATCCCGGCGATATCGATAGGTCTGTCCATGTCCATCCCCATGTCTGCGCCCATGCTCATGTCCATGTTCATGTCCGGGCCCGTGTTCGTGTTCGTATTCATATTTGGACCTGGTTCAGGTTCAACATCGAAGGGCGATGAGGTAGAAGTCGATCCAGAGTATTCAGTCGGGGTCGAGCTTGGGGCTGAAGAGGCGGCGGTCGCACGAGAGCTAGAACCTGGACCCGAACTTGAACTCGATCCCGCTTCCAATCCCGATCCCGATCCTGATGCTGATGCCGAGTCTGGTCCTAGTGGAGAACCCTGTATCCTAGCTTCCCCATCAACCTCGTTCCTATCTGAAGAAGAACCACCGACAGCCGGGGACTGCGATTGTAAGAGATCTGGCGTCCAAGGTCGGTGGGGAGACATTGTAAAGTCGCCCGACGCAAAAGTTTGCACAACCTGAAAGCGAGAAAATCTGTAGGTATCGACTTCGACCTCCGAGCCTAGGTAACCTTGGGGAGGGTCTACAAAGGAGAGCAGGTATAGGTGTGAAGTGGAGTGGAGTGGAGGTAAGGTAAGGTGTGACAAAGGTCAGTTTCCGAGTGATGCAGCTTGCAACAAGACAAAAAGATATAGCTTACCAAGATACGATTCGAGGATGAATCACCTGGCTTGTGATTGTCAGATCGATCAGACGAATCGAGGTAGCGAGGTGAGCGATGACAAAGGCGATCCTATATGGATGACGAAGGTTGGCAGGTTGACGTCGGTGCCGAGTGGAGCTGACAACTATCGCTATATCGGACTCGATCAGAAGCACTGTACTGCAACTAATGAACTCTCGAGCGGCAAGAAGTAGGGCTTGTCGTGGTATTGGTGGTGATGTCTTGCGGACGATGGGAGTGGCAACGAATACAAAGACGATTGGTTGATAGGTCGATGCATCCCTTGTACTCTCTCCCCCTGCATGCGGCGATGAGGCGAATCTCCGTGATCGGGGGAGCTCTCTCTGCTTAGTCAGCTCTCGCTCCTGCCATATGCGGACATTTGCCTTCACTCAATGTCCGCATTGTTCTTGGATGCCGGCCTTCCCTCTGCTATTTCGGGCATGTCCGGGGATGATGATGACGGATCGACGGATGACGTTCGTCGTTCAACCCGCAGAGAGAGACGGGTGGAATACGAAAACACAGCCCATGCAAATAACAGCATTAGGATCCAAGTATATATCACAGCTCGAACCACCCTAGAGATAGAGACGAAGAGCACGATCGAAGACCTCGAACTACACAAACAGTATCAAGAAATACGCGGAAACCATGTCTGACGCCAAAGATCACACCGTCCCGGACGAACACCATGTTCCCCGAGTGAGCCCACCAAAGTCCCGTCACTTGCGATACCTTCTTGACTAACACCTTCGCCTCTCTCGTCTCTTCTTTAACCTCCATCGTCCTATAGACCGGCCAATGGCTCCCCCAAGACAAACGTCACCACCACGACTTTCTCCGCAAGACCATCGAAAAGGTCGACGCGAACCCCAAGAAAAAGGGCGAGCTTCATCCGGTCCTGGAAGAGTTTAGGGAGATGGTAGAAGGAGATTCTAGATTGTGGATGTTGTTCAATCAGATGTTTGAGCAGGTGCGTTTTTATTCGGTTTGAGTTGAAGTTGGCGGGTTCGATGAGATGGCTAAACGTCATTTCGCATTACGTTGCTGTCTTTTCGCTTGCCTGTAGATCCCCCATTCCAAGCCCTACCTCAAGGACCCGTCCGGTGACACCCCTCAAGTCCGTGACTTCTCTCACCTGCTCGCCATGCTGGACCACATCCTCCGTACCGCCCCCTCATGGACGGACGCCGGTCACTCCGTCGGCCTCGTCGGAGTGCCCATCAACGCCCTCCTCGACTGGCCCATGGCCACCCGGGCTGGGTACGTGGTCTTCCAAGACCCGCAGGTCAACAAGATGCTCAAAAAGGTTCTCGACGCTTGGAACGAGTTCTTGTCCTCCGAAGAGAGCGCGGGGGTCTTGGGCGAGGGGAAAGAAGGATGGTTCGGGGAGAGCGGGAAGAAGAGTCTCGTCCAGGTCGCCAATGTGGGCAAGAGCGGTCTTCAGGAACAACCTTTCCAGGAGCTCTTTCATTGTGACCCTAAAGCCGAGCATCACGGGTACAAGTCGTGGGACGATTTCTTCACCAGGACTTTCCGATTCGAGGATGGGGTTCGACCGGTAGCGGACCCCGAGGACGATAATGTCCTCGTCAACTGTTGTGAGAGCAAGACTTACAAGATCGCGCATGATGTTCATGCGAGGGACAAGTTCTGGATCAAGGTCAGTCTCGGGGCGTCTTCCTATGGCGGTCGGTCGTAATGGAATGTTTTACTGACATTCCGATCAATCGACACTCGATACGACAGGGCCAACCTTACTCCGTCGTCGACATGCTAGCCAACGACCCCCTCTCCTCTCAATTCGTCGGCGGGACGATCTACCAAGCCTTCCTCTCCGCCCTCTCTTACCACCGTTGGCACACGCCCGTATCAGGCAAGATCGTCAAATCCTACGTCATCCCCGGTTCATACTTTTCCGAACCTCTCTACGAAGACTTCACCGACGACCATCCGGCGGACAGTAACGGGGAAGTGACTTCGCAGGAATACATCAGCGTGGTAGCGACCAGGGCGGTGGTTTTCATCGAGGCGGACAACCCGAAGATCGGGTTGATGTGTTTCATGGGGATCGGGATGACGGAGGTCTCGACGTGTGAGACTACGGTCAAGGAGGGTCAACACGTCAAGAAGGGTGATCAGCTCGGGTGAGTCCACATCGACCTCCTTTTCATCCGCGTCTCTGCCCGTGCCTTCGCTAACGACATCTCCCTCGTCATCTACATCCTCATCATGGTCGAATACGCAATGCGACCCCGTCGATACCGCAGCATGTTCCACTTTGGCGGGTCGACCCACTGCGTCCTCTTCCGTAAGGGGGTCAAGGTCAGCGGCTTCCCGCAGCCTGGGCAAAAGGAGAACGTACCCGTGAGGAGCAAGTTGTGCGTCGTCGAGTGAGGTTTAGATAGGCGGCTGTAGTCAGCGGGGCACACAAGGATAGCAAACTGAACGGTAGAAGCAGAAAAGAAAACAGAAAAGGCTCGATATTGTAGTCAATCAGAATATAGAAATATAGAACGTCGTTGATCCTGCAGTACGAGCGAAAGGGATACGAGATGTGAGCTACACATATGTGCGACGGTTGCGATGGTCTCGGGACCGTCAATGAGAACGATCCGGAGTCTGACCTGAGATTTCGCGCGAGCCGAGCGGCGGGAGGGAGAGGGAGATTCCGCGTTTCAGCCTCATCAACGGACGAACAATGACAAGATGACCGGATCTGATCATGTGTGATGCGTAATATATGTGATCGACTATCCAGAGAGGGTTCTTCATGCCGATGCCGACTTTACACCTGGTCCGCTAGCGTTATGGGTCATACAAGCTGGCTGTGTGAGCGTGAGAAACAGAAAGGGGGGTGACCAGCGACGATCTTTCCTTTTCTCCTTTTTTCTCGATGATCATATCATTTCGCTCATCAAAAAGGCAAAAAATTGATGACGGAAACAACAAACAACAAACAAACACCAAGCGAGTAAGGAGGGAGGGATGCACTAGCGTCGTACCCCTATCTCTCCTTTCGATATCGATATCCCCCATTCGCCCCCGACTGAGTGGCCGGCACTGATTCGAAATAGGTTAAGATTCTAGGGTAGTCTGGATCGTCTGGATATAGCCTGGATTCACAGAAGGTTACGAAGGACTGGTACGACATCGCAGGGGATTGCGAAGGGATTCCGAATCCAGAATCTGGGCTGATCCATCGGGATTTTTGCGGTACGTCGAGCTCGTTAAATGAAAGGTTGTCGATTCGGTATAACCAGTTCAAATCTTGAGCTTACAGATTGTTTTCGCTCCGCTCAGACACACCTCACATTCTAGCTTCTTGACCGGCCACGGGCACAGCATACAGGATCGGGCCGCTTCTTGAACCAGATCGCGTTCCGCTCGGATACCTCTCAAACGCATGTCGAGAGCCAGCTTCTATGGAAGAGATAATGATCTCAAAGACTGATCAGACTTATGTTGGAAACCTCTAGTCTTTTACGAAGCGATACCTCCTCTACATCCTCTTCTTGCTCCTCCTCGGCTCGGGCAATCATGTCTCGATCGAGATCAACTTCGAACCCCCCTGCGACGATACAGGGGTATGATCCTGAACCACCTCGCGTTCAACCCGGATCGCAACCTCAGGCTCAATCCCAACCTGATGCTCAACCTCGGTTGAAAATGCTCCCTCCGAGTCAATTTACACACATGTAAGCCAGCTGATGACTACCACAGTATCTTGATCGATGCAGGATACAAGGCTGATGACGTTCACACTCCCGTTCCTCTTTGCGCTTATAGCTTGCCTTTTTACCCGGGCTACCACCCCCACCCGGTTCCTCTCTCGACCACAGGTCCAGCATCATGGACATATTCTCCAGGAACCTACTCTGGCCCACCCACCACATCTTCGACCGGCTGGAGCGTCCCTCCTTCTCAAACTCAATTCACCGCGGTTCCTCTTCCTTATCATCCTTATTCTTATAATTACAATCATCATTATTACCACCCCGCCGCTCCGCTTCACCTCCTCCCGACAACATCTACACCTACGTACAATCTCGCCAGTGGTAGTATGGCTACTCGATCGAGGATGTTTCATCCGACTTCTAGTACGCGGCAGACGGCTACCGATACGCCTACGCCTCCGCCGGGTTATACGGAGCTGACTAGCTTAGGACCGGCGTATGGTTATGTAAACGAGGGATGTACCAGAATGGACGGACGGGTCGGAGGAAATGTTACGGGAACGAGGATGGGAGATAGGTCGAGATCGAGGTCGAGGGAAAGGGAAAGGGAAAGGGGAAGGGGAAGGGGAAGGGGAAGGGAGCGGTCGAATTCTCCGGTGCGGGACCGTCACGGTCAAGCTCAGCAGTTACAGGGACATCATAGGCAGCGGCAACATCTCCAACAACCCTATGCTGCGTCACAACCAAAATCACAAGCACAACCCATCTCGCGATCACTAGCACTCCCTCTATCTCCACACATACCAAGCTCTGTGCTCGAACCGGAAACAGAAACAGAATCGGTCTCGATATCGCTCTCCTCCTCCCAATCCCAGCCTCGGATTCCCAGAAAGATCGACCTGGTCCCTCAAAGCTGGTTGATGGGCAGGTCTGTGAGCGCATCCGGCTGCGATATTCTGTTGAGTTCCGGTCCAGCAGGGGAAGAAAGTGGGAATCCGACGAGTAGAAGCACGTTCGCGGAAGGTTCGGAGGTTGTTGGCAGAGACGCTGAAGCTAGACGAAGTTTGAAACGAGATTGGAGCCCTCGACCTAGATCCGTTGGGTCTCGCCATCAACCCATCCCGTCTCCGTACACCGCTGGGTTCCCAGAGATCCCGCTTCAACCTGGGCCGAGCGGTTGGCAGAATATGGATATGGACGTGGATGTCGGTTCAGAAGAAGTGGAAAGCAGCAGCGAAAGCGAACAGATGGATGATAGCGAGGGTACTAGCGGGAACGAGGAAGAAGCGGCCCTGGCTCCAAAGGGGATTCCGCTGGCGGTTTATCGGCATTCCCATTCGCGCTCTCAGGTTCGAGATCAACATCAGCAACAACAACACCATCATACTCGAAATCTCCATCGCCCTACCTTGACTGGCGAAAGCAGGGGTCCCGAGCCGGTCAGATACGAGATCTCGGACGGTGTTGGCGGGAGTATGTCTTGGAAGCAGGCAGGGTCAGAACCAGAGTCGGAATTGGAAACGGTTTCTCCTCCTACTTCTCTGGTCGGTTTACCCGTGTCCTACCGGGATATACCAAACACACGTTATGTTACTCCTCGATCCACGAAAGCGAGCGCGTTAAACAAGGATGATATGAAGGCATTATCGGATCTATCATCTATCGATCCAGGACTACGAAGACCGACAGTTTGCCAGGTCAAGCGAAAACGACCGAACGCTTCCGGTCGACCAGCCGGATTGAAAGCGCTTGATCCTGATGAAGGCGTCGTTCACATGGCCCCGCTCCAAGGGAAAGGCGACGATCGAGTGGCCAGCTTCGAGGCTTGTTTCGGTGATATGGTAAGCGATCGCGATTCCCCGTGTTAGCTTTACCGCATGGTGTTGATACGATTACTTCCGCGTTTCAGTCTGATTTGACCGACCTGGAAGAAGACAACGCTATCAACGGTGAAGCTATCACGACATTCTATATGGCGAGCCGCGCTGGAGACGAAAAAGATAGTTCGCGTCGTCCTACTCGACACGCGGCTAGGAAAGCTACTGCCCGTATTCAGGCTATAGCCAGTCCAGACCGCACCAGCGATTCTGCTTCGGACATGGCGAAGAACACATGGAATCAAACCCTTCATGTCGACGTGGAAGACGAGAGATCGGACGACTCACAGCGTTCGATGGGAACGAGGAAGATCAAGAGGAGAGCCCGAAGGACCGTCACCCTGCCCGATCCCGCTCCCGATCAGACTGTACACAAGGTTGCGAGGGGAAGGACAGCCGCTCATCACCCTTCGCTAGTCCAGTGAGTCTCAATCCGGTGAATGCACTCTTATCTCATACTGATTTACCGTATCGTTTAGGTCAAGTATAGTGCATGTGTGCCCAATTCCTGGGTGTGGTGCCTGCTTCAAACGAAGAGAACACGTCAAGAGGCACGTCAGAGGGATTCATACCTTGGAAAAGGTAAGTCTTCGCTGCTGGATTCGAATCCAGATCGTCACGAATACTGAGCTAAATGTTGCGTCACATAGCCTTATCATTGCTTGCATAATGGTTGCGGGAAAAGCTTCGCAAGACGGGACAATCTAGGATTACACTATACCAGTCAGTCCGACTTTGAAGCCATCTCGCGCAGCGATACTGACGATCCTGTCTTACAGAGGTTCACAAGATGTCAAACAGGAAATGCTTGCAGTTGCTTGCCTCGGGAGACAAAGAGGTTTGATACGAAGATCATTGTGCCTGCCTTATGCATATTAGGATTTATGCTTGTATCAAGGCTGTGTAGACGGTCCAAAACTACGTTGTCTCCACCATATTTATGCGCCTCTTTCTCTTACACATCACTTCCACGTGCGTCAATGCCTCAGGTGGCAAAACTGATTTGGCAGCCAATGAGTTCAGGGGAAATCCCTTTACAACGTAACATGACGTCCACCCTACGGGTGACAGGCGAAGATGACAATGAAATGTCTGAGACGGAGCGATAACCACGGTGATATACATATATTCGAGTACAAGTCTCAGTGAAGGGACGTGTAACAGTTTACTACGATTTCTGCCATGTCACGAGCTGAGACTGGGGGAGGAGCATGACATAGGGAAGGTTCCACTTTTTCTTCAACGCGTACGCTAGCTCGACAACCATGAAGCGCTCTCTCATAAAGTTCATAGCTTGTTTGTTCTTGTATACCTCGGCCCATGGCTTTCCCCTATAGGTTGGCACAAGATGCCTTGCCTCGCGTGCATTGAATGTCTTGAGCAGCAGCTTTGCCTTTGAAGAGAGGTCAGTCAGGAAACCTGGGCTGATAAGTCGCTCAATTTCGTCAATGTTGTAGAGTTCCAGGAACTTCTTGATTCTCTGGGGGAAGTCTCGGCCTGGCGCGCCTGCGGGTATGACTTTGGACCACTTTTCTTTGTCTCCGTGAAGTGAGGCGAGAGTAGCCTTGAACTCGTCGACTACGTTACGTTTCGTCTTCAAATTGATTGACCCAAAGTATATGTTGACAGATACCGTGCCGCTAGTAAGTACGAGGCACCGGTTCGTGTATTGTTCAGGACGATTGGCCACGGCAGCTTGTCTCAAGTCTACTTTCAAGTCTGGCCACTTCGACCCAGGGTCATCTGAAGACCGCTCCAAGACATAGATGGGGCCGCTAGCGGTGTTCGTGGGGCAAACTGAGTGATGCGTCACAGAATCGACGAAGTCCATGCCATCGGCAGAGCTGGGATGAGGCGGGTTCAGCGAGATGGCTGTCGAGGCGATTATGTCCCTTGCTGGCTGGTGGAATGATTCGATGTTTGAAGATCGACAACCGACTTCGACATTAAATGGGAAGTCGGACCGAAAATTGACCTCATAAATGCTCTCAAGCGGGTATTGTATTCCGGTCGACACGAACGACATTGCGTCGAATCCCCAAGCGCTCGATAGCTGCTGTGGCCCTCCGACAGCGAGTATGGGGTCTGGTTGGGGGATATGTTCGGGTTGAGGCAAGGGGTGCAGAGGACTGAAAATTGGGTTTGTCTCGTCCTGCAAAGAATCAGGTGATATACCTACACTGGCGGCTGGCGGAAAATCCACCCACAAAGGCGTCTCTGGCAGCGGTAGAAATGGAACTGAACCTTGTGAAGGGTCTAGACATCGGAAGGCTTCGTGATCAGTCAAGTAGGCACCATTTTGCGGTACAACCAGGTATGAGTCGCCTGCGAAGCACCCCGAAGTATACGAAGCTGCCACATCGGTCTCAAAGGATGCCCCTTGATGATCGTCCCCGTGAGGATTGACGTACCCTTCTACAAAGGGATACTGCAATGTAGAACCGTAATCGGTCATGAAGTCTGCTTGAACTTCATCGTTCCCAGGAAGGCGATGTGGTGCACCACTCGATTCTGATAGACACAGCGTTGCAGGTTGATTCCTGCTGGTTTGCGGGGACTGCTGGGAGTGAAGCGAATACATCGCTGCTGCCAAAACGGGAGGGAAAAGTTAGTAGGTCTAGCCCGATACCCCTCAGCTAAGCTGCCAACAGCATTTCTGATCAGAAATCAGAAAGCTACCTTGTATATGGTGGTGGTGATCTCGAGCAGAAAAGCTAACGAGTGCTCACGTGATATCTTGTCAAAGGATCACCATGTCAGCTGACGCCTTATATCGTCACGTTCACTTAGGAGCATACAAGTCTTCAGCTACCCACGCTACTGGGCGAGATCACATGGTAATAATGGAACTCACCGCCACTAACCTTTCGCCATCGCGGAGGTGTTACCGGCATCCAAGAAGCTTGCTGACACCTTTTGGACGATAAGGAAAGAACAATCGCAATGGTTTGGAAAGGTAAGAAGTTTCTCTTCAATCAAAAGCACGGTCAAATATACAGCTTTATGGAGTGCTATCACTAGAAATCATGATAGAGAATCAAGTTGTCAAGCTTCCAAGCTTCTTTCAATCTGTAGGCTTGATTGATGGTGAGAAAGTCCTTCTCTAGTACCTGAAATTTCCCATGTACCCCAGATCGTTCCAACCAGGCTTTGGCGTTTGGTTTGGCTATCAAGCTCTTGTCGTAAGATTTCTTGATACTGCCAACCCTTTCTATGAGAAGCGAGACATATCCTGCGCCAAGGAACCGGCGGAAGGCCTCATCCTCTAGGCGGTCGAGGAATCCTGCGACTCTTCCGAGAAAGGTATAGTCCCCAGGCAGCACTTTGTTCAGAATTTCTAGAGATTTCAAGCGTTCCTTGAGCGCGCCATATCTCTTCGATACATTGGCCTCGGAGAACCGACCAAATCGTATGTTAACCGGACCATGGCTCTGGCTCTGGCTTATGACACTGATCCACCGGCCGAGAGGATTTCTAGGTGGATCTCTCGGATCATCGATGTTCACGATTATGTTAGGCATTCGTGACCCATTTTCCAGTGTATAGTCGATATCCGGCTGGTCCAGAGGATTCTCGACGTTTTGCGGATCAGTCATGAAGCGGCTCCGCTTGCAGTAAATGCTGCAGAGATCGAAACTGGTCCCGTAGAGACCGTGTCTGCAGGGTATTGACGCGAGGAGTAGCTGAACCGTTGATTCCCCGAGTTGTCCTCCGCAGCAGTAGTGAAGCTAATTCCGCGAACGAGTGGATTATCAGAGAACACAGAAGGCGCAACAAATGCCTCGGAAGCAGTATACTGAGATGCAAGATGTAACGGCAAGGCAGAGGGCAAAGTCTGCCCCTGCTGGTCGCCTCGATACAGATCTCTAGCGGTAGGGGCTAGTTCGCGGATATCTTCTAGACGTTGGCTTGGGACCGTAGGTACCTGTGGCAAAGCGCGCGTAGAAGGGTCGTCTAAGAAGGCCTGACACGGGAACGGGTATGGATTTACGGGTGGCATCGTGTTCCAGCCGAAGCCGGAGGTATCTACTGGAATGCGGTCTGCGTAAGAGTCTGCAGGCGGTCCAAAGTCGTAGAACGAAGTCTCCGGCAGATGCAGGTTTGTCGCATAGCTTGCAGCAGAAGGACTCAAGGTATCTTCATGGCTGCTTTCGACGTGAGCCCCATTGGTCACGGTACCGTGCCATAGTGGAAGCGAAGCATGATCGATAGTGATTGATGTTTGATTAGAGGCAGCCAGTCGATAATTGGAGTTCTCCAGCGAGTTCGACCCACGTCTTTTCCTGCGGTTTTGGGAAGGGTACTGTGAAAGAGTGTTGGAAGACATGTCTTAATGAGCGCCGGAGCGGAAAGCTTGAGATCATCGACGGAGAATTTCAACAATCAGGTTGTGGTTGCCCGTGAAAGAGGCGCATATATAGAAAAGGTTTCCATCAGTTTAGATTATGCAGGCCACGTATCAGCAACCATCGCCGCTTCAACTCCACGATTTATGAAAGGAGCTTCAAGTCTTATCAGGTGATCACTACTGGTCATATTTGATGGCGCCATTCCGTCACGACCTGGTCGATTGAGCCTCACGTAACAAGGTCAGACTCTAGTGATCAAATGATGAACAGGTCAGAGCTACTGTACCGCTCTGGTCTTTTTGCAACGCAACACATACGATCAGCTTCAAGATCAGGGATGACGAGCGACAACAATCTAGTCAGAGGCCCAATAATGGAATGGGAACAGGCACAGACCATGGGCGGATTATGGCAACATAGGTAGGTGAGCGAGTGAGCGCATACCTGATTGAGGTATCCCATCAGGGAATATGCACAAGCTTGCAATCAGTTTTCGATAGCGAAAGTGCGATATCAGACCTCTGTACTAAATAGATCGCTCTCTGGCGAGCTGCACTACAGGCTGGAGTCACCACGCGCGTTTGTTCGGCGCATACGTCATGCCTTATCAAAGGGATGCCACGTCGTATCAGCAGATGTTGGCCCGTTACACCGCTAGCTCGTGTGATCCGCAGCTTCTTCAAAGAGGCCATGCAATCCGGTTACCACAACGAACAGGGCGTGAAACTGACGCTGGTGGTGATAGCGAACACTACTATACTGTATGCGTTGTCAGGGCAAAATGACCGGAGAAGGGATAGTACAAGTTTAGCATCGACTCTGCTATCAGAACGGTCTGCTTGTTCAAACGACAGTGTGGGGGGAAGGAGACATATGTAAGGAGAACTGAGGTGGTAGTATCGAAGGGTGAAATAATGGACGACGGCTGCGGGAAAGCTTGTCGATATAGACCCTACGGTGAACCGATCACTTGACCCAATTCGGTGGCAAATTGATCGAGCCCATAGCCTGCAGTTGCGCCTTCTCCAGATTCCACTTCTGCTTCAGATCAAACGCCTGTTTGGCGATGGGGTAGAAGGAATTCAACCAGCTTGTATGCTCCACATAGAGGCGCTTGTTCGCCGGCTGGCCCCCATTTTGACCTGGTTCAAGTAGTTCGCAAGCCTCCAGCAACATTTCTGACTTTCTATGAACCCCTTCGACCAGCCTAGGGCTGAGGAATGCAATAAGCTCCCCGACTTCAAAGAGTTCGGAGATCTTGTCGATTCGCGCAGGGAAAGGATCGTCCCGAGGAAGCATTGCGGTCAAGTATGTCTTGTCGATGTGGACGAGGGCCCGAAGAGTCTCTTTTGTCTTACCGAAATCTTCAGCAGAAGCATGGGTTGTTCCCATAGTCAACCAAGCTTCAACAGGCGGCATATCTCGATTCTGATTGCTTCTGATGATGAGTTTCCAATTGCGGCAACTGTTCCAGGTAAACGGACGATTGGAGGAGCTGGCTCGATCCAGGTCGACAGCGTAGGTCAGTGGCAGTTCCTTGGATACCATGATTACGGGGGGGGGCTTTCATCGTCGTTCGGGCCTGTCTGGGCAGAGGAGCCTTCTGGTGCAGAAGAATCCGACGCCGAGGCGGCATTCAGATTGATTTGGGACCCAAGCGTGTTGACCGACGAGGTTACCCTTTCGATGCTCGTCGCAGGATCCGCCAGCATGTCCAGCGCAGATGGCTGGGCCGATCGCGTACTACCCTCCTGGGTGGAGTTCACTGTGATACCGGAATCAGCACATGGCCATACTAGCATAAGACGTTCGATCGTTTCCCTTACCTGAAAGAGATTGTTGAGAGGGTTGGGAAGACATGGAAACTGTTTGGAGATGGCAAGGGATTTGGACTTCGCGTGATGAACAGAGAGCTGAACTGCTGGATTAGTCTGATGGGAAAATACGGGAGAGTCTGTTATATACTTTTGCCCGCCTTGGCGGTTAGTAGTGTGAGAGAGCTAAGGGGAACCGATCGCGTCAATTCTCCTCAAAGGAGCACAATGCGTCAGCGGATGACACCATCGGCTTACGTGGAATTGCGACATACATAAAGGGGGTGTCAGATCGAATGGTTTTGGGCAACGGGTGTCGTATCTGGTCATCAGACTTTATACTTGCTGGGGGAACTTTCCTTGCGAGGGTTGCGAAGACGAGCGATAAGTAAAGAAGTACGGAAGCTTGGTCGACTGTACATTCCTTCATGTTCGGCGCTCACTTCAATGTCAAGTGAAATCTATATGTTGAAATCTAACGACATTACATGCTGAGTCTGTGATCGCCTTCAGTTTTGCTTTGATTTAGGAAGTCTCGGCCATGGATTAACAGACAAAGTCGCAAGGTCTAGGCCCCAGAATGTTTTCAGCTCGAAAGCTTGACTGATGGTGAGAAAATGCTTCATCAAGCCCCGCATGGTGTTAATCTCTGGGTGTCGGCGTGCCCAAGGTTTCGCCTTTGAGCCTTTGGGTTTCTCATCGTTGTACTTCTCGTATGAGTTCAACAAGATGCGGAACTCTCTGTAAAGGTGACTGGCATAGCCAGAGCTGAGGAATCGTACGTATTGGCCGTTTTCGAAACGAGCAGAGAACTCTTTAAACTTCCCGTAAAATGGGTCATTTCCGGGCAAGAGCTTTTGTATAGACTGCCAAGTAGGGTCTTCCAGAATGCCCCCCAAGTTGGTGAACGCATCAGTGGTTTTGAACTGGGATCTCGATTCATACCTCACATCTACAGGCTCAACCCCCTTGCGAATGATCCTGATGCACTTGTTTTGCCACTCCCGAGGCACGGGGGGCGGATTTGCAAGATCAACAACCAGATCTGGCACTCGTAACCCTCCTTGCGGTATGGGAACCGAGTCCGATCGAGAACCACTTCCGGAAGTTCTGCCAGAAGCGGAAACGAGTGTGGGCCGAGAGCTAAGCGTATCGCCTGTGACAGTGCTCCCACCTGTAGAGGAAGGAGGCGAACTTGCGAGAGGTCTCAGCGACGTGACATTCGCGGAAGAAATTCTGGCTGAAGAGACAAAGGATTTAGACTGTGACATCGCTCTGTTCTGTTCTTCAGGATGATCGGCTATCTCCAGCGGTTGGCTTGGTAGAACCGGCAGACAGATAGCAGCTGAAGCCGCGGTCTCGAAGACGTCCGGAACTGAATCACTTGGTGCTTTAGACCTGCCTTCAGAACCGGATCCTAGAGTATTGCCGGTCTCGATCAGGTATGGCAAGGAATTCACCGTAAAAGTAGCCGGTGTTATGGGCGCTGCCGAAAGTATCCGATCAAACTCGTAAATAGTAGGATGATTGTAGAACGAGGATCCTACCAATCCGTCCTCTTCCTTTGAATCCAGCTCCAAACCGTAAGGATTTGAGAGAGTCGAAGAGTCAGAGGCCGAGACCGCAACGCGACTGCTTCCTTGGTCACGGCCACTTGACGCAAGTCGCCTGAGGCGCTTGCTTGGCGGCGGTGTCATCGATTTCGATCGCGTGGCAATAGGGTTCGGTAACGTGTGCGACTGTCTGCGTACACAACCTTGCCTCATGACAGTCTTCATATAACAGTCAGAGAAGATAGTATATATGATTTTCGGCTTTTCGTCATTATATGTGGCGGACTATGAATATGATTGGACCCTTGCGCTCTCGTCGCGATTCATGAAAGGAGTCCTGTGCCAGACGACGGCGTCGATCGCGCTTTTCACATACATGCATTTGATGAGCGATGTGCATTGACGAAGACCGTACTGCGGGCTCCAGTAGGGATCTGCGCCCGAGGATCAATTCCTCCAAGACCATAAGAAGCCGAGCGAACCGGCGGCGCCGCACTCACTGAAACACGAATGCAGCGCGAAGTGAAACCGGGTGAAAAAGCGACGCGGACATGGGAAACAGTTATTGCATGTCCACCTCTCTATCACGGCGACCTCCGATATCGTCATCCTTGATCATTCAAGTTGGTCGTCCTTCGCTCTGATCGTCAAGAGTTGCGTCAATTCAATGCATCGAACATCAGTACTTGTAGCGTCTGCTATCTCAAGGGAGACAGGTCTTTAGTATGACCGATCCGATGGACCATGATCTGGACTGGCGAATCAGCAGAGAGTCGGCCTTGAACTTGGCGATCGAGCAGAACGACCTCGTTAGCTTGAGAAAATGGTCGGTCGAGCCCGGCGGCTTCGGGACGAACGAGCTTCGACAAAAGGTCTGGTAAGAGGACAAACACACAATCAGAAATGACTATCGAGTCTCTACTGATACTCTGTATTTCGTTATCTGTGGCAGGCCGTATCTCCTACACGTCAACCTCAGCGCAAGCACCCAAAAATCGAGCATCGACTCGGACAACAAACACGATCACAAAATCGACGACGACAACAACAAGCATATCCAAGATCCAGAAAAACCAAACGTTAAAGATAGTCACGACGATATATCCGCTAGTAATGAGCCTCATAAAGAAGAACGTCAAGTAGGACTCGACACCAACCGTTCCTTTGTCCACTATCCGGAAAAATTGACACCCTCGGAGAAGAAGAGGCTTCAAGCAGAGCTTAACGAGCTGATCATGACCGTACTCCGCCGGCACACTGGTCTGTCTTACTTTCAAGTCAGTAATTGGGGTCCATTGTCTCAGATATTCTTGATAGATTTGACTGACTTGTCGGTTGGAACGGCGATTTGCAACAGGGCTACCACGATATCATCTCCGTCCTCTATCTATCCTTTTTTCCATATGTCCCACCATGTCGTCAACCTCGCTCCTCATCCTCAGCCCGAGGTTCTCCATCCACCTCCCGCTCTCAATCTCGTTCACAATCACGCAACCGTATGCGTGCGGACTCTCAGAGCAATAACGGCGGAGGGTCCAAGCCGATCAGTAGGAACGGGTCCTTTAGCCAGATTAAGCTGGATGGGCTTATGACGGTCAACGGAGAAACACGGATGAAACCTCTGTCTCCTGGGAAAGAGCCGCATTTGGTCTTGGAGGACGTTGATAGCGATGCCAAGGTCAAGCCGGACCCCGATCGTCCTGTAGAAAAGTCGGCTACAGTTGAGCGAAAGACCAGGAACCAGGATAAACCAGAGTGGAAGCAGCTCGTGGATTGCTGCGAGGCGTTGAGCTTGTTGAGGATCAGGGATGGGATGGGAAAGAGTCTTGGACCCGTCGTTGGCTATTTGAGGCGAGTCATTTCTACCGTTCCACTGTCAAACGGTGATAAGCTGATCAACCACAGACATGTACTCTGGTAATAGGTTGATGAAACGTCTGATGAAAGCTGTCGATCCGAAAGTCGCTCATCTAGTCAACCGGTAAGCTGAGCTTGCTGGTCACCTTTCTCATTGTTTCCATTAAAACCGTTCATTTGCCTGTAACCTGATAGCGTCTCCCCAACCCCGTACTTCGCCCTCTCTTGGATGCTCACCCTGTTCTCGCACGACTGCGACACGTTCGTCCCGGTCCAACGCATTTTCGATTACCTCCTCTGCCGAAATCCGGCTATCGTCATATATTTGGGAGTCGCCGTGAGTACAACGGGATCTCTCAGTCTGATTGACCGAGAAAGTAAAGCTGACTTGACCCATAATTGTGGTCTCAGCTGATCGTACTGAAAAAGGACCGCTTGGTGGCGCTCGAGGACACGCTTGACGAGGACCCAGGGGTATTGCACACCAATCTCTCGCTCCTCCCTCCGTTGATCGCCGACGACCCCGACTCTTCGCCAGACGATGGTGTCGGCTTCGAACCGCATATCGCACCGAAAAGGCGGGATTCCTACCTGGACCCTAGCGAACCCAATCCTCTACCGCCCGTCATCCTCTCCGAGCTCTTCCGGTTGACGGACAGCCTCTGGGAGAGGTTTCCCCTCAGTCATCCGGAGATTCGGGCGGACGAGATTCTGGGCTCCAAGAGCGTGGTCTTTACCTACCCGGATGTGACTCATAGTCCAGGGCCGAACGTTATGGACGGAAAGGCCGCTGCCGAATGGGCGAAGAACGGGGTAGACGAGGATCAGGTCGTCGTCGAGCCTGCTCCTCCATACTCGGACGCCGAGGATGAGGTTCAAGAGGAAGATGAGAGCAAGCCCGAACCTATGAAGAGGAAGAGGAAGCGACAACAATCGATCAGAATCAGCAGGACCGCCTTGACGTTTGCGGTAGTCACCGTAGCTATCGGGATCGCTATCTACCGGGGCCAAAAACTACCTGGGCAGGATAGCCTGGCAACATACGTCATGTTCCGTATCATCAGACCTTGGCAGAGGAAGCTGGAGATGCAGCGCGTTTGGCAGAACATCCGGGCAGCTGGGGATCATGAGACGTTTGGAGGACGGATCGTACGAACTCTGACTGAACTAATTGGCTGGCGATGATCGTTATATTATACTTCGTTGTTATTACATTGTGTGCCAGTCGAGTGATGGGATACAGATGATGCGCACGTATGCGCGGTACGATAAGTGATACCAGAAAGTGAGAACGATGCGACGTAGAGTCCATGTCCACGGAACACATGTCCACGGGAATGTGTTCCGAACGATAGCGACCCAAATCTTCTCTCCCCGTACGAGCTTCCCCCTTCCCTTACTTCCTCTCCTCGTGCTTATCGCCATAAGCCTCGTTCTCGTAATCCCGGATGGGCAACTCCTTCCTGACCTCCCCGACCCTCTTCAACTCGATCTCCGCATATCCCAAAGCCGTCCCCTCCCCAATCTCTGGGAACTCGTCGATATGGTCCTTGAACTCCTTCTGAGCGGACAAGTCCATCTTTCCCTTCCCCTCGACCACTTTTCCTAGGGCGACTTGCTTTTCACCGACGGGGTCGAGGACCATGCTGAACCCGAAACTGGGGGGTCTTTCCTCGTTATGTACCCCGATCTGAGCGGGACACACGACGAAATACTGGTTATCGATCGCTCGGGCCGTGAGGAGGGTCTCCCAATGCGCCCGGGTGGGGAAAAACCAGCAGGCGGGGACGATCACCGCATCGGCCTGACGATCCCGGAGTTCCAACCAGAATTTCGGGTAACGGAGGTCGTAACAGATCGCGAAACCCAACTTGAAGGTCTCTTTCTCTCCGGTCTTCTTGTTGGTGGAAGTGACGTCGATGAGCTTGATATTGTCGTTACCAGGAGACCCCGAGGTGCAGGCGTCCGTCTCGGTGACGTCCAGGTCTGGGCGTTTGATCACGCAAGGGTGGATCTTGTTGTAAGAGTGGATGAGGGTGCCTTCGGGGTTCATGGTCAGGTAGGACATGTACCACTTCTTGGGTTCTTCCTCGGAGGGAAGGTGAGCGCCGAAGGAGAGGTAGAGTTTGGTCTGCGACGAGTAGTAGCGACAGATTGTTTGTCAGCTGGCGAGCTCGCGATCAGGGGGCGACCACCAGACTAGACACGACACAACGTACCTCTTTCGCCAACCCACTCATCTGATCAACAAACTTCTTCAACCTCGATCCCTCGTAATCCGCCCTCTCCTCCTCCTTGGGGTAATCCTCGTCAAAGATGATATCCGTGCTCTCTGGCCAAAAGACCATCTCCGCCCCGTTCTTGGCGGCTTGCTTGGCCATCTTTTCGCATACGAAAAAGTTGTGCTCGGGAGAGGCTTTCGAGGTCATTTGGGCGATGGCGACCTTCATGATGGGCGAGGACGGGATGAGGATGTGGGTGTGGGTGTGGGTGTTTTGCAGGGGGAGCTGGGGTTGGGGTTGCGAGCGATATGATTTGGCAGAGGTTCGTTTCTTTTTGCGTAGATGATCTAATTGCGAAGAGTGGGTGTCTGATGCGAGGCCAGGCCGTTCAAGCAAGCAGCAAGCAGGTAGCTGTTATATACTTCGTCGTCGTCGCCACCTTCCATCCCCGTCCAACTTCCCCCCAACCTCCCTCCCCCTTTGTGTCGGAATTCCAAATTTCGCTGGAATCTCCCTGGACATCGCGGGACATCGGTCACATCGAGAAAATTGGATCGAGATCGAGATCGGATCCGCGAGAGAAACGCCGAAGCGAGGCAAGGGGGAAATGACGGTGGTGGCGTCTCCGAGGCAGTATCGGAAGGGAAACAGCAGGAGGAAGTATATTTACATCCGATGAAACCCTCGGGTGGATCGAAAGGACAACGCCGATTGCCGAGGGCGACATCATCGTCATACCGTCAGACGAACCGAACCACCTCTCGTGTCTCGTAGATTGTTCGCGATCGATTGATCGTGCAAGCGGGCATGAAGTAAGGATTCTGGGAGTACAACCGCATATCTTGACCGTAGATACTACTAGCTACTAGGCCCATATTGCTACGAGTATACCCGCTGTCAAGAGGACATGAAGACGAGATTCCTGCAAGCGGACAGTCCCGCAATCAGCCTGGTTGCTCATATCGCACCGTATCATATCTGCCCGAAACCCGCTCACTGACCTCGAAATGCCCGGCGGTATCGACTCTTCACCTCACATCACCCTGACCTCCTCGGCTCGCTTCAACCAGACGACCTGATCCGCCACCCCAGCCTTCTCCAGAGCTACCTTCAAGTCATCTTTGAGCTCGACGAAATGTTTCCATTCCTCGAAATGCATCGGGACGAGCTTGTCGGCCCCGAGATCTTTATGCAACTGGGCTCCGGAAGCTCCATCGAAGGTGATCTGGCCAAGTTCTCCGTTCTTGGACGGGAACGGGACGAGGACGCCAGCAAAGTTCAAGATGGATACCGCGACGTGCCACTTCTCCCGAATCCGCTTGAGCTCGTCGATGTAGATCGTATCCCCGGAGACGTAAACAGCGTTAGGCCGGGAGACTCCGTCTGAAGTCGTGGTGTGGCCAAAGGAATCCGTCTCGATGACGAACCCGGTACATTCCCCGATCTCGAAATGCTGGCAAGGCGTACCCGTGATCCGGAATTTTTTCCCTTGCAAGACCATCTCCACCGTCTCCCAAGGCTTCAAACCCTTCACACCCGGCCTCGGCTGCAACTTTTTCTCGCCATCCATGGTCGTCAATACGTGCCTTCCATCCAACACCTTCCTCCCCTCGGTATCCAGGTTATCATCGTGGTCTTCATGCGAAAGGAGCACGCAGTCGATGACGGGCAACTGATCGAGGGTGAGTGCGGGAGAGATGGTGGAGGTGAGAGGAATACCGGGGATGGATTCGTAAGTCCCAGCTGGGCCGAAGACGGGATCGGTGAGGAATCGGACGCCGTCGATGTTGATGATCGAGGTGGCAGTGCCGATGTGGGTGATGGAGATGGTCGAGCTGAAGTTGGCGGTAGGGGCCATGATGAGAATCCAGCGGGTGTGTTTAGGTGGGATGAGTGAAAGTTAGGTGTTTCGGTGGAGTACGGTGCGAGCGTGTATCAGGTTTTGTTTCTGCAGATTGTATCTTCGAGAAGGCCGGACCGTTATACATCCCCTCAGCCCCTACTTATATACCCACATCGCCTCAATCTCTCTCTGAGCACCTCAAAGTTCCAGAAGACTCAGGCGAGCCGAACGACCTAGCTTAGCAAATCTCGATATTGTCGATGCAATTATTTTGATTACACGGCGGAGCGTTAGCAAACTTCCACCTCGGTCATCATCGCTAAACTCGCTTTTCGCCAGCTTTCCATCGCGTGCGACCTCGCTAAACTCGCCGCGAATCATGAAGCGAATGGGTACATGGGTCAGCGGTTCGTCAATCGTTGTGCTTCGATCGCTCGGCGGCGAGAAAAACGAGGTTGGCTTTTGCATCACACCGTCGCGCAATAATTGCCGGATTGATTCCTCTTGCGGGAACAAAAAGGTTAGCAAGCTGTCGGAGGGCGCTGTGACACGTTGGTGGCGAGATCGCAAGATCGTTCGGTTTGCTTTTATCTCCGTGTCTTGACAATTCAGATGGTTGAAAGGAGCTCGCCCCGGTTAGGTCTTGTTATGATGAGTATCGACACATGAAGCTTACCGGAATAGTGCAGAGGTGTATGTACGGCAGTTTTCGATGGGACGAAACAGAAAGATCGCAATACTAAAACAACCTGCGGGTCACCGACGAGACGCATGCGTGCAGCCGTCCAATGGCTAATTCGAGGTCCCTAGCGAGATCGACTGAGTGATGGCTGGATGTAGCCGAAGATTCTAGAAGAAGGTAAAAAATACTATATAGTCTTCCGCCACATCTTTATGACATTGGTTATGGTCTCGTTCACGATCGGGAACATCTAAAAATCCTGGATGTAAACGCTCCGAAATCATGCCTTTATCGATGTAGACCTGGGCAGGAGCCTTCCTGTGGTGACGTTAGATCTCATGTGTAATGTGAGGAGGCAGGACATCACATAGGATAGAGCGTAAATCCTACAATCTGTCCGAAGAAGAGTTGTCTTCCCGGTTGATTCGAAGCCGAAAGCAAGTCGAGGAGCTCGTTCCCACACACGGAGGAGGGAGAGCACATAACATCGCATCCAGCAGAGCAAAATCAGTGCGGGAGGTTTCAGTCTTCAGATATCCCGTCTGATAACCTCTCTCCTCTCCATGGCTTCGACATTTCCCTTGCGTTTGTCGATGTCGACGGTACGCTGCGAGAAGGAAGTTGGATGATCGGGAGGCTTGATGAAACCATTGTTGAATGGCTGTTCTCCAAGTCGGTCTACGATCGAGATTATCGGCTATTCCAATCCGTCTTTGTCGTTTGCACAAAGACGTTGGCATGTTGTTCGAGCGCGACGTCGATCGCATTCCTTTATCCTACGTCACGCTGATCAGAAAATAAAACAAGACGACGAACCGAGAGCCCTCCTTTGTACCGCGTCATGAGTGTAGGTTCTTTGGATAACGGCGATTGCTCAGTAGTGTAGATATACCTACCCAGCGTTGATGTTGAGCGGTGGCAAATGCATGCAACGATTCGCGACGAATGGGACATCACGTACTTACAACACCATGGGCAACACGAACTCTCGATCCAGGCATTACTCCTCCCGAAGGCGACACCACTCTCGACCTCGTGCACATCACGGGAACGGTATGGGATTGTGCTTCGAAGATCCGAGTTACGATGATCGTTACGATCGAAGGCGAGTTTTACCTCGTTTGAGCCTTTGCTTTTCTCGACCTCAAGCTGATCTTGATGATATATCGCAGGTACCCGCACAGACATGAGGCTTATTACCGAAGGCAACCATTGGTTCAGCCTGTTTATGTGCCACAGCACCCGGGGTATCGGTACAGGAAGCGGCACTACTATTGATCGAGGCTTGTGATATGTGGCGATTTTGTATTTCGTTCCGACTGGCGTATGTAATAGCCCTCTACACGATACAGGGCGATCTAATTAGTCCATGACTGTGAGCCAGTGGCAGGCCGGATCGATCTCAAGTTCAATTGTCAAGGACATGTCTAGCGATATGAGGTGGTATCGCACGGAACGCCTGAACCTAGAATTGGCCAGAGCCTCCTCGCGATCCGTTCACTGGACGATGACCGGGGAGGGTCGACCTATACTAGCTATACTTGCTGATCTTGCTGATCCTGTGAAGAAGTTGCAACGGGAAAAGCTGCATTTGCCTAAATTTACCTGTCGCTCAGCTCACAAGTGGTTAGGTCTTGAGAACGATACGGCCTCGCTTGCACCTCTCACGTCCTATTTAATGCCGCCTATCAAGACCACCTCCCGGGCCGGTGAGCCTGCAACTAACCGCAGACCAGGCCGGACGAGGACAGGTTGTCTGACATGCAGGACAAGAAGAGTCAAGTGTGACGAGGGCGAGTCCATCCGATCGTGCTTCCTTACCATGTTGAAGCGTTAGAAAGCTGATCTATGAGGAGACGTGATTAGGCCGGCCTTCTTGTGATCGGTGTGAACGGTACGGAGCCGAAGTACCTACAATCCACAATGCCGAAACATCGAAACAAGGCTTATACCAGTCTATTTCATAGTGCAAGTATGCACCTCGAGTGACTCTCGATCAAGTCGTAAAACGGGTCAACGGGAAGAAGGCCCCGAAATCTGAGGGCTCAAGCACATCGAGCAAGCAGCAAGATCATCGTGCGACATTGCTACCGGACGAGGTTTTCGTCGACCGCGTATTGATCTTACAAGATGAGACTATCGCATCAGGAAGTGGCCCAAGGAGATCAAATGAGGAGCGGAATCATATGGTGAGCCCTGAGCAGTGCACTGATGTGTTCCTTCTTTATGAGACTAATCAAGGGACGCAGCTATTCGGCGTGCGGTATCTTTGTCGTTCAGACGAAGAGGAAGCATACAATCCAATAGACCTGACCACCCGGGGAAATCCCTTGAGCGGGATGCATGGGAATCTGCTGAAGGACGCGCTGGCGGCTTTAGGGACAATACGAAAAGCCATGTGAGTCGGTCCGGCTCGTCTTCGTTCACTCGAGCTTGCGAATAGACTCGAGCTCACGGAGAGATCTTGCACCTCTTGACTCGTTTAGCGACCAGGGGACGCAAAAGGAAGAACGTAACCGTTTGGAGAGAATGAGTGCGAATTATCGACGGTCCGCGTCGTCCGGGCTGAGAAAGGTAGCAGTGGACAAGCTTAAGGATGACGAGGAGGAAGGAGAAGAGCCTGGTCATGCGTGGGACATGATGCTGGTTACGGGAATCTCGTTGATGGCCGCCGATGTGAGTTTGATCATCTAGCTGGACTTAGCGACAGACCTCCACGCTAACAGTAGTTTTTCCGCCTGCAGTCGGTTGGCATGCATCCTGGATGGAGGGAGCCATGGCAAATCCTGGTTAAAGCGGTTCGGGCCCGCCATAAACAAAATCCAGATTCTCTACATCAGACCGCTCGTTCGGCGTACTGGATGGAGATACTGGTCATCCTCGACTGCTTTGGTCAGTAGGCTTGCGAGTACGCGGTACCGGATTCGTCTGACTAAACTTGACCGTTTTCTAACGCAGCTAGCATCATCGTAGGATGTAAACCCGTCATCAACAACCTTTACAGTACGGGATCAACGGTCAGTACGGCTCAAGGGATCTTGCCGATAGTCGTTGAGGCTATATCTTCGTACGACCATGGACAGCGCCACTATCTACCGCCATCTCGTATCGACAACAGTCTCATCGAGATCCTTACCGAATCCGCCGGTCTCATCGCCGAAAAAATCCGCCTGGATGACGAATATGGTCCAGTTGACCTTACACAATACGAAATCATGTCGCTCATGGATGACAACGGGGAAAGGACTCTCTTCGGGAACTCGCCACAACGTCAACAGCGACGTGCACTAGGGTTTCAGTTCAAAGCGACTCATCAGCGGATGGTCGATTGGAAGCGAGACGAGCGAAATTTGCAATTGTTGACTTCCGAGGCTAGGAACAAGTCTTTGGCTCTCTGGAACACGTGCTGGTTATACTATCTCTCCGAGGTTTACTTGGAAGATACAGCAAAACCAGAGATACAAGAGGCGGCGATTCAAGTTCTGGCTCATTGCGAGCAGTCCGACTCGGAAGATATATTTCTGGGTTGGGTAAGTGTATCCGGGTCGAAGCTGGGTGTGAATGTCGTATCCTGACCATTCACTTCTTGGTCCCTGTAGCCTCTTGTGTTAGCCTCCTCGATCCTTTCAGATACGCAATCTCGAGTCCGTGCGCTGGTCGTCCTCGCAAAGCGGTTTCATCCGAAGATGACGGTCTTGATCAAGGAGATCTGGGAGCGATACGATGCCACTAGCGAGAGGAGTCTGGTCAGAACGATGAGAGAGCTGGGTGGGGTTGTATTGTTGTCATAATCTGGCCAGGATAACAAGAGTCCCCGCGTCTGTTATTCATAGTCTGGCTATCAGATACACACTACACACTACGGCTAAATCGAGAGCTGTTTGTTCTGCGCCGATGGGATCAGGCGTTGAAGCACAATGAATCACTTGACCTACTTTCACTGCAACCCGTTATCCGTAACAAGTCAGCTGTGTGCAGCGGCGTTCTTCCTCATGCCATGACATGAGACTCACAGATGCAAGCAACAACAACCTACACTAATCCATTGCTATTGAGGCTCCTTCTGCTTGGCCTACGATGTCGACGGTTCAGTAATTGTTGTGTATATCGCATGCGACACCTCTTGTGTTCCCAAGCTGAGACTCCTCGCTTTTGATCATCGCAACTGAATGCGGTGCAGGAGATTGAGGACGATCAATCATGCTACTGTACGAGTACTCTAACAGCTAACAGCAAATAGCAAGCACACTGTACGCAGTCAACACTTGGGTATATCGGACACACGCTCCTTCAACCCGCATCTTTGAGATAGTTACCCAGTGCCTGTCCCATCATGCCTCAGCCTGCAGAGCTTGACGTGACACAAGCGAATCTCATTCTGCCAATCGAGCTGATTGAACAGATCGTCGACGAGTGTTTGGCATTGCGGCAGAGACGACAGAACGACCTTGATTTCGACCCAGAACGCTGGTATCGGTCCGGAGAGGAGGAGATTATTCTACCCTTGATCCAGAGCTGCAGGCTATTCGCGCACATCATCATCCCCAAACTCTACCGGCACGTCAGGCTCAACTCGCAGTTCAGCATTGAGCGATTTCTGGATGGTGCTCGATTCGAATCTTTCCAACTCATCAGAACGATGCATGTTGCCAAGGTTTCTGCCGAGTGCTTGGATTCGGGCCATGTATCCTATTGGTATGACATGATACTCCCAGTACATGCGGAACAGCGAATAGTCCAAAGCCATCTGAGCACACCTCGTGGATTCCTCACGCCGTACCCAGACCTGATGTCTGGCATGTCCGGCAAATATGTTCAAGGAAAGGGTGGGATAGAACATTATCTTGAGGACTGGAAGAGATCACGTAGGCCTCGTTTGAAGTGTTTGGAGGTAGACGGGGACCTCTTCAATTGTTTATTGCCGAGCCTCGTGAAAATGTGAGCCTGAGGTAGAGGCTTGAACAGGGCGCGGGTATTGACTCACGACTGAACCACAGCTTCTCGGTTGACCAGCTTGTGGTAAACGGATTTCACATCGGTTGGAGTCGCCAATCGCTTACCGAACCATATGATCGATACGCCAATCCCGCGGCTTTGGAGGTGGACGGTGATATAATACTGCACTGTGACATGACTTTCGACTTCCGCTATCAACAAGATTCACCTGTGGCGCTGGCGGCCTCGAAGCTCACCCCAAGAAGTGTGACATTGACTATCGGTTGGTGGCAAGACGGCGAGGCTGATTCTACCGACGGACCAGAGGACTTCTTTGACGGCATCCTGACGTATCTCCACCAGGATGCGCCGATCACTGGACTCACAGACATAATCATCAAGCCTTATGTACGCCATGACCGCCCGGACGGACACGCTTATTGTCTGCCAGGAGCAATCAAGCCGGTCATCCCTAAGGACCGGTATTCGAACGTCTATTTCGAATCGGATTGCAACTGTGGCAATGGCAAAGAAACCGGCTGTGAGTTTGGAGCAGGGCATTGGTAACAAGTTAGCTGATTATATGCCTCGAACCCTTCCAGTCTGGGATACCGCTAGAGAAGACGTCTTAGAGTCCATCGTAGATGACCACGGATCACCAAATGTCGCCGAATAGCCGTCGTTGTGAGTACTGGTCGAGTCCCACATTCTGGCAGCTTGTCTCGATTTCTGATTACACCTCGGTCATCTTGAACAGAACTCTGCCTCGGCCGCGACAATTCTTGATCCATCCTACCTTCGACACCTCTGCGTTGACCGCTCATGCGCACTCTCAGACAGTCTGCGTTATGCAGATGCAGCCATTCTAGTCATCACGCGCCACTTCCTTCACCTTTTACGGCTTTAGCCAGACGACACTTATGACTTTGACGACCAACCAGTTCTTTCAATCACATACCACAGACCAACCACTGTATCAGTAAACCCTCGAAGAGGCTTTTCGTCACCCTCCGTATACCTACTTCATATGCGATCCGATTAGTGTCGCTTACTTCAGGATGGTAGAGCCGTAGGCACGGACTGGAGTTTTCTTGATTGCCCATTGTCAATTCTACGATCTTATCACTCCAGATAGTCACACTGGTATGAAATTTTCCATAAGTGTCGATACGGATGATTCGGAACATCTACAATTCAAGTTGCAAAACAGATTTTGCGCTTCACCACGATTGGCCTAGGTTCCCCGCGGTACAGCAGGACTGCAGTCATCCGTGCGACGATCGCGTTCTCTCCCACTTGTGGAACGACAGCATTTTGTTTTGTAGCTGCTGGCTCTGATAAACTGGCAAGCCCGCTTGCAGAGCTGCAAGTGACTGTAGTAGCCAATTGATCCACCCTATCTCACGGTGCTTGGCATCTTCGTCTCGGATGAAAGGAGTCATAGGATACGGTCTCTCATGCTTCTCTCGGGCAACCGCGTCGTACGTCAACCACTGGTGAAGCTCCTTCAAGGTCGCTTTCAGAGGTGGGATTTGGTGATGTATGTAGAATACAAAGGCGTTACCATTGTCGTCATCCAACGACTTCTTCAACCATGTCAACGATTGGAGCAGAGCCCATCCCTGCTCCAAATATTTCAGTTCCTTCTGGACCGAGAAAGCACAGTCCTGCTCGTGGTCCTTCGGTAGAAATTTCAGAAGCATGCTACTGAGGGCTTCGAGCGTAGCATGTGGTTTCTTCGCTCTACGAGGGCTGAAGTTAACCTTGATCCTACCAAGAGTTTCGCTGTGGCACGACCATGAGTCTTCTTCGCCTTTGACCTCGAAAAATGGAAGATTCGCCGACGATGTTGCTGGTTGTAAGGAGTGACCTTTCAGACTGGGCAAGGTGATGGAAGGTCTGAAGAGAGATGTACGATGTTGGCTGTCCAGACTTAGACTTCCCTCTGAGCGCTTGTCAACCCAGGACCCGAAAGTTTCACTATATTGTGGGCCATGTCCCTCTATCAAGCCTAGCTGTGTCGGCTTTTGCGAAGAGATGAAGGAGTTGGCCGAATGATCGCCTGATAATGAGCTACCAATGATAGCCTACCTCATAAGTGGTTGAACAAAGGTGGGAGGATACAGCTGTATGGCTCAGGAGAACTCACGGTAGGGGACTGGCGAAAGACACGGTGAAGGGCGGATGACTTTTTTCGGCCTTCGTCGATACCGTATTGATCGAGCTCGGGGCTATTGGTTCATCATCATTCAGGAGCTGATGCAAGGTGAGAGTACTACCTCCTGTCTTCAAGGACTTTTGCGGGAAATCGTCACTGCCATTTCCCTTGAGCACGTTAGATACTGAGCGTTTTCTGACTGGAGGCATCGAGCAGTCGATTATATGAGGACTGATGCGCAGTGTAGCGAAGATGATGGGATCTCTCACTCTGGCGCAAATCTCACCTTGTTGTTTCCCCCCATCTGAAGTCGTTTTGGCCACGCCCTATATAGCTGTAGGCGGAGATTGTTCTCCGTGCTTTCGAGTATCGTCTCATACGGTATTATTTATTTATTCACACTCCACTACTGTCGTCGTCATTGACGCTGAAAGGAATGTCCGCCACCGTCGCGTGATAATACTGAAATTCTCCGATTCCTGCTCGCCAAGCTTCAATTTCAGAACACCCGTTTGGTGTGCGACAAGAGTCTATTGCATGTCATCAAAGGTGAGCGCAGCCCTTTTCCAGGTAAATGTTGCAGCTTAAAGCGCGTCTCGACTGACCAGGTCAAGTAACTCGCTGTTTCAACCGGAGTGAAATGACCAATGGCACCTTTACCGAACAGACCAAAGGTCCCTTGACAGAAAGTGATGTGCAGCAAGAATGGACGGAGGAGATTCCAGATGAACATACAGAAAGCGCTATGTTTGATCGGCCCTATGAAGCGACGGAAAATTTATCTTCTTCTGTGTGTGATATCGATCCGAGAGAGAAGTACTGCGGGTGTCTGGGGATATTGGTCCACCTTGCCTGTCTTAACAACTAATTCAAACTGCGGCGATGCGTCTGTATTGTCACGACCGGCTTTGCGAATTTGGATGTCTGTATAGGTGAACAACCCCAGCCTAGACTGTATCGCCGCATCGCCAGATTTGAGGTCCCTACCTCAGTTGACATCGTGGATGACAGGTAACCCTATTGCCCACATAAGAAGATCGAGTCGTATCTTGGCTGACGTGACATGTTCTTGAAAGATGAATGGATAGATTGAGCTCTTCTAGCGCATCGCTACGCGAACCAGCCGGAGGTCATACGGCATATACCATTACAGACGCACAAAATAGGCTTTAAGACCCCCGCGGCCAGTTATTTCATCTTGCATCGAAGAGTCGACCCCTTCCAATAGAAGCGTCGTTCGAAGTCGACACTCTCCATCAATTCTGGTTTAGGGATAATTTCCGTTCATGAACCGTTTCCATTGAAATGTGCCATCAGCGCTTCGAAAAGCTGGAAGTCGGAAGCAGAAAAGCTCTCGGTCCACTGATTCGGTTGAGACTCAACAGCTGAGGGACCGTTCCATGATTCTACCGATGTCGGAAAAGGACTCTAAGTACTGGCGCGCATCGATCTTGTTTATGAGCCCACTTACGGAAAGGCGCGTCACCCAGCGCTGGTGCTGGCATCATGCCAGGATTTGTCGAAGTGCTTGGGCCAGCCATTGCTCTACTTTCCGATGACGGAGTAGCGAATTGACTACCGAGGGATCCTGTCTCAGCCTTGGCCTGGATTACCTCTAGCAATGCGAACCCCTGGATCCCCGTTTCGTCCAATACCTCATCTTCCCGGCGTGCCGCAACAAAGGTTGCCAAGCAGTCCCGAATCGAGCTCAGTCTTTCCCTTGATGGGTCGATTAGCATGATCACTCTGGGAAGTGCAGTGGCATGTTAGTAATTGAGCCGATAGACAGTCCGTAACAGCGATGCTCACCCTAGTATGACGGCACACGTGGTAATTCTGTATGTCCCTCCAGAAAGCTTGGCCATCCCTCTCTGCGCATGCATCGCCCTCGCCCAAAGATCGTCCATCGCGCTACGATAACACGCTTCCAAGCTCTCCCTATATGTGATTCCGACTTCACCAGGTTGCTTGAAGCTGGACAGCAGAAACGGTCGATGTAGCGTAATCCTGCTGTAATGGTATTCTGCCGAGAGCAAGAACCGGTGCGTCGAGTGCATATCGACGTGTTGATCGAAATGTTGTCTTGCTGAACGGTCCTCTCGCGATAATATCCGAAAGTCTTCAGGTAGCTCAGCAGCCCAGGAGACCAGCAGCCGATCGAGTTCCAACGTCTTCGCAAATGAGGCTGGTTTCATCCCGAAAGCTTCTTTGGACAGCCGAGCCATGATCCGAGCCATCGATGTTCGAAGGAGGATGAAGCGGAGTGTGGATTCGACGTCGTCTATCGTGCAGGTGAATCCCCACGAAACGTGTGCTTGCATGACGTCGGTAGAAGGAGGCTGGACGTCGCAATCTTCATCTTGGATCCGGCTAGGTCTCCCTACAAGCAGTCCCAGATACCTGTCCAGATGATATATATCTATAGCCAAGCGGATTTCAGCTCGAAATGGGCCGAAGCTCTGGCAAACGACATGCTCACATTGCCAGACCCGCCTTCTATCCTCTTCCTGGACCATATCCACAACATGATCCATAGCCCGACCGTCTCGATGCAACCCTTGCGATTGCGCCCTCGAGATGGCCGACCCGAGTACGATATAGGCATCAGACGCTCGATGGACCAGGATCAAGTATCTCGCCGTCAAGAACTCGGCCATGACCATGTATAGTGATACCGGTGGTTTAGCCATCGTATCGAGAAATGTCTGTGCGTGCCTCGAAGCAGAGTATAGCGATTCCGGGCGGAGATTATGATGGCTGTTGTCTAGACTTCTTCGGTCCGAGTGATTAAGCCGAGAGATGGCGAGGACGATGAGAAGTAAGGGAAGGAAGGCGGTATCGGTAGGATTCGGATTGGGAAGGTTTGAGATGAGATTGTCGAAGTGTTCCCTGAACGGGATCTCTCGAATGGGACATCTCGTAAGGCTGCGTTCGGATTGATAGGTAGACGTAGAATGAGGGGATATCATATAAATGCTTGATAAGCTTGTGTCGTATCGGTGTCAAGAGAATCCATGACTCGAACAAAACTCACTTGATGGCCTCGAAGTAATGCCCGATAAGCCCTTCCATCTCCTCGTATCGTGGCAGCCTTTCCACAATCTGCTTGATCACCTCGTGGCCATGGATCGAATTCTCCGCTGAGCTCTACTTATACCCCGATAAGCAGCGGGCTGTCAGCGCAATGCTCCTGTCAAAGCATCATAGCTGGACGACGGGTACGTACGTGGTCACCGGGATCAAGAGGACCAGGCTGTTCCACTGTAGCCATAGCCGACGTTCCAAAATAACTCCCTTGAGTGATCCGTCCTTTCAAACCCGGTCCTGGTTCTGTTTCCGTCTCGAAGTGAAACTCGTATCTTTGATATGGGTTGTGCAGCCGAGGAGAGGTGTCTAGCTGTTGTGCTTGTTTGCGAGGTGGAGAACGAGCTCGAGATTGGGAAGTCGCAAGAAGGTGTTCAAGCCTGGCCAGTCGAGCTTGAATATCGGTGGAGACTTCTAGATTTTGATCCAACTTGGACTTGATCTCATCCGTCTGTTTCAACGGATCTTCATAGCTATGGTATTCAAACCGATCAGTGAGCCGCAAGTTGCAGGTCCTGGTTACAAAAAGAAGAGTTTGCACTCACCCGGCTACTAGATACTTGCATAACCCTGGTATCCGTCTCGAAACACATCCCGCACATGGTAACGCCCTGTCACACTACAACAAGTAGACATAAGTACTCGAGTCCTGCACGGTGAGCAAGGAGCTTTCGACCGACCTTGGCTTTCCGCTTCGAACACTCAACACAGCTACCCAGAGGGAAATTTCAATCTAGTACCAACGAGATGTTGTGAGATGCACCTCCCAGACACATACTTACCTATAGTGAGCCCTCTTTCGTTTCCGAGGTGCAGATCCAGAATCCGACTGATCCTCCTCTGGTTGTTTCGTTTGTTCAATCGTAGGTCGCGAAGTGCTCATCTTGCGGGTTCATTCGAAGCTCGAGATCCCGATGACAACGATCCTATTATACCGGCAGAGTTTCCGGCCAGTACGTCTGGCAGAGGTATTCGATATGAAGATGGTAGTGTCAAGTAGCAAGTAGCAATTTAGAGAGACGTATAGAATTGTCGCAAGTACGGTAGTAATCTCACTCGCAGATGAACCTGGACTCGGCGGGCATGACCGGTTCGGAGGTTGTAACCGTTTACTTCCGAAGGTTTTACATCCGATGAACATATCCGATTCAGTGGCTCCTGGAGAATGGTGCAATTGTTGCATGGACTCTTCAAGGGTTCATGACCTTGCAACTCGAAGGCATATCATACATGGCGCGATGACACAGTATATAGGTAGGCTTTCAATACAAACGGTTCGCCAGGGTCTCCTCTACAAAGCCGAAGCCATCCCGGTCTTACCCTGGGTAGGCCAGACGATGTTCAGGAAGTCGACAAAATCTTTGGACAAAGCTTCCGGCTGCTCGGTCGCTGCAAAGTGGCCACCTGTACACGAGAAAGATGATATAGTCATCCGGAAGTCAGTATCGAGTGTCGATTTCGGGATGACCGCAAAGATAGGCAAGTTGACTCACCGACTTGGTGTTCGTTAAAGTGTACCAAGTTGCCCGTCCCCTTGGCCCAGCTCTCTGGTACGGGCATGAGCTCACAAGGGAACTTGGTATACCCCATCGGCTTATCCACGTAGAGCCCTTGCAGTTCCTTTGTCAGATCCTTGGCATTCGCTCCGGGTCGATTGTAGATTGACATTCTCATCGAGGGATCTCTGTAGTAAAAGATCGACGAGGGGTAGGATTTCGTCAACCAGTAGATGGAGAGCCAGGTGAGAATGTGTTCCGTAGAAGGAGTGTTGTCGGTCCACTGAATGAACTTCTCGCCGACCCTGGATGAGTCAATACGATCATTGGTCAGGGTGAGCCGGGGTAATTTCTACGGCAAGAATATCTTCAACTCCGGTAACACCGTCCGAAATGCTTACCAAGCTAAAAGAGCGATAGGGCTACTGGCGACCGCATATCCGATCGTAGCAGGTCGAGTTCGATGCTCAGCGGAATAGGCCGAACCTTCCTGCCCAAACTTCTTGCCCCGCTCGATGCCCTTCTTGTCAGAGTCGCTGAGGATTATAGGAGCGGCGACGGCGTCCAAGATGGTGGGAGGTCCGGTGGGTACCATGTTGACTGGAATTTGAATAGTCGTGGTGGAAATCAGCAAATATGAAATATGAAGAATGTTGGCTTGAAAGCACTCACAGTGCACGGCTGCCAAGCAGATATGGTATATCGCGTGTCAGTGTCAACACATCGCACACCCAAGCTCAACTCCAATCCCGCTCATTGAAGGCACTCACCTTGGCACTCATCAAATCGGATAGCCATAAACCTTCCCAAAAACGCTCCCAAGTCCCCACCCTGAACGACATACTTGTCGTATCCTAGACCTTTCATCAGACTGTTCATGATCCGTGCACAGCCTTCTGTTCCGAGTTCCCGGTCCAGGGGAGCTTGGGAGGAGTAGGAATATCCGATCAAGCTGAGGCGATATGACCAGAATACATAGAGACCGAAATCAGCAACAGCGAAGGTCAGGAGAATGATAATATGCGGGCCATGTTTACTGACCTGGGGATGATAATATGCATCGGCGGGTTGCCGGCAGCTTGCAGGTGACGGACCATGGGCAAGATCTCATAGAAGTTTCCCGGCCAGCCATGTAGGATAACCACGGGAACTGCATTCGGATCCTCATGCTCGATCCCTACGAAATGAACCTTGAACGTGTCCTCCGCACCCGTCTTGGGATCGACATCATGAACATCCGCGATGAAGTGAGGGTACTCGTTCAATTTGGCTTGCGCTTCCGTCCAATCGAACTCCATCCAGGAAGACTTCATATCTTGCATCCATTCTTTGGAGGGGCCGAATTTGTGAGCGTGTTCGGACCTGTTTTCGTAAGTGTCGATCGCGAGTGGGGAGAGACGTAGGAGGGTTTTGAGGTCATCGATCTCTTGCTCCGAGTGGGAGATCGTGAAGGGTTGAATGGGGATTCTGGCGGCAGAAAAAGGCATCGTGGTAGTGTCCCGGTATTTTCAAGTGTTCAGCAGTACATGGGCGATGCCAGAAAAGGTCTGCGGTCCAGCAGGTATGCAGTTGAATATGAGCATCCCCCCCGCAAGTGTGAACCTCGACCCTCTTGATGACGTGGGCAACCTCGGAAGCAAAATAGGCTCCTCCGCTAACAAGGCAGCTACCACATGAAATCTTCGTTCATTCCACTCTGATCGAACTGTACAGCCTGTGCACTACGAAGTAAGAAGCCAAGAAGCCCACGCTCCCGAGCATGAGGAAATTCATTGTTGCAAAGAGGAACCTGCAACGCGGACGAAAAGTCGGATTAGCGTCGAGGTTCTTGCCGTAGCGAGACGAGCGGAGAGGGCCTCTCTGGCTTACAAATATCCGAAGTAGAGGACGACGCTGCTGAAGCCGTCGAAAGAAAGTCTGGAGATCCAGTACCTATTGCATGATCAAGGGATAGGAAATCGTGTCAATACGGAACCCGTGCGTATGACCGGTCAGAGCGATATGACTCACCAAGTACCGTATGCGGACAGCCACAAGCTGGAAGCTCCGCCGATCATGAAAGCCCGCCAATGCCATCTAGATAACCGCAAAGCTAAGTCAGCATTTCACAAGCTCGACTCAACGGCAACCTCGTTGCGTACCGGTATTCTTCGGCACAGAGGACGAAATCTATAGATAGCGGACCATCCCGTTTGAAGTCAGTCATCTCGGTCGACTTGCTTATCAAAGGCAGAAAGCACTGACAGACGAGCAGAACCGTTATGGCAGCGGCCGTGACGTTGACCACGGCGAATGTCAAGAACAAGAAGCCAAACGCGTAGCTGAGACATGCAAGGCGGTCAGCGAAAGAGCGGAAATTCGGCTGTGTAGACTCCACTTACTATGCACGATGTCCGAAGAGCGAGGTGAGCATAAAGTATAGCTCAACAAAGGCCGCTCCAAATGGTAGGGCGCCGCCAAGTGCAATGGAAGGCTGGAGAAGGGAAAGAACGTCAAATTTCAAGTCTCAGCGTATACGAGCAGACCGCAAGTACTCACCCATTTTCGAAGATACTTTTGAACAGGTTGGCCAGACGGTCAGGCAACTACACGATATGCATCAAGCGAACAACTCACAACTGGCGCTGGTGGCACTTGACGAGGGATGGAGTTGGTCCTGACTGGGGGTTCAATAGGCTGCAAGCCCAAAAGAAATCTGTCCGTCAGTTTCCCTCATTTCCGTTTTGATAAAATGCTATCCAAACGTACCCCTTGTCGCATCCCGTAGAAGTAACCAGCCACGCAAAGGGGTCCAGAGATCAAGAAGTACAGGGCCAGGATGGCCAGCATTGTGCCGAAGGGGACCGCTCCGGAAGCGCCAGACCCAATCAGCCAGAAGTTGAGCAGGAAAGTGATTGAGAAGACAAAGCTGGAAGCGTATCGCAAGAAAGATGAGCTCGAAGACCAGTGAAGCTGGAGAAAACCCGGAGATCTTACACTGGGAATCCCGTGGCCGTTAACGTCAAGTTGGACTTCCAGTCTTCTCCTCGCATGCTACCAAAAACTCGAGCTGAAACGTAGCCGGAGACCGCGCTGAACAAGGTCCAGCCGATCAGGAGCATAGTCGCGAGTCCTCCTCGGTTGGCAGGCGAAAGGAATCCAAATAACGCAAAGACTGCAAAGGGTTGGGAGGTGATGTTGAGCGTGTTGTTGTGATCTAAAATGGGAACGGAAGACGCTTACCTAGAGTGACAGCAGCGATACAGACGAGTTGAACTCCGCTACCCGCGAAGGCTGACAGCAGCATGACCCTTTGAGGGGAACGGAAGACCTCTCCGTGCACCAGCTGCATCACACATGGCCACCAGAAATCAGTTGGGCTAATAAGGTTACCACTTGTCAGATCGAACTTGCCTTCCAACCGACATCCTCTTGAACCTATCCGAAAGAGTCGTAAGCGGTCAGCTTGAAACCTTGCGTATACCAGAAGCCAAATCGAAGGCTCACATCTTCCGAGAGATCGACAGCATTGTACCTAGCGATATCTTTCGAAACGTTCCTGGCCAAGACGCTTCCGACCACTACGCAGGCGATCGAGCAAGTTCATCCCATATTCATCAGCACGCTTCTCCTTAGCACTCCGGTATCAACTGAGCGATGCTTACTGAGGATCAGGAAAACGACAACGACGAGTCCGTTTATCAGCCAGAACCAGTGGATCTTGGGGTCGAAGACGTGGCTGCACAAGGAACAAACAGGATATGTTTTAGCATGATGTGCCGATTACGAAGCAGGAGACCCATGTACGCACAGATACATATCCCATCTCAATGCCCAAGGAACGTCGGAGTCCACCCAGCTGACACTGTAGCTGAACCACAGCTGACTATCAACAGCTTCTGAGAGGTGTACCGGCGTCTCGCTGAAGCAATCCGGTTTGTCCGATCCGGGCGAATGTTGCACAGAGCGCGGGTATACGAGGACTCCTACGATACGGTATGATCCTCGGGAGGATTGGTGCTTGTGAATGTAGATGTCTAGGAGTGCGAACCAAGCATGAGCTTGCATGGTAATGCCTTGTAAAGAGAGTCTGGAATGGCAAACCGTAATGATTGTTGAAAGACGGCTGGTCAGATGAATCAACCGGAGTACCCCTAGATATTAAGAAAACTTTCAGCATACCACAAGGACTAACAGGGAATGCGCAGTTTCGACTCACAACGCAAACCCGCCGATATCGTAAAACACCTCGCCCGTCTGCAAATCCCGCTTCATCTCCGCAGCTGGTAGACCGTCTATCATCCAGTTGTTCCCGTAGTCGTCTTTGATCAGCTGTAAATTAGAATCGGGCATGGTTCAGACAGCAGCTCGCAAGGGTAGCGGAATGACCTGATCAGACGGACTCACCTGGTTGATGAAGCGAGCGTCATCTGCCGGGACGATAGCCTTGCACAGAGATTTACATGTGACACTGTGATAAGAGATCTCGCATGTCGTAAGCCGAAGATCACAGACCTCTTGACGCCACGTTGTACTCACTTCTCAAGCATGTTGATCTCGAACGGGCTGTTGAAGATCCGGTCTCCCCATAAGATGGAGCCGAGCGATTCTGGTTGTTTCTGAGGTCCGCCTTCGGGCTGGCAGAAGTGCAGTCGAGCTGTGAGTGTACCCAGGCCTCGTCAGTCGCATATTCGCACAGATCAGGGGTGCGTCAACTGATGCTCACGGTCATAATAGTCGTCTGATAACAAAAATCGGATTCAGCTGTTGTCGGAATGTACAAAGCTCCGGGACTTACGGCTGATGAGTGATTTCTATAGCACAGATATCGATCAGGGATCGTTTTTCATAGTTCTGAAGAGTAAAGAGGCTTACTATATTCGACTTTAGCATAGGCGACAGCGAATTGACCTGAACTTCGATCTTATCACCAGCTTGATAGTCTTGTGGAGCGGTCTGCGCAGCCGGATCGGAATGCACCTCAATCAGCCGCATCCCATGCACGGGTCTCAGCTATTTCCACTTACACCGGGAAGGTAGAACGCCTGACTTAGAGGAAGAGATATGGCGGCTCCGAGCAGCCTCACAAACTTGAGTCGCCCGAGCATCTCTTGTAATCTCCTATCCCGCAGCTGTTATCGACTGGTTGAACGTACTGAGAGGGCGACAGTGACCGTGGTACTATCGAATTGACTTGACCTGGTCCACCTCAAGTCGTTCAGAGAACCTGCGATGCGCTATGACGATTGAATTGGGCAGGTATCGATTGTACAGCCGGACCCGAGCTGTTGCTGCGGTATGCAGGTTGTTGAAAGGGTTCCTTGCCGAGGCCGGACACGTAATATCAGAAAGCCTCTGAGGCGTATGCTAATACTACTAATTGGATTAGGGTATCGTATCAATAATTTGCTAATGAACCTTGGACATGCTAATAGAACGATGCTGGGTATAATCTATATGATCTAATGCTTTCCTCAAACTGCACTCTCTATCTGACCTCCTCTCCGCCCTCTCAGTAACAGTGTCAACAAATTACACAATCCCCCTCCTTGCTCCCACCCATCCGTCGAGCCTTTTCCTTCTCGGCACACATCTCCGCATACCGCACCTTCTCAGTCTCGTTGAGAAGTCCCTTCTTATGTCGATTCTCTAGAGATTTAAATATAGATGCTAGTTCTGCGGCCGCTTGCCTGTCAGTCGAACGGAAAGAACACTGTCAGCGAAGGTGTTCGAGGGGAAGGGATGAAAACGCTCAGAACGAGACTTACTTATCCGTCGTGGATGGACCCAACTGGAACTTTCGTTTCATGCTCGCCATATCCATCTTATCCTCCCCGCTTCCTATCGGCTTCCCCACACCAGCTGCCGAGGTTGAAGACGAGGAGTCGTTCGTCGATGTCGTGTTCGATGACTGTCCCAATCGCTTCATAGCCGCCAATGCCGCATCCCGTCTAGCTCCAAAGGGAAGGTGCGTCAAGGAATTGCTGCTCACTCCAGCTTTGGTATTCGACGAGGTGGCGGTGGATATCGCTGGAGATTTGGTATTCGTGGTACCAGGTTTGATAGACGATGACGAGGCGGCGGCGTTCCCACCGGCCTGTTTAGCTCGGAGCTTAGCTAAGAGGGGGTTCGAGCTGTTGACTCCGGCCAGCTTCGAGTCGAGCTGACTCTGTTTGGCTGTAGGTGGCGGGGTCGTTGAGCTCGAGGAGGATGAGAGGGAGGGACAGACGTGTTGATTGGGGTATCGATGCGGTGCGCAGAAATCATGCTTGCAGGCCTGGGAGAACACCACAAAGAAGGTCTATTTAGCTATCTGTCAGAGTAATATCTTTCACCCTAGTCGCCATTTCACTGACTGCGGACTGCGAAACCCGAAACTCACCTCACACCGAATCTTGGCGAACAAGACCTTCCCACATCCTTTCTTCCAACACACCTCACCCTTCTCTCTCTTCCTCCTCAGCTCGTCCTTTCTCTCTTCCTTTCCTCGGCACTCGGACCCGATATGCCGTTCCATTGGGATGTTGGGGTCTTCCCCTGGAAGAGCCGAGATCGGGGTTGAGCATAGTGGGCAGAGCGGGGCGACCCGGTTGAGAGTGTATTCGGGTGGTCGATTGGGACATGTATGCGTTGAAAGGGAGAAGTGGGAGCCGCAAAACGGTTGATGGCAGTATTGACACTGATGACACGATCAACGATTGGTATTAGCGATACGAGGTCGATAGTACGGGTCAAAAGGGAGACAGCGGCGAAAGCGGAGAAGCTCACCTTGAGCGGTAAGAAGTCTACCAGATTGCATGCATCGTGAGAACACCTCTGACCGATGAAAAGCATCTCATCCGACGTCCTCCTAGATCCACTCGGGCTAGCGGTCTCGATTCGGGTTGTCGCCATGATGATGCAAGGTGCCGCTGAGTGTATCTACCGTAGAGGATGGAATTTCGGGGAAGGATGACAGGGGACCGAGAATCGCGAAGCAACGAAGATGCTGGACGAAGGACACCTTCTGCTAGTCGGTATATTGTTATATGTATACGAGCAGCGATATATGCTTGATAAGATGGTATGTGCTCGAATAGCAAGTGGGAAGAGGCGAATTCGAGCATTCGACTTAGTCATTCAGACCACAAAGCCCGAGCACATTCGAATTTCGACGCGTAATCGTTTTGCAGCTTCTTCGCAGCGACATTCAACCTTGACATCTAGCTTCTAGATCATGTAATTAAAGAGTCTATCAACAGGGTGAATACGAATGCAATGCCCCGTATTGTGTCTTCTGAACATCAAGCCGGACGTCGTTGTCGGGAGGTTTCTTTGCTAGTCCTCTCAGCGACTCTGCTACCGTATATGATCTCATGTTCAACACGATCAACACTCGATTTCTGGAGTTGAGGTGACCGCAACCCGGAATATACCGTTTCATCTGGCCTAGTCCTTCTTCCAACTATCTTATGACTGTGTACAACCTTGTCTTGGACTTGCTACTTCACCTCATTGACATACCTGTACTACAGTGATACCTCGATAGAATATGGAAAATTCATGTCGTTATGGTCATTGGAGGGACTGTGGGTGGGCTTCAGCCTGCCTCTTCAGCAGATTGACGGATAACGCGGTGGTCGAGGGCAAGCACGGGACGTCCCCCCTCACATGGCATTCCGTCCGACTCCCGCCAACCTGCTGATCACTCGCCAAAACTTCTCCCTCACTCCCTGGGAAGAGCCGATTGACCTGACCTTGGGGCTTATATGGGTCAGCGTGGACTTTTCCAAGGTCCTCAGTCAATACAAGGACGGAGGGAGTGACAAACAAAATTGCATCGATGCGAATTGGGTGGTTGGCAACTTTCTCACCATCCTCTTCAATCACATGGCGGTCCGTCCGACTCCCGCCAACCTGCTGATCACTCACCAAAACTTCTCCTTCACTCCCGGGGAAGAGCAGATTGACCTGACCTTGGGGCTTTTATGGGTCAGCGCGGACTTTTCCAAGGTCCTCAGTCTCTTCAGTAGGTCGACAAATAACGCGGTGATTGGCGGCAAGCACGGCGACGAATCCGGCGAGCAAAGCTCGGACTGAGGACCTTGACGCGACCGATCGCGAAGAACATAACAAGACGACCTTTCATAACGACACGACCTTCCCATGTTCTAGCTCTCCTGTAAAACCACGTAGCAGATACAAGTGATTGTTGATTAAGCATCTGACATCTAGCGAGTTATGCTGTGCATTGTATCCCATTCTCCGTCTGAATACAACTTGAGCCTACTAATCAATGAAAGGGTTGCCGCCTCGCACAATCCACCTCACCAAAAAACTCGCCATACTTCCGACTGCCAACCCAGCCGTCAAGCAAAATCCAGCTAGCGATCCCGAGATGTCCTTTTCCGACTCCTTGATCATGGGATTTAGCGACGGAGAAGAGGCGAGTATCATTCCCAAGGAAGAGATGTAACCGTTGCTTGCCCCGAAACAGAACAGGATGAACAGGTAGACGAGATCTGAGTTGATCAGAGGTACTCGACGAAATCCGGTATTGCAGAGTAGGAAGAGGGGAATGAAGAGCGTTCGGCCGAGCGAGGCGAGCAGCAGTTTGCGATGCGACGTGATAAGGAATCCAGGGCGAGCGGGAAGGTATGTCCGGCCAATGTAATCCGAGACTGCACAATCCGAATGATAAACGATGAGTTAGCGACGCTTACAGAAGAACACTGAAGCAGAAGGAGAGACCAGAGCTCACGGTTGAAAACCAGGAAATGCAGCGGCAGAAAGATCGAAGGGACAAGGAATCTGGGCACAGGGTCATGTACCGAAAGAATGGTTGTTGTGATCGGAGGGAATACCGCCTAGTATCATAGCGAACAATTGGATCAAGACGTGTGATCAGCTTTTGACCTCAGATCAGAAACGAAGGATTTCCTGTTTCGATCGATTCCCGTTTCAGATGTTCAAGACGTAGACGATATCGAGACTCACAAGCGTAACGACAAAGACCCAGGCCACGCTGAAGTATACGACCCTGTTCTTCCACATCATTCCCTTCATTCCTCTCCACCCTTTCGCGGCGGCGGTATGACGTAGATGTTCTTCCTCGTCTTCCTCGGCCACGAATCGAAGTTGCCTTTCGCTGTCCTCTTCGTCGTTCTCGGTAAGCGGAGTTTCATCGTTATACGCATTCGGCCCAGATCTAGTTGGTTGTCCTTCGTTCCGGCTCGGATGTGTCGAAGTACGTATGGTGTCTCTGCCCGGATGTTCGAAATCCAGCGTCTCGTCCACCTCGTTGTGGATCTCCGCCCGTGCTTTGCCAACCTGCGACGAGTACCTCGACTGTGATCCTGAAGTTGCTGAGGTTGAATCCAGGTGCAATAACCGTTTGCCGACCATGATGCACATCAGGATCGGGACTGTAGAGATAGCCCACAATCCGACCCCGGAGCTGAGTTGAGCGTTCGAGACCCCAGATCCTTCTCCCACGGCAACGACGCTGGTATGTAGATGTTCGTCCGGCGGTGTTGGGTTCCCCTCGTCTCCTCCCCAGACCGAAACTATCCCCAAATATAGCTGCACGCTCGCGATCAGCACGGCGACTCCTCCTTGACCGGACATGACGCAGAGCATCTCCTTGCTCCCATGCAGAGCGGCGATGGCGATACTTGACGATTGTAGGAAAGACGTCAAGAGGGAGAAGGATAGGGTAAGGAGGATAAGGAGGACGAAAAAGGGTACTGGAGAGAGCGTTGGGAAGAGAGTGGATAGAAAGAGCGGAGTAAGGACCGTCAGGAAGAGCAGGGCGTAGAGCGATTTCTTGAGGCGATTCGATTGCGAGACCTGCAGCGGGGGAGAAATCAGCCAGAAGCATAGAATGTGATATCAGTACAGTGTAAAGCGGCTTGGATGTATGGACCGACCTTGCCGACACCTCGTTGTGCGAGGCCGAGAAAGACAAAGTTGCCCAACGTGTAGACCGTCGTGATATAACTCGGAAGGGTGTGCCGGAGTCCCGAAGTTGGCGGTAATAGCGCTTGGAATAACGGCAAGGTGCAAATGAGTACTGCAAGATGCAGGAATGCAGGAAGTGCAATTTCAACCGGTTAGCAGCAAAGAATCTATCAGCGATCCTATGCCATGGTCGTAACTCTGAAAAGAGGAGGACTGACCGTTCCATGACAACAAGATGACCGCACCCAGCAACCAGAAACTCCAATCATCCCTCCTCGTGTGCCTTACGGGCAGACCATCGAGAGCGATCGAGCTGGACGGACGGGAGATGGTCGACGACAATGGGGTAGTCTCTCGGCCAAAGCGATCATCGCCCTGTTCGTGATCATCGTGGCTAGGTGCAGGAGGACGTTCAGAGGAGAGGCGTCGATAATCCATTTAAGGGCTAGATCAGAAGGTGTCGTTTTGACTCTGCATAGAGCGTGAGCTTCCTGTTAGAACTGATATCGTATTATAACTTATGCGAATGTGATGTCTTTCCGAGAGCTGGCGCGATTCGCAGCGATCGTAGCCACCTCACGTACGCGAAATAACTACACATCTGTGACGCTTTACAAGACTTCAAAAGTACATGGATAAATGAGAGCAAAACAAAAGCATCAATACCGTCTCACTCTTCGACTGTCACAGGGTGACATCGCCAGATCGCTTCGCGGCCTCAACAAGCAGATCGCTTCGCGGCCTCAACAAGCAGATCGCTTCGCGGCCTCAACAAGCTGCTCCACCCCCTCCTCGTAAAGCTCATCAGCTTCCTTGGCGAGCTGCTCAGCTTCCTCTTCGAGCTCCTCCATCTGCTTTTGCAACAACTCCACCTTTTCCTTCTTCTCAGCCGCCTCTCTGAAGATCTCCGCAGCCTTGGCGCACTTGGCGGCTCGATCTCGAAGCATGTCCCCGGTCAATTTGAGCCGCTTGGGCAGTGGGGCGCTCTCCGCTTCATCAACATCGTCAAGACGGCGCTTTCGACTGAGGGAGGGGTCGGTAGAGCTGGCGGCAAGCAAAGGAGAGTCGGTAGAGCTGGCGGCAAGCAAAGGAGACGGCGAGGTCGACGATTGAGCGGGATGGTTCGAGACGGGATGGTTCGAGAAATATGCCCGGGTCCTGATGAGGTTGCCGGATTTGATAGGCGCCGCGGGGGTCCTCCTGTCGGGTTCGTCGTACATATGGAGAGGCCCAAGATTGGGCTGAAAAAAAGGCCTAGCATCCCGGATTTCCACCTTCATCATATCGAGTTCGACCTTTGCCGCGAGTTTCTCGGAGAGAGCCTTGCCTAAGCGCTGTAATTCCTTCGGAGAGGTTCCGCTTGGATACAGGTATGATATCGCCTTGACGACACCGTTTTTGTGAACCTCGATCTCGTGAGGTCGGGTGTCGACGACGAGGTCGTACACGGTATGGGCGTCGCCGGACGGCGACGCGAGCAAGAGCGCGACGATATGGCCCTGCAACCCGTGCTCCTGCTCCTGAATCACGGTCAACTTGTTGATGTGCCGGTTTCCCAACCACCAATTCAAGGCATGGAGGCGGCGCAGACTCCCCACCGATCCTGCTCAAATCAGATCGATATCAGCATTGCGCTTCAATGGTGTGATTCTGGCAAACACTGACCTTCGATGACGAGCCACGGCCTACTGTCTCCTTCAGCCATCGGCCAGCGAACTCCTCGACACGAGATATCGTCAACGGCGCTAAATTCCCGTAGCAGAGACATGACACCGGCAACGACGTCGATCGAAGCTTGGGGCAGCTCGAGACTGCCGTCGCGGCGAGCGAGGTTTCGCAAGGCCTCGCACCTCACAAAGAGCACGTTGTTCTCCTGCAGGTCGACAGGGTGGATCTGATTAGGTCGAGCGCAGGGTGTGCTGCATATCGCGCCCGTAGACGAGGGAGCAGGCCTAGGGTCACGGTGATGGTTGTTGTTTGTCATGGCGAGCGACGAGCGACGAAAAAGGAGGTATCGATTATCGGGTATCGTTTATCGGGATTCGTTGTCGAGTCGCGAGTCGCTGTAGGCTGTAGTTCGACCTCAGCCTGGATTTCGTTGTGGAGAGTCGTTTGCTGGAATGTTTTCGTCGTCTTTGACCCCCCCCGAGTGAGCTGCGAGTTGCGCTTGCGAGAGCCCTCTCCCTCTGCCCTCTCCCTCTCTTTCTCTCTGCCCTCTCCCTCTGCCCTCCTCCCTGTTGCGCTTCTGCTTGCTCCCCCGTCATCCTTCCCGCAGTCCCTAGGTGAGTGCTGTCGGGGTGTGTGCTGCGGGCGGTCTGTTGTGACTGTGCACCGCGGGTTTCTCCTCTTTCCCCCCTCTCGGTGCGAACGCGTGGGAAAGCACAAGAGACGGACGGCCCCATGGCCCCAACTGCTTGTCGACTGTCGACGGAACGACGCGTGGCCCGTATATAACCCCCCTCGAACCCGTGTCCAAACTCGCACTCACCTCCCTCATGTCATCCACACTCTCTAGCAATCTCCTTTCCATCACCGTCTCTCATCCACTGAGCCACCAGCACCAGCCACCCTCCTTCCACGTCTTCGCCATAATCACCCCCCAGGCCAATCGCCAATTCGATCCGTCCCCGCCTACTTTCGGTGAATCGATGCCGGCTGGGTGCTCTCCTGCCCGCCATAGTAGGATCCCCGCCGGGAAAGAGCCCGGCTAGCAGAGAGGAACTGGAAAAGGAGCTCATCTTTTCAAGGCCGGGCGCTCTCATCTCCGCGTGGGTAGAGTCCGGCTAAAGGGACGAGGAGATCATTCCTCCTCGTCGGGCGAGATCCTACCTAGTGTTAGGGCAGTCGTCATGACCTCGGCGAGCAACCGACCATAGAGCCTCTCTGAGATCATTCCTCTAATAGCGTGCTTGATCTCGGACCGGTTCATGGGACGAGTCCTCATGAGCGATCGGCGGAACCTCGCGGTTCGTCGTTGCGGCCATGAGCGGTGATCCACGACTAGATCGGCGAGGAGGTTCCTCCAGAGGAATCACGGCGTCTCCGCAGCGTGGGCGTGTACACCTCTGCAGTGAAGCTCGTGGCATTCGTGGAATCTAGCAAAACCGGCGCTGACGAGGGCGTGGTCAAGAGTACAACGCGAATCAGCCTCGTGTCTCGCCTCGACGTCAGCTATACACAAGAAAGCTCACTCTATGCCGTTTCGCCAGTCTTCGTTTTTCCCCAGGTTCTCGTGCACCGTCGTCAGCACCCATCCCTCACCAGGACATCATCATCCGTCACATCGACCACGTCCCTTTCCCCCTTCTTCAGATCTGGATGATCGACGGCCGGTACTCAATCCACCTTAGCGGAAGTGACCTATTCAGGATCAGTAGACCGGCCCGTCAGATCCTGGTTTCCAAGTCGATTATCGCCGTCCGAGTTCTCAATCCACTTTAGCGGAAGTGACCTATCCAGGATCAGTAGAACTCGCTATCGACGATCGACCAGGAAAGGAGCTCCAGTCCCATCATCATCTCTTCGGCTTCCGGTCGATCATCGCCATCCGAGTTCTCAATCCACCTTAGCGGAAGTGACCTATCCAGGATCAGTAGACTCGCTGTTGACGATCGACCGGGAAAGGAGCTCATCTTTCAGTGCCGGGTGCTCCAGATCCTCAGGACTGTGTCTCCACCATAAGACAAGAGCCCGGCCAAGCGACGGGGACCATGCTCCTCCTCGTCGGTCGGCATCCTCTCTAGTAGAAGGTGCCGTCATGACCTCGGACCAACCGACCGTGTGCCTCTTCCCGGTTCATCCTCGTATAGCGATGCTTGATTCCGGTGATGTCGGGCCATGATCGAGTCCTCATGAGCGATCGGCGGGACCTCGCAGTCCGTCGTTGCGGCCATGAGCGGTGACCCACGACCAGATTACGGACAAGCCCTGAGTCGGATTCACGGCGTCCCCTTTGCGCGGGCGTGGCCCGCCAGGAAACTCGCCGTAGCGATCGTGGGACGAATATCAGGCCGGCGCTGTCGAGGGCGTAGATAAGTAGAGCGCGACTTGGTGTTCTTCTCTTTCACTCTTCCTCCTTCCCGGGTCTTCTATCTCCTCTTCACCGACCGTCTTGATCGTCGAATCAGAGTTGACTTTTGATTGCGAGTTGCAGGTCGACGCCGCATAGCACAGGATGAGAACTCGTCTAGCACGACTCAAACACGTAGGTCAAACCTCGAGTCCGAGGCTGATGTTTCGTTTGCGGGTCGCAGTCCGATGTCGACGTCGACGGGAAAGGACTCGTCTTGGGTGCACTTGAAGAACGTGAGTCGATCTTGTCTCTTCCACATATTGTCCGACCGAAATGCAAGTCCGGGACTGACATCGCCTTTTCCTTTTCATCTCCAGTTTGTAGAACCTGCCGGTCGCCTCCCCTGTACCACGGAATTCGAGCTCCGCTCTTTTCATCGACCCGCCGAAGGTCTCCTCCAGTAAGTACCTAGCGCTCGGGCAAGGATCACGGCGCGCATTCGAGGTTGCTGACCCGCTTCGTTCGTCCGTACAGGCATTGCGGTCGGATTCACGCAGGTCACGTGTTGCATCGGTGGAGAGGGCACCTCGACTCGGGAGTCGTATTCATGTAAGTCGTCCCGCTTTCGTACCTTACCACCACTTGTTGGCGAACTGATGACCACAATTTCATGATTTATCCGAATAGGGGATTCTTCGTTCTTCGTTCTTCGTTCTTCGTTCCGAGGGCCCGGGGGGGTTAGGGGAGGCATCAAATCATATCACATCAATGGTTACCCGGGCTCCTCCCATTTTCCGAATCGTCGGTCGACGACCTTGTATATCCATAGACACCATATCGCAAGAGTCCCGTAGAGATGAAGGATTCGGCTTAACTTTCAGATTCCGACCGTTGTTCCCCTATTTCCGATTTGCCCAGGAATGTCCGTCCCCTTCCAACGTATCCTTATACTCGCCGGTGCCGTTAAATCTATCTCAAAATCCGATCGATCTCTATCATTCCGATGATCATACATCCGGCCCACTCCTCTCTCCCGATCCGATATTGGCGAGGCGCTCCTCGTAGCGGCTAAGTAGCGCTACGACGAGATCTGAAGCGTCATCCACGCGTTTACCAGAAACCGCCTGCCATATCGGTCGCTCGAGAGGTCATGTGCGGTGTCGACTTCAGCAGTTGATGATCCAGCCGGTCCGATGATTGCCAGCCTGATCCTGTTGTTCCCGCGGGGCGTTTTATACGCGGATTCTTGTGAGATCGTGCATCGCGATACCAGGTGGACCAAGAGGATCGCTTTTCGCTGTGAATAGGCGGTCTTAGAGCATAAGATGATACGCTGGATATTTGCGATTCGAACTCGGGTGCTTGAGGGATTTTGGGAGGTCTTCGTGATTTTTCTTCATCGCAGGAAAAGGGGTTCAAGTTTTCCTTCTCGGTGACAGGTCTTGCAGCGCGAGCGCGAGGAATAGCATGGGGAGATTGCGAATCTTCTGATCGACTCCAGATCTCTGAAGAGTCTTCATTCCCCATATATAATTGCACCGTTGAGTCAAGGTCGTCCGGCTCCTTCAGATCGGCCCAAATAATATTTCGGAGCATTGTCTTCATCGCGATGATTTTTCGTTGACCCCTCGACTAGTCGATGCAGATGTGTCGTATTCTCAGCTGATTCTTGACCCTTGAAGTGGGTTGCTTCGAGGTGTTCAAAGACGCTAGCTCGATTAACTTCACTACTTCGAAAGCGGTTCTAGAATCGATTGGCGGAGGTGGATGATGTCCGCCAGCCGGGTCTACGACGGCGAGCTTGTCGGGGTCGGTCAAAACGTAACACAAAACGTCTCGTCCTATCTCGCAGGAGTATGGCTATAGTTACGTGTTCGATATAGCATGCAATAATGTACAAGACTTGAGTAAAATCCCTCAAGTTACCCCTTTGTCGGCCACGTATCCCTCTCAGCGGGGGAAGAGGAAAAGGTGTCGGATCCAATACTCGTTATGCTCGAAGCGGCAATTCTCATTGGCCCGCGTACAAGCCGGCGCAAAGGAATCGTCTCACGAGGTCAACCGAATTGTCAGAACATATCTTGGGGTGTAGGTCTTCTGGCAAGCGATCCATACGAGTCAACTAGAACTCACAATGCCCGATGTCCACTCTGAGACGAGAAGTTTCTTTGATCGATCAACTTTTTTTGATCGGCTGCGAACCGGATTTCCATCACCTTCTATCGTCTGAAACGTCACGCTGATGGATCGAATCGGTCAGAACGCATACCCAATTTCCGCCGCCCACGAAGCTCCTGGGCACTACAAAGTAAACAAATGTCCTTTTTTTAAACAGCGTAAAAGTCATTCAAAAAAATGACCATCCATATTAACCTCATGAACGTGACAATCCACCATTGCTGTAGTCGCAATAAATACTTAGAAGGAGCTAGGAGACAGTATGCGATAGTATCTCATACGAACCGTTTCGGTAATTGGCCGTTTAGGTTATCCGATGGTCCCGATATCAAGAACGTCGGCAGCTCAGCGAAGCTGTTGTCGATCCATATGCGGAGTCCTAATCGATGAGATATCGCTGGCCACGCCGACGCTCCAGGGGTAGCAATTGAAGGACTACATCCGCCTGTCTATTCTCGAGATGTCAGAAGAATCTGGAAGCTGTTTACCAGTGCGGGAGACCCGCCGATTTCAAGTTTTCCGTGTCTATACAGTAAGACTCCGTAGCTGCTCTTGAACAGTTGAAGAATTGAGACTGAAAATGCAGCTTGTGCAGCACAAGAGTTCCGCGGAGCTACTAAATCGTCATCACGCATAGTTGATGCTGATGCGGTGTCGTACGCGTCGCCCTAGGCCTACATCTAGACGACCCTACTATGTCCGATCACCTATGTACCCTAGTCTAGCATGTCCTCATCATCCGTCTCTCCATCTCATGGCGACGCAAGCTGTCGAACCGGCGAGATAGGGGATCATCAAATTCGAAGTCCGCAAACCGATACCACCATTTTCCATCGAGATATCACCATTTGATCAAAAAGTGAAAATTTTCTGATCGGTGGGTGCCTAGTGCTAGTACCGCTCCTATAGATCCAGTTCCCGACCCCAAACACCTATACCCGACCCCCACAGACCTGACTAGTTCATGGTCGTCACTAGAGCCGAAGAAAGAGCCCAAGAAGAGCGACTACGAGACCTCGAGGAACTCCCAAACCTCCCAGATTCGCAAACGTCCTCGCCACTGAGTTTGCCACCACCCTCACCGCAACCAATCCGATCCAAATCCTTTCTGACGATGAGTCTCGCCCTACCGAAGTTCGACGGTGGAGAAGGCAAGGCCAAGGCCTTCATCAACGATTTCGACATCGCGATGTTGGACCGGGACGTGGAGAGGGATGACAAAAAAGCGAAGTATTTTGTTAGGTGTCTCGTTCCCGATTCCCGGGCCGAACGCTGGCTCGACAGACTCGACGAGGCTACCAAAGCTTCGTACAGCCTGCTCGAAGCGGCCTTCAAATCTACCTTTATCGACGTCTCAGTCACGGACGTGTCGAGGATGAACGCGCTACAACAGATGATGAAGACTCGCTTGAAGGACGCCGACGTGGGACGAAGTGCTAGCAACGACCCAACTCCCTACCATATCAGATATTGCGAAGAGATGGCGCGGCTTGGCTCAAAGGTACCTGTCAATACTCACGATTCGACAAAGGTAGCCGCCATTCTGAGCAACGTGGGGGGAGGTCTAGCCAAAACGCTTAGGGAAGAGAGAAAGGATACCTTCGACGGAGTTCTAGACGGGATCAGGGACCTCTCTGATTGGCAGATAAAGGATATTCAGCACTACGCAATGGTGGAACAGCTGGCCAATGCTAGCACAGCTAGGTCTCCGCCTCCGATCCGCCAATCAGCCCTGCCCCTTTCGCCAGCGTTGACCGACGTCAGTTTGCCTCAGGAAAGACCCGCAAGGAGGGGACAGCAGGAGGCGAGGTACAATCAAGGGACCAACCAAGATCGATTCCTGCCGATCACGGCGGCTCATCAAGCGAGGATAGACGAGTGGGAAGCTCGATTCGGAGACGTCGAACCCTCGGCTGATATGAACTACCCATTGACGCCGGGAACGGAGCAAGCGGGCACACGCGAGTGCTACAAGTGCGGTACCAAGAGACCGTTGAATCACATCGCTCGAGAATGCCCGAATCCCTGGGTCAATCCGAAAGAACAGAGCTACAGGTACCGAGTATCGGAAAAGAAGAGGTCGATGGGGGATCGAGGCAACAGCTACCAGAACAATCAGAACTACAGGTCGAACGGCTACTACGCCAGCGGTGCGAACGCAGTTCCGGTACCCCAAGGCATCGCCACAGTTGGTGCCCTCGGCTTCGAATATGATGACGACGATCAGGAAGGCCTCTCGTGGATGGCCCTGCAGGGACAGGGAAACGAGGAGGGACTGGGCTTCTGAGGGGTAGCCTAGTCCCGACGGTAAAGAAGGAGGACCCTTGGGGATTAGGATGGGGAGGAGTGGAGGAGGAAGTGAGCGGAGAAAGAGAGAAAGCAGCATCACCATACACAAGCATTCATCAGAGAGAGGAAGAGTACTTCCCGATCTTTGCATTCACACCACACGAAATCGGGACACCCCCGTGGACTGGGCTAGAATTACCAGTCCCTGCGACGAGTGGGAGCGCATCTGCTCCCGCTGGACCCTCTGTGAGTCGAAGGACGATCTACGATGTAGGGACTGTTCCACGGCCTGAAGTAAACTTTGCGTCCCGATCCAATAGCCCGCTACGTCGAGACCAAGCAGTTCGAAACAATCAAGTCACCAACCAGCCAATTGGGGTCGGTCGAAGCCCGCCGGAAGGCGCTGCGTTTCCTGACCGTGCCGAGGGGGCCAGTGTAAGCCGGCTGGAAGGCCTTGTGTTTCCTGGTCGGACCGGAGCTCCCGGTAGAGAGCCGCCAACGGGCGTGAAGCCTCCCGGATTACCAGAGGTTGGTGACAAACGAATTAGCGAAGGTGAAAGACAAAGGGCAGAAGATCGGGGACAAGAGGTTGTAGACTTCTATGCCGAAAACGAAGAACGCCCGCCTCCCTTTTGCGTACCACATACATTACGCAAGGGAGGTTACAACTTCTCGGCTGGACGTCGGGGCTTCATGGATAGCATGGCCCTGGTTTCCGCGATGGACCAGTCGTTCTACGGAAAGCACAGGAACGGGCTAGGTCCAATCGAACCTTCAAACAAGATCTTACGCATGGCAGACGGGTCGAAGAGAAAAAGCGAGGGCCTAGTGCGAGTCGAATTTGTCCTCACCTACGACGGAGGTAGAATCGTAACTCCAGTCAGCATGGAGGTAGTCGAATCCGCAGGTGCATGGGATGTCCTATTCGGATTGCCAATGATGGTCCAGACGAGAGCCGTCATAGACTTCGGCGAGAGGGAGCTGCGAATCAAAGGCGGGGCCGACGGAGGCGTCAAGACGTTCAAGGCATATGATACGGAGGACAATCGAGCGAACATCGACGATCTACTAGCCCTGGAGCTGGATGACAATGACGAGGGCCGCATCCCTGACTTCGGTCCCACAAAAGACACTTCCTTAGCCCGAGAGGATCAAATCCTCCAGAAAATTATCATTGGCGACGACTTGAGCTCGCAACAACGGGCAAAGGTAGTAGAGCTGATCAAAGCGAAGCATGAAGCGTGGGCACTGTCGCTGAGTGAGCTACAGGAAGCGAACGTAGCTCCGACAACGATCCACGTCAATCCGGACGTTCCCTTGCCATTGGAACCCACACAACGTATGTCGACGACCGAAGCCGCAGCGGCGGGAATCTACATAGACTCCTTGCTACAGGCTAGGCTGGTGCGACCCATCGATCCCTGGGAAGTCAAGTGCGTTTCGAATATCATCATGGTGCCGAAAAAGCAGGTCGGGGCAGACGAAGCCGAAGTGAAGAGGAGGGTCGACAACGCGATATCACAGACTCCGATAGAGCAAGAAGAAGGAGGCGAGAGGAAGGACGTCGACCCGACTACTCTTTATCGGATGGTGTTCAACTTCAAGCCACTGAACAAGGCGGCTCGCTGTAGTCCGTTCATGCCGGGCAACATGCAGGACTTAGTCGCGAGAGCTTCGGGCCGCAGGTATATCTCCGTAATGGATCAGCTAGGAGCGTTCTATTCATTCCCGTTGGCAGCGGAATCCCAGGCGTACACTGCTTTCTTCGTGCCGGGAAGGGGATACTTTTGCCATACGAGAATGGCTCAAGGGTTAGCGGGATCCCCAGCCACGATGCAGACCGGGGCAGCCAATGCTTACAAAGGGCTCCTGGGAAACATCGCGGAAATTTGGATGGACGACCTCTTCACCAGCTCCAGCACGTTCGAGGATCATATCAAGAACTTAGGCGACCTCGCGGACAGAGCGATCCAAGCCGGGCTTCGTTGGTCTCCGGCGAAAACGAAGTTGTTCATGTCCGAGGCGAAAATAGGAGGACAACTCGTCAGTATAGAAGGAGTGCGTCCAGACCCAGAAAAGGTCGACGCTATCGTCCATCTAGCCGTCCCTTCTACAGCCATGCAAGCTCTGTCGTTCGTGAACAAGGCCTCGCACTTTCGTCGCACGATCAAGAACTTCTCCGCGATCGCAGCTCCGTTGACGGACCTCACGAGGCACGTAACGGCGTCGCGAAAGACGAAAGGGGCCTTGAAGCGAGCTCTCGAAGAAACCAATATCGAGAGTCAATGGGGAAAGAGAGAACAGGATAGCTTCGACGCAATCAAAAGGGGTCTATGCGAACTAGTCCTCACAGGAGCACCGATCTACGATGGAGGCAAGACCCCATTTCAAATCGACGTGGATGCGTGTGCCGAAGGGTTCGGTGCTCATCTATACCAAAGCGTGGATGGGGAAATCCGGACCATCGAATTCGCTTCGAAGCGCACATCTGAGCGAGAGCAGAACACACATTCGTTCTTACTAGAACTGAAGTGTGTGAAGTGGGCGTTAGATCGATTCAGAAGCACCATCCATGGACACCGGGTGATTCTCCATACAGACTGCCAAGCGGTTCGTGATCTCCTGAATAACGATCGACCTACATTTCAACAAGCGGCATGGAAGGATGCCATCCTCAACTGTGGTTCTCTCCTCGAATTTCGTCATAAATCGGGAAAAGACAACGTCATAGCCGATTTCCTATCGAGAAACGCGGTGGGTGAACGAGGTGCGAGCATAGAAGTAGATCCCTCGATCAAGGGGGTCGTGAACGACATCTGTTACTGCTCGGACACAAGCTGGAACGAACCGGAGCCGATCGAAGAAAACCATCTTTGCTGGATGGACGGCGAGGACCCAGCCGACGAGAACTTGCGAAAGCGCTTCAAGGGAGACGACTTATACGCAGTCGTATGCTTCCTCACTAAGCTCATCAATAGCGATGCGGACATAGTGGTGCAAAAGGCAAAGCTCTTTTGGACAAGGGAGGGAAAGCTGTATACACGTCACAGAGGAGGCCACGAAATGGAGGTCCTCCCTACTCGAGAGGGCCCGGGAGCCGCGGCGGCAGCACATGAAGAATGTGGTCATTTCGCAAAAGAAATTACCATACGCCACCTGCAACGCAGCGTCACCTGGCTCTCAATTCGCAAGGACGTGGGTATCGCCATCGAGAACTGTTTGATCTTTCGCAAATTCGGACCAAGACTGCGGAATTCGTTGCTCAGGGAGACTCTGAGGTACGCACCGTTCCACCTCGTCGCGATGGATTACCTATTCCTTCCGAAAACAAAGGAAGGATTTAGGATAGCCCTCATAGCGGTAGACTCCTGTTCGAAATTCATCTTCGGGTGGGCGTACGCGAACCAGGAACCCTCGACGGAAACCGCTCTGACAGCTCTCGCGGACATGGGTCGACGCTACATGCTCCCTAGAGAAATCGTCGTCAACAACCAGTTCGTTACAAAAGCGATGAAAGACGCCACAGCCGACAAGATTGTCCTTACGCCGGCCGCACCTTACGCCCATGTTGCGCTTGCGGAGAACGCCAATCATCTGGTGTTAGACCGACTACGAAGGATCTGTAGGATGACAGACTCGATCGAAGAGTTACTACCGGATGAAAGCGCGTTCGAAGCTTGGCCACAGCGCTTGCAAATGTCGATAGCGGCGCTCGACAACAGGCGTCTCGAAAGCCTGGGGGGATATTCGCCCAGAGAATTGCTGTTCGGGCAAACAGATCTCAATCCGCTACCGGCTAAGTTGTGCGACTTCGGACAATCGGCGAAAGATCTCAGGATGGAGGCTATGGAGGCTCGAGACGCCGACGTGAACAGAAGGATGGGTCATGACCAGAAACCGGTCAAACCCTTCTACATCGGACAGCTAGTCCAGGTCTATGACCCGAAGAAGGATGATACTCACGAGGCGGTGAGAAAATTGAAGAAGAAGTGGTCGGGGCCGTACAGGATCGTGGACATGAGCCGCAGCAGCGCACAGTTATCCACACCTGACGGGGACCCGGCGGGGAGAGCGGGATTCGATAGGCTACGCCCATGGCGTGGCTACGTGGAGCTGAGGAAGGCGGGAGACGAAAGGGAGTAAAGAAGCATCTGGATTGACAACAACAACAACAAACGACGACAATTATCTGAGAACCGACACCGGGCCGAAAAGAGCCAAGCGACGCATCAAACAACCCGTATAAAAAGAAGAAAAACATCATAAAAAAGAGACTGAACAAGACAAACGGGCAAGCGAAAATCGTTGAACAAAACGGACGCTGCGATCGAGTATATAGCATATGGTAGATTAGAACGGAGAGACGGTAAAAAATTTAGAAGACGGGGGTAGGAATGTCGTACGCGTCGCCCTAGGCCTACATCTAGACGACCCTACTATGTCCGATCACCTATGTACCCTAGTCTAGCATGTCCTCATCATCCGTCTCTCCATCTCAGCGGTCGAGAGCTGCCGCCAGACGCGATGACGTGTGAGAAAGCGACACCGGTACGAAGGCTGACGCGTTCGGTTTCGGCTTGGACGGGCGCGGAAAGCCATTTTGTAACACAAGTCGGTGCAACTGCCCATGACAGCTTGATGTTGTATGTTCACTATCGGTAGGGTGTATTTGGCATCAACGAAGATACTCTATGCTCCAGCTCAATCTCGACATGTCGACATGTAGACTGCGAATGGCGTGATTGCTCACTGTTCGCTTTCTCACGCCCTTTCGTATGATGTGCTCACGTCACATGATGTAGGTGGTGACTCCTTTGATACTTAGACAGGTATGTCCTGATCAGACTCCGGCCGGGTGCTCTGTAGATTACTACATAATGCTGCGATAAGTGACCGTCTTCACCCGGGACGAATGATATGTTTTGCCTCCCTCATCACCATCACCGAAGAAACAACGGCAGCGCAAACCCTCCAGACGCTTCAATGGATCTGAACTATGTCTCATAGCTTCCAACAAAGTGAAGAAGAGCCTTTGCCCTGGGCAGAGTGGGCAGCAGAGGGTCAGGGAGCATCGCTCGACCTACCCACCGCTCAGCCCATTTGGTACGGCACGCCCGAGGCATCTTCACCACAAGTTGCCACGCCTTATAGCAACAACTCATACAGTACCTTGCCTCACATGACACATACGCAAATCACATACGCCGCACCTTCTTGGCAGGATTACGAACGAGATGCCACGTTTCACGCAAATCAAGGCCCAGCGGTTCAAAACTGGCAATTTGTGTACAGCGGAAGCAACAATCACGAGCTGACTGATAGGCTCGCGCAGTCGGGGAACATGAACGTTTTCGACCCAACCTCTCATAGAGATGGGTCTGATTGTCAACAGGCCCCCTTTGAGCCTACTCAAACTCCCACCCGAAGTACAGCTCAATCACAAGCCTTCCCTTTTGGCACGGGTAGTCTGCCCGGCCCAGAAAGAACGCCCCGTCGTCGTCGACCACCCCCGGGGAGCGCTCAATCGCCGGAGCATCCATATCGTCCGCCTTTGTCTTCGCTACGCTATGCACCTGAGCTCGAGCGTAGCGGTACTGATTATTGGATGGCCCAAGGGCGGCGCGGGATATCGATCCAGTCTGATATGAATTTCGCGCCTGAAACGATCTTTGATCCGACTCGAACCCCGACCATCGATACGTCGGAGCCTACACAACCTGCATTGCTCCAGGAGACCGTTCCTCTCGGGACGCTAGCTTCTGGTACGGTAATCCTCTTGTCACCGGTTCCCATCGGACAGATAGCCCTGACCGCGCACAAGGTGCAAATATCGGACAAAATCTTTCAATTCGTATTCCACAAGCGGGCTGGCAGCTCGAAGGCACAGGCGACATCGTCAGTGTTGAGCAAAGCTTTGATCCATGTGAAAGGGCAACACGAAGGAATTCCTCGGTTGGTCAGCATTTTGGGCGCAAACCACCTGTTCATTAGAGAATTAACCTCCTTCGCAAACGAGTTGGAGAGGGCGGCCGGATTCGTCATGCTGCTTGGCAAAGGCCCTTCAAACGATTTGCGACTTGGTATGAACGAATTGATTCGAAAGCTGGACATTTCGGAACCCATAGGCGATCTAGTAGATTCTCTGCACGAACAGGTGCTTGTCCATAATGCAGCGTGGTTGATCATCACCCAGTATGGACCTTTACTGGGCGGGAATACCAGGTTGCAATCATACAGACTGCTTAACGCACCCAGCGTCGGACGTTGAAAGTGACCACCCAATCATATCACCTGTATTTTAGGAACTGCTTTTTTGATTGTATTATATAGTGTCTAATGCAGTTTTAGTACACTTCGTATAGCTTTGACTTGACCTGCATGTGCCAATGTCATATTTAGATGCGCTCCGTTTTCATGTGTTGGTCCGCTTGATCGCTTTATTTATAAATTATTACCGAACAGGTCTGACGTCTAGCGCAGGATCGACGGCCAGTCTACAATTTCTTCTACAACTGGCGTTCGGCCTACACATTGTCCGACGCAACGTCGACAACGTCGCAACAGATATCAGGTCACTTCGACGTTGGGAAGCAACTCCAGGAGATCTCTTCGCTTCTTCGCTTGGGCGTGTGATTGTATTCCCCATTCGCCACTATCACCCTGACTCGACCTCGATTGCACGCGTGGGATGTGGGATTGACCCGGACTCGATGTTCAGATCGGAAGCTGTAGCACCATTCATTATCAAATCCGCATGGCATTGAAACACGTTCATTGATATTCGATCCTAGACATAAGTTTGGCTACACTTGTATATATCCGTTCGCTACTCGCTTGCTATACCATCCCTCTACGAGTCGATGCGGTCACCACACCACGGAGACGCGTAACGACGATCGGGTGCCGATTTAACGGTCCCACGAGGTCAAAGCGTCCTGTCCGACCTTGTCCTTGATGATCCTCTCGCTCAACTCCCAAAGCGCCTGGGCAAGGTACTTGTCCTGGGCTGCAAGCGCGACGTCACAAACGCAGAGTATTCGGGTCAGCAAACATATCTATGGAAAAGTCTGCAGGACGCTTACCTTGCTTGGTCTCCCCACCGACCTTCTTGACGTCCTGGACGTAAGCGGCCTGGTAGTTGTTCTCGATGATCTCGGGGGCGGTGCAGCACCACCTGAAGAGCGCAATCGCAGAGAGAAGCCAAAACGGGTCAGCTCCCAGGTGGGTTGCGAGACGAAGCGAGAGATGAGAAGCTCACAAGGCCGATCGAGCTCCCTGTTCGGGAGACCTTCCGAAGAACTCGGTGACAGCCTCGATACTCTTACCCACCAGTCCGGGGTAGGAGTCTTGCCATTGCTATCGGAAGTCATCGTCAAGTAGAAGAAATCAGCCAAAGGCAAAAATTGAACGTTGTGTGGAAAAGCCGGACTGACCTCCTGCATCTTGGTGTTGACGGCACCAGGGTGGACAGCGAGGACGTAAACGTTGTCGCCGTTGGGCTTGATGACCTTCTCAGCGATCGATCGCGAGTAGAGGATCATGGCAAGCTGCGAGCGACAGTTATAAGTCAATGCGGTACAGTCAGTAAATCTTATATAGGTGAATTGACACGAGAAGATGGAAGGTCGGCTCACCTTGGTCCTTCCGTACAGCTCGACAGGTCCCAACTCGGGGTTGTTCAACTCCTCGACCGACCCGAAGTGGACGTCGCTCCTGGCCATCCTCTACCAAAACATACCATAAGACAACAATATCAACATCAGCTCCACGTCGGCCACGGCTCACTTCAGTCGAATCGAGCGAGACTCACGTGCATCTCACTCGACTCGAAGATGATCTTGGGAGCCGAAGCGCCAGGCAACTTGGAAGTCTTCCTGATCAAAGGGTAGAGGAGGTTGATGGCGTAGTAGTGACCGATGGCGTTGACGGACATGTGCCTGTCGATGCCGGCTGATAGGCGCGAGAGGGAAATGGACAAGCATCGTTATGTGAGTTGGTTTGGCTAGAAACGGTGTGGTTTGGGAGGTCGGGACTTACAGGCAGCGAGGCCGTACTGGTTCGAGTTGATACCAGCCGACAAGATGAGCTACGAGAACAACGACGAGAACATGAATGAATTACATCAGCATCAACCCGCGATCTACCCGTCCAACGCTATCTTCAGCACTCACGAAATCCAACCTAGGCTCCGACTTGGCCAACCCTCCAAAGACCTCCTTCACCTGGTTAAAGTCCCCCAAATCACACCCTTTCCATTCGATCTGGACGTCCTGAACGCCAGCCTTGGCGGCGGCATCCTTGATACGCTGGATGGCCTCGTCTCCTTGGTATTCCTTTCGGTTGATCATGACCACTCGGCAGTGAGCGAGGGCGAGGGCGAGGGAGACTTCTTCACCGATTCCTTCGGCTCCTCCGGTGACAATGGCGGACTGAGAACAGGTATAAGAGCAAAGACGATGTCAGTCGTGCTGAAAAAAAAAGGAAAGATCAAGGGGGCGACTCTGCCCACCTTGCCAGACAAGTCACCAAGCTCAGGCTTGGCGGGTCCAATGATGGGGTCGAGTACGGCTTGCATTGTTGGTTTTAGTGTGTTTGTATTTGTGTGGGGTTACGTGAAATAGGAAAGTCGTAATTGATGTGGAATGTGAGAAGAGTATGATGATGTCGGTAGGTCGATCGAGGTCCGCTGTTATATACTGTTCTGCCAGCAGGAGTGTCTCTCGATGACGAAACCCCCCCATCGTCCTCTGTTTGCGAGATCGAGGATCGAAGGGGAACGCTCTCGCTGGAATCGAAGAAGGTGGAGGTCACCCGGGTCATCAAGCCACGTCATACCCCCAAGCCACAAACACTGGTTACGTCACCAAGGGGTCTGCCTCGGTCATCGGGCTTCGCAGTATCAGGTACGCGTCGCCTCGACCTGTTCCGCGCGTTTCATCTCGCTTCGATAGCTTCGACCGAAAGCGAACTGTTGCATCTTTCCGCTCTCGAAAAAAGCAAGCGCAGTATCGATTTTGCTGCTGGACTGGCGGAAGAGGTACAATAGGCGGAGGTCAAAGAACGACGATTCCAGGGGACCACGAATCAGAGGTTCGTCAACATCGCTAATCGTTTCTCCGAACTATTCAAAGTAGCTTTCGAGCCCGGATTGGTCACCGCACTGGCGGGACGCTCTCCTCCGGTGAGCAACGAAGTAGCAGCCTTGTCAGGGTAGCACATTCGAACCTCATGTTTCTCGAGATAAGTCTTGTAGCGAAGGATAAGACCAGATCCTCATACAAAAGGGTTGTACGTCCGACAGCCCGGCGTTCAAGATCGGACGGGGGGCGGACAGCAAGACCGAGATGCAAACTCCAGGTACATACGAGCTTCTTCAGACTATCGCCCGACGCCCGAAACGTAAGGTGGCTACATACCTCGATGCCTTTACATGTGAGCAATAGTCGAGTTGATCCGGAGTTATTCTTCCTCGAGGCCCATCAAGAGACAACGAGCTCGATCGACTGTGACTCGAGAACCAGAAAGAGGTCGACTGCTTCAAGCCCGGGAGCGACATCATTCTCAAGGGAAAGAAACAAAGGCAGAGTGGAAGGCGACGAGGGGAAGCGAGAGACAAAAATAAGAGACGTCGGAGACGAGGACGGGAACCGAGGAGACGATGGATACATACGAAGTTTCGGCATATGAAGCGCATCTCATATTGAGTCATCATCGAGCTGCACTTTGGGACGGAGTTCCCACTGCAACTAACTCAGAGCGCTGGTCAATCCCTGCGAAATCATGGACGGTCCGTTTGAAGGAGCGTACGATCATGATTCTCCACGGCCTAATTTCAAGCGCCTTACATCTCAAACTGGACGCTCAGGGATATACGAGTACGACAATGACCTCATCCGGAGGCCGATTTGTTCATTCGCTAAGCAGAAATTGGCCTGTAATCGGACTAGTCGAAAGTTACGTTCTGTGAAAGGAGGTTCGAAACAAGTCCGCTGCAATACAGCATGCAGGATGTGAAGTATCGGCTTCGGACGTTTGTCCACTGATCCCCTTACCCTCCATTTCCGAACTGAGTGCCTCTCGCTGTTCAAAATGGCCGAGAAGGATCTTGAGACTGAGCTTGTTGTACCCTTGATGCAGAAGCGTATAATTTCATTGCGGTTTATCAGAGCGCTCATGGCAAACACGTGTTTAGCGCAATCGAGGTATTGCGGGTCCAGGTAGCCCTTTTCAGGCTGGTGTAGGTAGAACTTGTCGTTGCCGTCGCCCGTATCCTGCATCAAAAGGTCGCAGGCGTCGAAAGATACCGTCAGATCTCTGTTTAGATTGGCGAAAGGGCTGTGTGCGTTCGTGGTGAACCGAAGCCTATGTTTTGGGTCGATCACTTGGTTACGGGAACACCTCGTTGAAGGCCAGAGGCTCGTGCACGCCAAACACGGACGCCGCCACCCAATACGCCTCCCATAGACACGTCACGCAACGATTTCATGGATACAAGGGGGCATCCGGACATGCTTGATTTGGATCTGACCTACATATTCCTCCTCAGGAGACCGTCCCTTAAGCTCGTGCTCGATGTCTTTATCTTCCAGCGCACTGGGGTCCTGATCAGATTCGTTGTTACCAGCCTGCATAGCCAGAGTTACCCAAGAGAGCTTGCTTTCTCTAGCCACGCATAAATTCTCAATCCTGACTCGGCTCCAATGCGCTCGTTCTCCACTTGACCCGCCATTTCCGAGATGCTATGCGGAGGACGGGAGTTGAAACTCGGTTCGCGTCGATTTGCTTCCGCGTGACCGCTGGCGGTCTTTTGTTCGAGCGATTGGGAATTTGATCAAACTGGGGGATCCAAGAGATCAGAGATTGACAGCACGAGACAATCACATAGCACATTAGATCAACATATTCGCAATGCAATTCCGGCCTGTTATCGACGCTGATATCGAGATCGCAAACTTTACCAGACTTATTATCCATCTTATTAGCCCTCTTCAACGTCTTGCTTGAATCGTAGGAAAGGCAGCTTCCTTCGCTCGGCGTCCTACGCATCTCCACTTGTCCCCTCGATCACCATGGACGGGTCGCAGGATACGGAGACCGCAGCCCGTAGAGCTTTCGAAAACGATCTCATCCGCTCGGAAATCGTCGCAAACATCTTTTTCCGAACGACGGCTCTGGATTGTACCGACAGGATCGACCTGAAGCGCTTTGCCTTGACTTCGAGAAGCGGTTGCGAGACCGCCTTGCGGTTCCTCTGGAAGCATGTGACACTTCAGGAGATCAATCATATCCACCGTGTCAAATGTGATCCAGTGAGTAACCTTGATCGCGAAACTATCTCCGCCTAGGCTTATCCTCGCATGTGTAGGAACGATTCAAAACATACTTGAGTTCGATTCTATACTTGACGGTCCCGGAAGGATCGTTGAGTCGGAGTCAGACTAGCCAATGGATCCCACCACTCTTCAATGGCAGGGAACAGAATAATAGCATCTTCCTGCTTCTCGGACGGAACGATAATGCCATCATCTCCGAAGAGTGGGGGTTCTGCGGCTTGCATCTCATGCCTCGATTGACATTCATGTCAATTGAGTGCTGTTCGAGTAGCCTGGTATGGTCCCCCGACTCAAGGAAAGAAATCGACGGCTTCCCGCTGGAGGTGCAGACGACGGAGATCTACACTTGTGGAGATCGATCACTAAAAGTCAGAACGACGACAAAATCGTCCTCGCGCTTGACAAGGACGGATCCGGCTATCCATCTTGATGTCCTACCAGACTATCAGGTCCGGGTCACCATGCAATCCAAGTACACCTCAGCTGTAGACGCGATCTGCATCGATCACCCGCCCCGACTCGATTGGGACTGTAGACAGTGGATAATAGAGAGCCTACTGCCCGGAAGGTGGACAGGTCATCAGGTCGGGCGCCGCAATATGAAGCTACTGCGCGAACTCGCCATCCTTGAAGGCTTCGTACTCTTCGAATGGATCTCGGAGATTCTCGAAGCTTGTCCTATACTCGAACGACTCCAGGTGGAAGTCTATGGGCTCCGACCCGGGAGTGACTCTGCCCACCACATTAGAGCCTGGAACAACTCACTGAACATCTTCCTGCAACGATGTGGAACATTGAAAGCGGTGATAATATCAGGGGCAGATCTGGCATGGCTACCTTATTTCACTCAATGCGAGAAGCTGAGCTTTACATGTCTCGCTCCTGGTTCAAATTTACCTCAATCCGTCATCGAGGCCCCGCGTCAGACGGTGAACCGGCTGGAAGTGCTTAATGTCGACCTCTCCCTCCTGAAATTTGAGACGCGGTCACAGCTCAAGTCGACCTTCGCGATGATCGAACGGAACGCGACTGAAAGGACCAGGATTACCGTGATTACCCCCTTCGACGTGCATCCACTAAGGTTGCAGTGATCACTCAGAGCCGTCATGCTGCTCGAAAAAGAGGTACACAAGGAATTACCACGGCGACGATCGATATCTAGGGAGTCTGGCAGTCTTCGGCGGACTTGGCCCGAAATTGCGAGACGTGACGGGCGGAAGGCGATACACGTCTCGTTGGTAACTTCTCTCTTGATCACAGGATCACCCAGGACTGTATGTTTTTACGCTCATGGCGAGGCTGTCGTCACCGCATGTAATATATCATGGAGTTTCCGGGTTGCGTGCGATTTGATCGATGAAGAAAGCCGTGAAGCATCATTCGTTCATCGCAGATATCAGCGCGGAGGAGATCTCATAGCCTTCCAGACTTTACTGCTACCCCAACCTTCGTACCTATAGTATAACGGCAATCCTTGCCATCCGATGTATTATGTGCTGTGCTACGCCCGACACAGGACTAGGAGCGTTTCAGATCTGCTCGATTTGCATCCGCAATGCCTCGGCGCGCTTTTGTTCGAAGGATTGGGAATGGGTCTTCGCTGGCGGAAGGTCGATCCGACCGGTCTGATCAAATCCTGGAGTACTCCATGCAGAAACTACTCACCATATACCACATGTCACACTAAGAAACGGATTACCGTAGCAAGCTAGCAATCCAGCAAGTCATCGTTTTTTACCTCGATCCCTACTTCCGCCTCTGCCACGCCCCAGAGTTCCATCACACGCATGATCGATCAGGAGGAATCAGCCGGTACAAAGGTCTTCAATTGCGACCTGACCAGGTCCAAGATCATCAAATCCTTGTACATCCAGACCAAAGGAAAGGATGATGGCGATGGAAGGTACCTAGACGATAAAGAGGATCTGAGGAACCTCGCACTGTCGGCCAAAGTCGCTTTCCACGATGCAATCAAGTACCTTTGGAAGGATGTCACCCTGCATCAAGTTAACACCTTGTATCGGCAGGAAGCGAATGTCGTGAGTCACACGACTCTGTATAACGCTTCATTCGCTAGATTTCTGATCATTTGACCACTTGTGCTCAATCCTTGGGGTGTAGGAACGTATGGTAATCTATTTGAGATCCGTGCGATCGCTCACTGTACCAGATGGATCGCTCAGCTACATACCTTATGGATCGCATTCTTCGCTTCTTGTCGGCGGATATCAGCAGAATGCGCATATCTTCCTTCGATTCTACAATCGGGAATCCTCATCACACATGTGGTACTTGGAGGGAATCAGACTGCTGAAGAACCTCGAGAGCATCTCGGTCCGACGTTGCCCAGTGTCGTCCTTACCAGGCCATCCAGACGTGGGCCTAGAGAGAACGGAAATTCACCAAATAGACGGTCGAGCGATCACTGTTCAGACTGTACTGAGCCATGTCGATGGATGGCCACAGTGGGATGAACCCACAATGCATTTCGGACGTGGGACCTCAGTCCTCGATACTATTGTGATCCATGGAGAACTGCATCGTGAACAAGGCAATTTTGTACACCAAAGCCTATGGGAACAAACCCGAGAGGGACACGAACGAGCTCGTGCACGACTACAGACCGTGCGGAGTCTGTTCCTTTCTGGAAAAGGGATGTATGTCGGGGACCTAACGGACATCCTCGAACTGTTGCCCGCTCTCGAGAGGTTCAGTTGCGAAATCGATTACACCGGGATCAGATACCGAGAAACATCCCCGGGAGCCTCACTGTGCAAGTGGCTATCCCATGGCAAACATGCGTTGATTGAAGCAAGTCTGCGTGAACATGGTATAACCGAGGAGACACCCACGCTACATACCGGTCACGAATATGTTGAAATGAGGGTTGGAGCGGATTTGAGGTGGTTGCCATACTTCCGCCGGTGCAAGAAACTGCGTCTACCTTGCCACATCCGATGGGTGGCCGAGTTCGGATCTGAACCGGTCTTTCATGACATTCAGATCCCCTCGGCCAACAGTCTCGAGGACCTTACCCTGGAGATCATGGATCAAACAACTGTAACACCTTTCCAGGCGAAGCGGGTTATAGAGTTTATCCAGCAAAACACTACCGAGAGAACGAGGGTCTCCATCCGCTTCGTACTCTGCGATGACGGTAGACCGTATCCCGTTTACTCCGAAGATCCGGTTGATTGGGAAGAAGCCTGGGAGATGATGAAAAATTTCGCCCAACATTGCGAAACAAGGCGAATACTTCTTCAATCGTGAGTTAGGTCAATCACGTTTTTGAAAAGCTATTCTAAGCTGACTCCCCGAACGAAAACACTTAGATCATAGATAGTAGCGACAGTCTTCCCGACACAGCTTGTGAAGTCTACAGGGTTCGAATGAATTCCTTGGAGAGTGGATAAATTCGGATTTCGATGCCATGGGACTGGCCAACCATACGCACGGCGCTGTTAACCAATCGCCAAGAGGTTTATGACTACCTCTAAATACCAAGTCTATTGTACTATATCCATGTAACGGTCTTGGTAAGATGGAAAATATGCGAAAACCGATTAGATTCCCATTGACATCGCTCTGATCGGGGTTTCCCTGCTTTAGCTTTTCGGAGACAGCTTCTGTAGCGAAACGGTCGCAATGATAACTGCAAGTAATACGGAGATCACTCTCTGCCCCCAAGTCTAGGACAGTATCTGCGGGTTGAATCGAGATGTTTGCGACAGTCTCGTTTTACGTTTTATAGGAAGAAGCGCGCAGGTCGAGTACGAGCAAATCGCCCGGTCAAAGCAAGGGCTTCAATAAGTCGGCCGCGGCATGATCTGCCGAAGCAGGTTGACCGTCGCAGCTCTGATCTATCTCCAGATATGCAGGAAGAAATAGATACACGTCTATGGTAAAAGAAGTGGATGATCAGGGGATAACAGGACGTATCAGGTCAAATGCTCAGAAGACCGGTGGAAAAGGCAAAGAAGCGAAGGAAGCGGAATTCACGCTTCAAGCACGATCGTAAGGAATTAGTCCAGAGATGGAGCTCAGAAGGGCTGCTAAAGTAGCTTGATAGGTAAGCAAAGCAACAACAAGCAATTAGGTGTACGGAAGGGAACGCTGGATCCCGTGCGAGATCGCAGCTGTCACAACTCGATACGGTAAATGATACTGAGCAGCAGATGAAAATCGCCCGCATCAGTACAGCTTTCGGTACCAGCTCCGAAATCAAGGGATCTGTCAAAATCCGGTGCTCTTATGCTTGTGAGCTCGACATCCCAGGTATTCTCCGTCACACTGGGATATCTTTTCAACTTCCGGTCGGGGACATGCTTGAGGATCCGAATAGCCGCCTCAAGCGGTCAGCGACTCTTCCGGGAGCTGATTCAGGGGAAGAGACGAAACAATCGGGATCCTTACTTGGCCTTCAAAGACGAAAAGATCGTTCGTGATGACGGTGACAGGCCGAGTTACACGCAGGTAAAACGCCCAGAAAGTGTTTCATCTCGAACACGCGAACACAAAAGTGCGGCACTGACTCGGCTGGGAAGCGGGTCGGGCACCTCCGAAGAAGACGAAGGACAAAAGAGATCTGGAGACATGCTTCCCATCATCCTCTCTTCGATTCAACGCATTGTCATCGACCCTCGATAATCTTAACTCGGGCTGTAGTCACATTGCACATGGCTTGTATTCGATCGTTCAATCTAGCTCGGACCGCTAGTTCCCGTAACTCTTCGCCCTCAATCAAACTCTATCACGCCACGGTCATCCTCCGATCGATACTCGACGAGATGTGATCGGTCGACTGTGACAAAAGCTGAAACATGGAACGCCTTCTCTTGTTCTCCTTCTTCTTGCTCGGCCAGTACGCCTTCCACCCTGGCGACATCTTCGTCCCTCCCTGCCGAAACGAATGCCGGGATTCGCTTGGAACGACCGATCCTTGATCCATGATCCATGATCCGCTATTGTGATGAAGATGCCGAAACGGCCGGATCTCGAAACACTCGAAAATTGTCTTGGTAAACCTCGAGACGATGCCGAGAACGATCTGCTCCGGCTGCTCACGAGCGATGGATTCGAAAGATCGAGGATTGATGTCGATACCGAGATCGCGGTCCGCCGGGATGTCAAGCATTTGACGTAGAGCAGGGGTGTAGTTATAGAGTCGACGTCGCCAAATTGGGAACTGGTAAGGTCGTCATCTCGGAAGGACAACTTTCGTAGCGCTATCTCTCTCAAAGACACCCACGAATCGGCTCTTGGACGAGATGACGACTATCAAGGACGAATCCCTCGGACCCGACTCGAAATCTCGGTCGGCTTCGACCTCTCAGTCTACCACCCCGAGCGACCTTCCCGACTCGACGGACGTCTTGATCGTGGGAGCAGGTCCAGTTGGCCTGTTGATCGCCTACCAGCTGTCCAAGTTTGGCTGTCATAACTATATCATCATCGGTGAGCGTCTGGCTAGCTCGTCTTGCCAGATCTTCGTTCGCTAGACACCATCGGCATCGATATTAACACCACTTCTTCTTGTTCCGTCTTCGTCTATAATCCTTCTCCCCTCCTCTTCTCTCCGTTTACCCACCATACCCATGATACAACTATAACCTCAACTACAACATCGTATACTCGATACGTAGACAAAGAGGACAAGACCAATGTCCCGGTCTTCGGGAGAGCGTGTACCATCTGGCCGAGGACGGAAGAGTTGTGGGACCAGCTAGGGTTGATGGACGAGATGTTCTCTGCGGGAGGGGTGATCAGTTCCACGGGGTACAATTTCCGAGAGTGAGTATTTCTCAGTTCCGCCTTACACTCCGTTATTCCTCGCTGATACCGTCTTGGCTCTACTCGCTTTGGGTGATTATAGCGGACAAGCCGTCCCAGGGGCTCTCTCTTTCGCCCACAGGATGGACCAGATCGGGGATACAGCCTTCAAGTTCTGCTTCAACCTTCGTCAACGCAAGATCGAAAAGGTCCTCGAAGGGAAGTTGCTGAAGGAGTTCGGGAGGAAGGTGGTCAGCGGGTTGGCCCTCGAGGGGATGGTCGATGAGAGCTTGAGTGTGAGCGAGCAGGGCGAGGGGGATGACAAGGGGGTCGAGGTCAGGGTTCGAGAGGTGGCCAGCGATACCATTCGGACGGTCCGAGCGTGAGTCTGAGGGACCTGAGCCTAGGGTATTGACTAATGTAGATCCTAACGAGAACGATATGACTGCAGGAAATACTTAATCGGGACGGATGGAGGTAAATCCACCGTCAGAAAACTCGCTGGCATCCCTTTCATCGGCTCGAAATCGGGCGCCAAATGGATTCGTATGGACGTGAGTCTTGCCTGCCTCGCCTTACTCTATGGGCAGAGTACGATGCTGATGAAACCTCGCTTGGTCTTGCAACTTCCCGCAGGCCTTGATCGATACCGACATCCCCAACCCCAGATGCCTCAACTCGGTCCAATCCTCCACGCACGGCCTTATTCTGTTTTGCCCTGTAGACGACAACCTGACCCGAATCGGGTACGTCTTCTCAGAGCACCTGCAGAAGAAGTGGAAGTTGGGGGAAGAGACCGTGACAGGTCCGGCTGTGGAGAACGGCGGGTTGGGCGGGTTGAAGTTGGAAGCGGTGATCGAAGAGGCACAGGAGGCGGTCAAGCCTTTCAGGTTGGATTTCAAGCGGGTCGATTGGTATACTATCTATGTGAGTAGCGAGAATGAAACCGGTAGCTCCATGAGCGGAAGCTGAACTCTAAGCGCCGTTTCTAGGGAATCGGGCAATGTATCGCAGGAGAGTTTGTCAAAGGTCGAACCATTCTGGCGGGGTGAGTCGGTCTTCTTGCTCGAACCACCCGCTACCTAACCGCTTGCTAACTCAAGCGTTGTGGCCCCATCTCAGCGATGCCTGTCATACGCACTCCAGTGGGTCCGCTCAAGGCCTCAACACGGGCTCTCACGACGCCATCAACCTCGCCTGGAAACTCGCTCTCGCCCTCAAAGGCCTCTCCTCGCCCAAACTCATGCTCGGAAGCTACGCCGAGGAGAGGAAACAGCTCGTTCAAAAGGTCATCGATAACGATTCGATCATCGCCACGTTGATAAGCGGAAACTACCCGGAAAAGTATAAAAATCGAACGGGCGAGAGCACGAGGGACCTGTTGACCGAATGGTGTGAGAACGCGGAGAACAAAAACTTTACGTTGGGATTGTCTGTCGCATATGGTGAGTCCTTATCCTGGCTGGGGTTGTAGCTCCCTTGGTCTTTGCACATGCTGAACCGCTACTTGATTTTTGCAGCTCATGAAAACTTGCTCGACGTGCCCACGGCTTCTCGGACCATCTCTGCGATCTTACCGGGAGAACGGGGTCCAGATGGACCTCTCAATAAAATCGGGACGGGCGAATCCATCCGTTTACATTCGACTATGCCCCTCTGTGGTCGATTCTACATCGCCGTCTTTACTGGGGCGCCTCATCAACTTCGAGCGCAGGCAGGTTTAAGAACATTCCGTACATCTTTGGACGGACCATCGCCCTTCACAAAGGCTGTGCCTCGGGTCGAGGAGCTGGTAGAATACGTCACCCTCGTCGCAGGGGCTGATATCGGCACGGCAGAGATCCTCCAAGGTTGCGCGCCGTTCGGGAAGACGTACTTTGATCCGCTGAGGAGGACGCACGAGGCATATGGCATCGATACGATGACCGGTGGTGTGGTGGTCTTCAGGCCTGATGGGCACGTAGGAACAGTGGCGCCGTTGGGGGAAGAGACGAATGGGTTATTGAAGAGGTATTTCGAGAGGTTTTGTAAGGTCGACTAGAAGCGCTCTGCTATACGATCTGAGGTTTCATGCTTGCTTGACGTTCAGGCGTGATTTGCGCATATCGATATCACTGTCCGAGAGCGCACGGACGTGAGAACCGCCCTGACGAACTGCTCGCAGCTGGGACTGATGCGGCTGAGTGTTTCGGACGAGACAAAGATCAGAGATATCGTCGCACTGGGTCACGACCCCTAATTCTGAAACTGGCCCGATCGGCTTCCACACCGTGCACCGTGATGACGTCTAGAAGGATTCTCGTGCCTTCCAGAAAGTCTCCCACGCCACCTCCACCTGCCAGCTGAGAAAGAAGGGTCGGTTCAAGGACAAGGAGCATCATGTGATGATTCGCGAAACACGACGCCCGCGTGTCATGGTAGCTCCCGCGCCTCCTCCCCTCCGCCGCCTCGCCTCCTGCGCTCCCCTTTCGCCGAGGCGACGATCATTCGAAATCTCCTTTGAAACTCAATCAGAACCAGAAACGCGAGAACCAGGTCGAACTGGTCTCCTTTCCTCGAGCCGGATCGACATTGTGATCATCCACCATGGATCTTTGCAATCGAAACGCTGATGATCATCCAGTCTTATCTGCATCTCACCCGAAGAATCCTCCCTTTCGCGGGTCCTTGACCTGTTCGACCTGCCAGCCTCCAGGATGGCGGTCGTGATGGAAACGCGAGTGAAGATCCGGACGGGACTCCTTCGACCCCCTCCTTTCGATCGAAACAGCAGGGACCTGCTCCTATTCCCGCCTCGTCGTACTCGTGCTATACATCGGGATAGGGGTCGATCGCTCCACTCCATATGGCTCTTGGTCGAGTATATAGAGTCGGGGGTCGATGCGCCCTCGAGCAGAAATTCCCTCTTGCGTCGATTCGGTATACCCCAATACATTCTCCAGCGAAATCCAGAGCGCGACACCCTTCTCGCCTAACCCCTGACGACTCATACCAATCTCACACCCTCTTACCACCTTGAACTCGATACAATATGTCTATGGGTACGGGTACTCCGCCGATGAACATCCTCGAGCCGATCATCAAGGCTCAGATGGAGAAGGATCTGTTCAAGAACCTCGGAGGGTTCATCGTCGGATACGCCATCGACGCGGCCATGTTCGGGATGATGTTGGTCATGTTGACCGATTGGCTGCGGTATGCGCCTAAAGAGAGCAAGACGATTAAGGCAGTCTTGGTAAGTACCGAAGGCGGTCGGTCCACAACAGTGGTAGTTTGTTGATGGTTCGCTCGACTTTGTTTCTCATCTAGGCATATTCAGTTATAGCAGGGACAGTCGGTACGGCCTTCAACATTCATATCATGGTGAGTCTCATTCGGCATCATCACCGTAAGACCCCTCAAACTTATGAACCTACCCGTTAGATCTTCCACTTTATGCAAAACTTCGGGAAATTTGCCCCTTTCGTCATGGCCCCCCGTCAGTCCTTGAACGCTCGTCATGATTCTCTCATCACCTGCGATGTTGACATGTATTTCCACGGCAAAATCCTTCATTCATAGGCAGCGGAGGATGGGCTATTCTCGGATGCGTCAGCGTTCCTCCCATCCAGGCAAGCATGAGTAATTTATCGCATGATCCCCCCTCCCCCGCTAATGACCCTTTCCACTATTCCACCTTCGTTCTTATAGGCCTTCTACGCCATGAGAGCCTTTCGGCTCAACAACAACAACTACTTCGTTCTCGCTATTATCACTATGGGGATCTTGACCCAATTCGGAGACTCAATCTCCATTTCGGTCTTGCATTATTCGACTCCGCCTCTTGACAGGAAGACTGTAAGTCATTCCGCAGTCCCGTGTGATTGTTTCACATGGACATTGACGCCTTTCAACCCTTGACGCCCCTTCCATGGATCTCGGAATCGAACACCTAGGTCGCCAGCACTCCAATCTACGTCTGGGTCTCGTCCACCTTTTTCACTGATGGGCTCATCACCGGGTTCATCATCTACGGTCTCAAGAAGAACAAGACCGGATACACCGAGACTTCCCGATTGATCAACAAGCTCGTCACGTAGGTTACTTCCGGTCACAAAAGATATTCTCTTGAAGAAACTTCACTGACTTATGTTGATCATCTTTTATGGCTGCCTGACTTTAGCATCACCATCGAAGCGGCCCTCCCAGCGACGATCACCTCGATAGGTTTCCTCGCGACCTTTGTCAACTCGGGGAACACGGACCTGTTCATCCTCTTTTGGGAAATGTTCCACCCGAAGATGTACATCTTGCCCTTCATCGCCGTCTTGAACTCTCGGACCAAGTTGAGGCGAGAGGGAGGAGGCAGTACGCAGGGTACTGGAGGGTCGACGGATGGGCATGGGCAGCATTCGGTGAGTCCGCCAGGAACTAAGGAGATCCTCAAATCCATACTGAAGCGGATCGTCCTTGGAACCGTAGCACGGAACCTTCATCTTGAGTTCGTTGCCTAGCGAACCGTCGAGTGCCAAGTTGGACGGAATCCATATCGAGACCAAGACCGAGCGACAGGTGAGCCCAGTCACCCCCCCCGATCTCTTCATCTTCCCATCCGTTCTCCCTGTAGCCGAACGATCTTGGACACTCAGTTGACGTTGCTTCGAACTTGCAGGAACACCCCATGATCCCCTATACCGTCGGTCTGAACCGTCAACGCCGGGATGACGAATCCAGCATCGGAGGTCTTACGGACGAACGACACGGAGGATCCACCGCCAACGATAGCACCACGGCTCTGAGCCCCTTTGCGGCCTTTCGACAGGGTCAGGGCGGGGTTGCCCGATGAAGTTGATAAGGCAGTTGAGGTTGGAGAACGATAGAGACAGAAAAGGTCGAGAGCGAGCCCGGGAGGAGGGGCATGAGATACGATGGATAGATCTCTTCTCTCCGGGTCGAAGGAGGAGAGCGTGGTTTCTTTTTGGTTTCGATGTAGGATATTAGATTGCACACTTGCTAGCTGCTAGGTCATCATGTATTCTCTCTCTCTCCTCGTCACACTTGTTGTACAAGTAACAATCAATCGAATGCGATCGGTCGTCAACCGTCCCTCTGTCGTCCGTGAATTAGCTTCCGGGCAGCGTGAATTACGTCACCTCCAGCCCAGAACCGAGTATCGGCCCGAGCTAGTGACCGGGCCGGTACGTTTCCGGAACAAAGATCCAGCGATCGAATATAAGGGGATACAGCCATGCCCACCGAGGTCGATGCTCCACCACCTGGACGTCTGGATCTTACAAGACCTGCTCTAGATAAAAACACCTCGGACTAAACCTATTGCAACCTAACATCCTAATCGAAAATGTCGCCCATCAACTCTTCCCGAGGGTAAGCCTTCCGCCCCCCTCGCGCTTGATAGCACCTTCCTACGGATCACACGCTCATCCCTCCCATCCGCCTTTCGACAGATACGCCATCCACGACCAGAAGGACTACAAGAACTTCAAATTGACCGACTATGAGCTCAAGAGGGAACAGGCGGACGATGTGACCGTCCACGTCGAGTGTTGTGGGACTTGCGGGTCGGACCATCATACCATCGTACGTTGAACGTCTTGATCAAGAAAGCGCTGCTTTTCCGAGACGGTCCCCCTCGGTTCGGGAACAAAATAGGAAATCAAGGCCGAATGCTGATCATGGCGCTGTTCTTTTCGTGTGCTTGTTTTTTTCGCAGAGCGGTGGATGGGGTCCTTTCGTAGCCCCCTTCTGTGTGACCGGGCACGAGATCGTAGGAGAAGTCGTCCAGGTCGTAAGTCGTGCCGTCGAGGCTCTTTTGCCCGGAGATCCCATCCTAGGGTGTCGGTGTCGTTGTGATGATGATGCTGACTGGTCGTTGTCTTCTCATTCTTCTCCTTCGCCCCAATCGGGTCACCTAATTATGTATTGCTGAACTGCAAATGCACCCCTCGTCCGCTCTGAATCGTCTGACAACCTGGACATAACATGGTCTCACGCGTCCAATCCGTCCTATACGACTCAACGCGAGAGAATAGGGTTCCAACGTCAAGAACCTGCAAGTCGGCCAACGAGTCGGGATCGGCGCACAGAGCTCGGTGAGCATTAATAACCTGGTCTAACCTCCAGGCACAGCCAAACGTGAAGAGCTGATCTCAATTTCAATCTCGCGCGCTGCCTTCTTTTCCTGGTTTGTATCGTGTTCGTGATCGCAGAGTTGCATGGAATGCAAGTACTGCAAGAACGATAACGAAAACTACTGCCCCGTAGCTTGGACCGATACTTACCAAGGAAAGGTACGTCCGCCTGCTATTTCTGCTCCTTTGCTCCTTTTTCCTCTGGACGACCCACTGACATTGTGAATTTGACGTCACGTTAGTACCCGAACGGCGACTTTTCTCAGGGAGGTTACTCGACCCACGTGAGGGCGCATCAACAGTTCGTCTTTCCTCTCCCCGAGGGGTTGAGGAGCGTGGATGCCGCTTCGATGTGAGTACATGCGCTGGGGAGGATGTGAGAGGACATTAGCAGCGGACTCGAAGCTGATGCCTGTCTCCGCGATGTGATTCCGTGTTCGCATTCACCTTTGCAGGCTCTGCGCCGGAGTGACGTCGTACAGCCCGTTGAACAGGCACAACATCGGCAAGGGGAGCAAGGTCGGCGTCGTCGGTCTCGGTGGTCTGGGTCACTACGCCGTCCTCTTCGCCAAAGCTCTCGGGGCCGAGGTCGTCGTCTTTTCCCACTCGGAGCGTAAGAAGGAGGACGCGCTCAAGATGGGCGCCGACGAGTTTGTCATTACCAACAAGGGGTTCGAGGAAAAGTACAAAATGTCCCTGGACATCATCGTCTGCACCTCGTCCTCTTCCTCGTTGCCCTTGAACGAGTTCATCACCACCCTGGACGTCGGCAAACACTTTGTCTTTGTCGGTATGCCCGAGGACGAATGGCCTTCCCTCACCTCGCAGGCCATGGCCCCGAACGGAGCTTTCGTCGGGTCGAGCCATATCGGGTGTAGGACCGAGATCCTCAAGATGCTCGACCTGGCCGTGGAGAAGAACGTCAAGCCGTGGATCACGACGAGGCCGATGAAGGAGGCCGCTCAGTCGATCGAGGATGTCGAGACGGGCAAGGCGAGGTACAGGACGATCTTGTTGCAGGATATCGATCGGGAGGTTCAGGCTTGAGGGGTGTGAGGGTTGCACGCGGAAAGGCTAGAAGTCTATGGCATCTCTGTAGAATCATATCAATTGCATTTCGACCTGTTCTCGCCTGCTCTGCCATTGTGCCGGTCCCGTCCGATCTGACATTCATATGCGTGTTGAGGTGGTCCGAATCCTCGGGTTGAATATGCTCTACGGCCACTAGCGGAGGCAAATCTTCGGGAGCGAATTTCGGGGAACCTTGAGGTTCGAAGCTGATTGACATCCATCAATTCGCAAACACTACTGTTCCTGTCACCGGCATGCCTTCACTACATATTCGCTCCGATAGCTTGAGCTGCTCAATGCTGTTCGTATCTGCTTAGACATTAGGTATCCTGATTGAAAAAGGCAAACAGGCTCGACGCCTATAACAACAACCACAACGTCAACATCCAGGTCCTTTGACCGAACATGGCAACCCCGGATGTCATGTCCTTTCCAGGCGCATCTTCTCACCCGGGTCCTTCCCATCGACAGGGCTCAAGTGGCAGGAGACGAGGAGGAGGCAGTGGAGCAGACTATCAGGCGGGACCTAGCAGACCTCCTTGGGAGCTCGAAAACAACGCGGTCGCGACTCCTGCTCGTTTCAACAACACCCCCAGACGTACGGCTCCTGCCAGGTTTCGTACGGCTCAGACAAGGAGCTTGCCCCATCATCACATCGATCCGAGATCTTCTGGTGCTCCGGGAGCAAGATATCCCCAGCTTCAACCCAACGGTTCGGCTTTTCCTCGAGGACCTCATGTGAGGGATTATTCTAGGGTTCAGCAGGTTCAGCCGGGGTACGAATCGTTGGATCGGGGTCCTAGAGATGCCAATGGGTATGGACCTCCCGCAAGAACTGGCAATTATCTGCCTATCGAAGCGTTCGGTTTCGATCAGTCTACTAGCAGCCGGATTAGGAAGGGGATGTTGCTCAGAGAGTCCTCACGGGAACACAAGGCCTTTGAGAGGCACCCTACCGCATCCAGCTCAGCCATAGAATACATGAATACTACTTTGAACAGACCTCGAGGAGGTTTTGCTTCTGGTCTTCGAAGTCGTGGTAGAGGCCGAGGTCGGGGAGATTTTCGAGGTGGACGAGGAGGAGCGAGAGGGTCCCGCTTTGATGGATCAACTTCAGCAGCCGAATCGAGTGACCAGTCGTCAAGAGGCAGAGGAGGTCACAGGCGGGGTCGTGGACGAAGTTTTCTCCCAGGTGTAAACTTGAGCAGGTCCGAGCTTATCACTAGAATGCTCAGGGAGGAAGGAGAAGGCATCGAAGAGCCGGATCTCAGTGTTACCATCGAGACTCGCACCGAAGGTTCCTCTATCGCCAACGGGGGTCTGGAAGTGTTTGATATGGGAGAAACCGAAGCGACATTTTCTACCAGGAGTGCGAGTCCGGTCACTTCGCTGGATAGCAGGTCGGAGTTTATAGAAGAAACGGAGATGGGCAAGACCTTGCGCGAGCTAGAGGCGATGGACGTCATGGTCACTGAAGAACTGCCTGAAGAGATGAAAGTGCCTCGCGCCGAGTCACCCAGTCTTCAATCCGATTCAGACCTGACGTTGCCTCGCACCGAGACGGAAACTGAAACCGAGTCCGACTCGGACGACGACGAGACTAGTGGAGCCGACGCCAGCGATGAGGACAGTTCGTCTGGGGTCGAAAAGCCATCGTCGTCGAGGAGAAAGGCCGAGTTGGACGGATTTGAATTGCGTCGGAAAAACCCGTACCGTTTCTCGCCCGATAGTTTCGCTATCGGAGTCATGGATCATACCGGCAAATTCTCGCCTGGTTTCCACACGCCCACGATCGAGTCGTCGATCGCCTTTGATGCGCGGAAAAAGGCCTTTCTTATCGACGTCATCCCGACCACGCCGGAACCCCTGCCAGCTGCCATGGAACTGGTGGATGCGTGTATCAGGGTCGAAGACATCATCGAAGGCGGTGTGGCCATTGTTGCGACCGCACACGAGGACTTGATCGATGTCACCATGACCATCACCTGCCGAAGACCGCCTCAGTTCTTCATGCCGGTGCTCGACGAGCATATGCAACCGGCCTACAAGGATAGTCGGGTGGTTGAAGCTACTCGGGCCGAGTTTCAGCGGGTTGCAGAGAACGTTCGCGGGATCCAATCGACCCCGTTCATAGACAAGGAATCGGCTCGAGGTGGTTTCGCCTCGCTGAGACGCCCACCAGGTACCCACATTCGCGATGAAGGGACGTCTGGAAAAACGATGCTTGGTACTCCGGAAAGTATCTACAACCGTCAAAGAGGAGAGAGCTTGCGAGCCAGCCACACCCGGCGTCGGGAGCTGCAGGTCCCGAAAGAGCAGATTGGGTTTGGTCGACCTCATCCTAGTAAACCAGAGTCCGGAGCGCTACTTCGATGGCGGAGAGCTACGGAATTCGACTTTTCTGGCTCGTTCAATGGGTGGGAGAGGGACGCCGGGAGCATCAATCCTGATGGGGATGTACGATACAAGGTGAATGTCGGTGCGATCGAGATGCGAGTGATTTGTCCTGACGCACTGTGTCCATCAGGTCAACTTTTGGGGGACATACCGCCTAACTTTCTACCTCATGCCGGCCGAATACCGTTTGCTGCAAGCATGTATGCGAAGGCTGAGATTGATTGGCGAAGAGGATGGCGAAAATTATATCTCGTCTACAACCGATTTACCAGCTGTTCCGAAACCGCCGATCCCGCCAGAGACGCCCATTCCCGAACACGAGACCATGATCCGTCCCGTGATCATCTCCGAGATCGACTCTGTCAAGGATTTGCCATTTGCTACCCGATACCTCGTCGAGGGTCTGGTCTCCCAAGGCCTGGTTCAGTCGCACCAAGTCGAACGCATGGTTGAGATCGTCAATCGCCTGGATGGACGAGGCGAGTACAGAATCATGAACCAGGTCCTCAGCGATCTCTTTTCGGCCGAGAGGATGGGCAACATGGAGGTCACCTTGGAGAGGCGGGCCAAACTGTATGAAACGCTGGAGAAGCTGGTCCGACCCAAGAGATCCAAGCAGGATATCGCCGCTGAAAAGTCCACTGCCGAAGAGCCTAATCATTCGGTCAAGGTTAGACGAGCCATCATCACGCCCACGCGAATGATGCTTCAACCCGAGACCAAGGAGCAGGGGAATTCCGTATTGCGACACTTCAAAGAGTACCATGATCGCTTTTTGCGAGTGCAATTCAACGACGAGCATGATCAGCTGCAAGTCAACGTTTCGGTCAAGGAGGCCAACGCCATCAATCCAAAGGCCGGAACCATGGCTCGGGTTCACCGAGCGTTGACCCATGGTCTCGTCATCGCGGGGAGGAAATACGTATTCCTAGCCTCGTCTGCTAGCCAGTTGAAGGAACACAGCTGTTGGTTCTTTGCAGAGCTCAGCAAAAGCGAGAATAATGGGAAGCGATTCGGTGTGCAGGAGATCATTCAGTGGATGGGCAATCTCGACAAGGAGCGAGTTATCGCGAAGCATGCAGGTGAGCTTGGCCCGAATCTGACAGTATCCACTCCAAAACTTACAGACAAACATCTTGTGATACCGCTCACAGCTCGACAAGGTCTTGTGAGTCGATTTGTATACCTATAGCAGAGGTTCCTTATGCTGATACCGGCAATCTCTTCTCAGGTTTTGTCAACCACTCAGGGAGTCGACATGGCCATCAAGCTTAGGCGGCCCATGGATGACATTGTGACCCGGACAGACCCGTCTGATCCCAACTCTAGCGTTCTGTTCACCTTTACCGATGGTGTCGGGCGCTGCGCGCAAAACGTGGCAGATCAAGCCGCAAAGGACTTAGGATTCGATGATCACGACGTCCACCGTCATCCCTCGGCGATACAATTCCGTCTCGGGGGAGCAAAGGGGGTACTTTGCGCTTGGCCTACAGTGAAGCCGCGGGAGATCTTCTTGCGACCTTCGCAAATCAAGTTCGAATCTGACAGCAAGAAGCTTCACGTCGTCCGAATCGCTCAGTTTCGGAGAGCTTTCCTCAATCGACAGTTCTGCATCCTGTTTGCCGCGCTCGGAGTCGATCCGGAAGTCATCAAGGGTCTCATCTGGAACAAGGCCAAGTCCATCATCGGCTTGGCCGAGCGAGTCGCAGCGAGTCGGTTGACCAGGAAGGATCTGTGGATGATCGACAAGGTGGCTACCTTCCCGATTGCCGCCTTGATAAACGCCGGATTTCACAAGGACCCGGTTGTGCTGGACGTTTGTACCGTTACCGAGCGACGCATGCTCACGGACTTGCGATGGCACGCAAGGGTCGAAGTCGATAAGGGTGTATATTTAATGGGAGTCGCAGATGAAAGCGGTCTCTTGCAGGAAGGCGAGGTATTTTGTCAGTATGAGGACCCGGAGAGCGAAGAGGGCCCCGTCATCGTTCAAGGAGATTGCGCCATCACTCGAGCTCCAGCACTGCACCCAGGCGATATCCGCAAAGTCAAGGCGGTTGATATCCCAGAACTCCGTTCGCTCAAGAACGTCATCGTTATGAATGTCAAGGGGCAGCGAGACCTTCCCAACATGTTGGGTGGTGGGGATCTGGACGGTAAGCCGCCTGGAAGAACGATTGCAATCGATCATACACCACATGCGCTGAATTATGTCCATCAATTCAGGCGATGACTATACCCTGATCTGGGACGAGAGATTTGTGAACCCTTTGCAAGTGGCTGAGCCTGCCGATTATACCGCGATCAAACCGACGAGCGTGGCTTGGGTCGATCACAAGGACATCAAGGAGGTAGGTTGGCCTTGCGAAGAGAAGATAGCCTTGGCTGACCCGTTGCTTCTGCCAGAACTTCGTCAATCATATCCTGAACGACCTGCTCGGTTTGATCGGAAACGCGCACCTGGCCTACTGTGATCTCGAGCCAGAGGGACCATTCAGCAAAAAGTGTTTGCAGCTTTGTCAGCTCTACAGTACGGCGGTGGACTTTGCCAAGAGTGAGCAATGCTGGTCGGTTGTCGTCAACACGCAACGCTGACGACATGCCTTGCAGCCGGTGTGCCGGCGGAGCTGCCCCCTGACTATCGACCCAATCTCTGGCCGGACTTCATGGGCAAGGAGCCGTTCCGTTCGTATCCCGGTAACAGCGTTCTGGGAGAAATTTTCCGGATGGTGCGTGTCTCGAACGGAATGAAATCGGAAAGCCGCCCTGATTCAGATCTACTCTCGAATAGGTCGAGACAAAGGAACCCAAAGGTCTATTTGTGGCAAAGACAGCGGACGATATCCGGCCCAGCATGATCGATGCAAGGCTCGAACAGGTGGAGATCCCGAAAGCGGTCATGGCGCTGGCCGCGAAGCTCAAGATGAAGTATGACCTCGCTATATCCGCATTGATGGCAAGGTGAGTCACCGTGTGTCATGCATCTAAGCGCCAACTCACCACCGTCTACGAATACAGGTATCGATTGACCGAGATGGAATTAATCAGCGGGCTCGTGCTCAAGAATGGACGACGTCGGCGAATCCGAGATGGTGATCTCAAGGTGAGCGACATCGCAAACCGTCATGTTGAGTCTATCGTTAACAGACTTTTCGACAGGACCCGATGAGACGCGCCTATCGAGATATCGTGACCGATATCCTGGACCTCGCTATTCACGCCATGATCGACCTGAAGATCTCGTCGAATCTCGGACCACATCCCTTGTTCGCCGTGGCGGCCTACAAGATCACATACCAGCCGAAGAAATACCAGAACGTCATTCCAAACCTCACGCTTACCGACGACGATGAGCCTCAAACGTAAGTTGGCAGCGCTTGTGGTCTTATTTGCTCAGAGCATTGCGGCTGCTAAGTACGCAAACTTGATTATAGAAAACTGCTGTCCTTTGCATGGCTGGCCTGGAAGGACATCCTATCGCTCCCGGTCTTCGAAGGACCTTATCAGGCGGACTGATCCACTTAGGATTGTGGGGTCGAAACTACAAGATACATTTTACACTACATGAAGATTTCTGGGAACAAGTTGTATACCGCCGAGAAGATCCGAGGCTACTCTTTTATGCATTACAAACGGCCAGGCGCTTTTCATACCTCATCGCCGAAAACTAGAACCAAATCACCACCAAGAGATGCATATATACACGCATGCCATCGGGAAAAGTTACGTAAGGATATCATCATGCAAACGCACAGCATCTCGTTACGTCGCATACGATCCTTTCGCCTTGAGCGCCTGCTGAACTCTCATGTCGGTTCGATTCTGGTGGGGACGCCTTGCTACCGGACTCTACGTTTCACTCCAACCGAAACTTCCGTTAGCCATCGAGCTCGTGATGCCCAGTCAATGCAGGTTGAAATCGAATGGATCGCCGCACGATAAGACTGCAGGGCGCAAACGTCCTCATCTCACTCCTTCATACATACGGGTTCTTCCGCGGATCAACCCGGTCGGCAAGGACGAATGCAGGCCGGAACAAGACAGAGATGCAGAACGACCAACCAGCCTAGCCAACCGTACCCACTCGGATAAGAACCTCAGCCTCCATATCCACCCGACCGTCGACTGCGAGCTGGTCGAACCTGAACGGGGCGATTGACATTGAGATCCGGCCGCGATTGCCATATTGTCTTCTTTCGCGTTTCAAATCTCGTCCTTCTTTGTGCAGCGTGACGCGCTTGCGAAGCGGATCCAAAAAGAAGACAAAAGAACAAATGCGCTCTCTCCCTTGGCGATCACCTTGGACCCCGTTCTTCTTTGTTCCTCCAGCCAGAGAATGGTTCAGAGACCCAGGGATCCCTCCCCGCTTTCGATAAACGAGGGAAACTGAAGTGAGACGTCGTGGGTCGGTCGCCGAAACACTTGCTCGCACGCGTTCAGGTCGTTTCAAGGGGGATCTAGGGGAGAACAATAGGACTCCGTTATCTCGTCGACATCAAACCAAGATTGCACGGGGCGATATCGATCGAAACTCTGGTTAGCTCAAACGGGGTGGGAGGACACATGGCGGTCGATTGAACCATCGCTAGCTCCCTGATATGGTCGATGGCGTTTGCGGCAGACCGGTGCCTTCAGCCACAAAGGACCCTCCCTTCCCTCGGCCCGGGTCCCTCGTGATCGCCTCGGCGATCCACTTTTTCTCCAAAGGCCTTTGGTTTGATCATCGATCAATCTCATCAATGCATCAGCAGAATTTCGAGGATGATCGATATCTCGTCGTCGACACTTCGTTCGGCAATCCCTCCTCGCCCTGACCAAAAGGAAGCACCGGATGGGACGACGACCCCGTTATCCAACCATCCTGCCATGCGAAAGAAGCGTGGACGTGGAGGCTGGGCAGAGACACCTCATCCTCACGTCTTCTCGGCGGGCCGAGGATCGGTGGATCAGGTCGCGGCAGGTCCTCACAAGTAGGTCCAGCGCCACCACACCAGATTTTCACCTGCGAATCCTGGGGATGGTGGAGGAGAGGTATATAATACCGACAGCTGATCCCCGTCAATCTTTCCCGTTCGCTCCTCGATATTTTTTATTTCCTTCAGGCTCATTCCCTCAATCCCTTCTTGACCTTCACCTTCTCTTTTTGCACTCGCAACCTCTTCTCACAATAATGTCGACCGAGAAGACCCCCATCTCGGCTGCGGGCTCTTCGTTTGACAATACCGATACCCACCCCGCCATCACTCCCAGCCCTACGGCTCCTTCGTCTACCTTGGAAATCTCTCCGGAGAAGCACGACGCTAAGGACGGTTCGGACGATGGTACTGGACACGTCCACGAACTTCACGCTCGGCCCGATACGGCGACCGAGTATCAAGAATTCATGAACTTGCATCAGCGGTTCAACGGTAGCAAAGAATGGAGCAAGGTTCTTTGGAAGATGGATGTAAGTACAAGTCGAGCCTGGACTTCGACCTTGCGCTTCATGTCTGATTTCACGTTTCTCTCTTTGATTCTCCCTAGATCCGAATCTTGCCCCCACTTGCTATCGCCTACCTCTTGGCCTTTCTCGATCGAGGTAACATCGGAAACGCCAAGGTCGCCGGATTGACCGTTACCATCCCCATGTCGGATGCCCTCTACAACACCGGTAAGTCTAACTTGCTAATTTCTCGCTGGCCTTTCTCTCGACATTGACTGACTGGTATACATCTATCGCCGCAACAGGTCTCGCTGCATTCTTTATTCTCTACATCCTGTTCGAGATCCCCGCTCAGTTCTTTCTGAAGCGTTTCGGGGCTCGATGGTGGATCAGTGGGATGGTCATCGCTTGCGGAATCGGTGAGTCTCTCCCGTCAAGGCTGTCCATCAAAACTCTCCGTGTATATTGATGCTACTCCTGATCCCGATAGTCATGTCCACCGCCGCCTCTATCAGCTCTCCCGCCGGCTTCATCCTCTTCAGGCTCTTCTTGGGTCTCTGCGAATCGGGCATCATGCCTGGTGTTAACGAGATCTTGAGCTGTTGGTACACTCGTGAAGGCAAGTCCTTGCGTCTTCCAAGTCCGTCTCGTTGGATCACAAACTGACTTGCTGTTACCGATCTATCATAGAGCTCGCTCGACGAGTTGCGATCTTCTTCAGTTCGGCCTCGCTCGCCGGTGCTTTCAGTGGTATTCTTGCCTATGGGATCACCGGGTTGGAGGGTCGATACGGCATTGAAGGCTGGAGGTGAGTCTTTCGCCCCCGTTCTCGATCTGATGATCTCTTGACTGACCTGAATTTTGGGAACCGCGTGCAGATGGCTCTTCCTGATCGAAGGAGTCATGACCTTTGGCTGTGGTATCCTCGGACCTCTCTTGATTGTCGGCTATCCCAAGGACAAGCACGGCTGGCTGTCCCAGGACGAACAGCGTTACCTCATGCTCCGTCAAAGGTTCAGCACGAACGGTCAGACGACCGCTCGAGGCGAGAGCAACGCGCCGGGGCTAGTCACAGAGGTCGCCAAGAGGTGGCACATCTACCCTCAGATGATCATCTACTTTTCGCACTCGCTCTATAAGTATCGTCGCTTTCGTCCTGGAGTATCCCATATGCTTACCTCGTGATTTCTTCATTCTTCGTTCTTCGTTTGGGATCAGTACTGGGATACGTGAGTGGCATACATGCTTCTGTTTAGCCAGACAACCGATATCTAACCTCTTCATTCGCGCATCAGAGTATCACGTTCACCCTCCCTGTCATCGTCCGGTCGCTCAAGTTTTCCAAGATCGAATCCTACCTCATCCCCGTACCCATCTACTTTGGAGCTTGTCTGTGGACCATCCTGAACTGTCACATCAGCGACAAGCGCAAGCGTCGAGCCGAACATGTCGCCGGTCCTTTCCTGCTGGGAATCTTGGGTCTCATCTTCACCATCGGTGCGCGAGCCAAACCGGGGCTCATCGGGCTGACTATGACAGGTCTTGTGTAAGTGGTCGCACGACGTATCGCACTGGCGGGTACGATTAGGCTAACATTCGATGCCTTATCAGTTTCATCGTCTTCGGAGCGTATTCCGCTACCCCTCCTTCGCTCGCCTGGACTGCTTCCAACTTCCCCGAAGTGAGCAGAATGCGCGGATAGACAGCCTTCCATGTGCTGATCCGGACTCGTCCCGTAGCCACATAAGCACGTCGCTTTCGGTTTCCAGCTCGCTTTCGGAGCCTTTGGTGGTCTCACGGGATCGTTTATCGTGGGTGTTTCGTTTTGGTCAAGGTCGCGATAGGCTGTTAAGCTGATCTCGCCGGTGTCTCAAATCTAGTACCTGAGCAAAGAATCGCCCTTGTTTGATACCGGTATGTACAAAGTCTCCCCTTTGAGTACCGACCAGGATGCTGAAGCTTCGACATTAGGTTACATCGTTTCGCTTGTCGTCGCTTCTATCGCCACCGTCTGCTGCATCGTTCTCAAGATCGGTTACGATAGGGCCAACAAGCAACGAGACGCGCTTTCGAAAGAGGCCATTGAAGAACAATGGAGCGAAAAGGACATGTGAGTTAAGGGGCCGAGTTAAGCAGGTATTCTGGTGTCTCATGCGATTCACGTTGCAGCGCGGCCGCGGGGGACAGGTCGCCGTACTTCCGATACTGGTCTTGAACAGCACGGATATGTCTCGTGAATATAGATTTAGATAGGATAGAATGCGTTAGGATCAGGAGGATGTGATCAGGCTACGGCTTCTTTGGTTGCCAGGGATTCCTTTTGATATAAATTCAGTACGAGACATCGGGGCTGCCTCGAGCGCCTCGAGCTTTGGTTCCATCCCATCCGTTACGTCCATTCGGCTAGCCTTATCGCTCAACGTCCATTAGAAAAATTGACAAAGGCAGACCTTGTGATCCTTGTTCGAGGCTGTCTCTATACATTCCTCGCATGCGAAATAGTCTAGTATCCCATACAACAATGCGGAAGGCTAATTATGATGGCCCGAAGGGTCTGCGGGAAAGCCATGTTATACGATAGTACGACAGATATAATACAGATACAGACCCTAGTACAAACATCAAGCTCATTGCAGTATCCTGGCCCTAGACTATCGACTGTGCTTGGCTTGTCTTTGCACGTCGTCGATGACTTTGCTGCCTTTGAATGTAAGGGTGAAAACGGAAGGGATGACGCCCTCGATATCGTATCTATTCCTAGACCTGCCGACAGTACGACTGCAAATGGACCAGCTTGTCACTATTCGGTATTGGGAAGATCACGACTTTCATGTTGAGTACGGCAGATTGGGGGTGACCTCGACCAGGTTGATATCGGCGCATCGACCTCCGACATATATTGACTTGATTCGGCATGAAGGCCACGTGTGAAGTCGGGCGAGCTTTCTGACTGCCCATTCGGCCCGCATTTTCGAAGATCGTAGGCTCCGTTGAAAACCAGGGCCAGATCAGGAATCGAAGGATAAGGAGCTCCCCGCACAGCAACGCCGTGACGTCTGTTCAAGACAATCCGCATAGCTGCCGATCGACTTTTTCCGCAGAGTCCGACTGAGGGATTCCAGCTTCCTCCGACTTTGACACCTCGGGCTCCTTCGGCCGAGACGGCTCGAGCTCTTTCGTCTCACCGGTCTTAGACTCGTCATGCCCAGAGGTTCCCGGCTCGTCCAACTGCGAAACCCCGATTTCGTCGATTCGAAGAGCGAGTGGAAGGAGCCAACGATCAACCTCCTATAGGCGAGCACATAACAAAGGAGATTTCAGTACAGGATTCCCAGGAATGGTTTAATCGGAGGACGACGATTGGGCTCGCATGCTCACCTTTGCATGCACCGATGCAACGTCCAGACCAGGCTCCGACTCTGGTGGATAACATGACAGGTCATGGTGGTCATCTTGCGTAATTCTCGCCCTCCCTTTTTCGAGTCTCCTTCGCCACCAAGAGAGGGCAGCCGGCTCGACGCCGATAAGCTTGAAAGGATGATGCTGTTGCACCAGTGCTCTGATGATTCCGGAGACCTTAATGGTGGCCGACGTGATGGGGATGACGTCCTTTCCACGGACGATGTCTTTACAGCGACGAAAGACCTCACACGGAAAGTCTTTGCTCGGTATCCCGGGAGTATGGCTCTGGACCCGGTTCGGCAGCTCTTTTCCTTCGAGCCACCCGGAGATACGGACCCAGGCTATCTCGTAGCGTGCCAGAGTGTACAGATATTGGTCGAGCCTCTCTATGAAAAAATTGAAGCGATGATCGTCAATTTCCATAAAACGATCCGAAGGCCCACAGCCCATTACTTACCGAATTCATCCCGAGCCTACGACACGAAAAGGAAGTGTGGAAGGTTGTGAGTTCGAGGCAGACACAGTCGTAAGGCTCTCGTAACCCGAAACCGTACTCACGATAGATACCCATTCCCACAGAGCGGTCAAGATAGTCGCATTCGGCCTGACCCAGTCCGGTGGTTCCCTTTGTGTCATGAGGAGTAAGCAGGTTCTCGTCAGAGCCACCTGACGCAGTGATTCCCAGGCGAGGATAAGTTCCCAACGGTAGATCGTCTCCATCTGCAGTCGAATGTGACGGATGTGTTGGTCGTTAGGCTTGTTGTCACACGGAAGTGTATATATGTTCTGGCAGCTTTGACTCACCTTGGCCCCACCTGCCGAAGTTGCAGGGAAGTGAAAGGCGGCGTAGAACAAGTGCTTGGGGTAATGATCTTCAAACGACGCTATACTGTCTCTCAGCAACTCTGGGGATTCGTACTGATCGCTCCAATTGCCGTGAGCGGGTTGACCACGTTCGGGAGGTATCGCCGCAATGAATTCTTTGAAACCTGGCCAGCTTGATGGGCTGTTTAGGCGATCGTGCCGGAGACCGGGATAGCGGCTGACTATATCGTCCATACTGCGTTCTGCTCGACTATCCGAATCCTCTGTGAGATCGGTCTCGAGGGGTAGTAGTGGTATTGTCCCTCGCTGGTTCGATGGGCGGTCGAAGTCGAAGCTGGATATCGGTAAAATGTGTAGAGCGAGTTGGCTGGGACTCGAGCACAGCGTTTATGACTATTAGATAGTCCCCTCCTTTGGCATTTGGTGGGTACGGATGTCGAATAACAGAGAATTCCTGGACAACCAGAAGTCGTGATGGAGTATTCGCTCTGATCAGTTAAGTAGCCAAGTAGCCAAGTAGAGTAGTAGAGTCTAGAGTCGCGTTCTCCCACGTATCACGTGCAGAGTACTGCTTCGCTTTCGTTCGTTGGTTCGTTCGTTCGTTCGTTCGCTATTCGGAAATCGTATGCTGAACTGCTGATCTCTTCTCATACAAATGAAACACACCCCACCACTGCTAAGTTAAGTAGACCCAGTAACAGGAACGTCAATCCACGCCTCGTCCACCTTCTCCCCCCCACTCCAACGATAAGCCCCAACCACCCTTCCGGGACATCGATATCGGGACCATCGGCTTGATCGTCTCGAGGCCAACCTGTTACAAAGGGTCAGGCAGTGTAGATGGAACTCGTAACAGGTCAGGCAAGGTAGATGGAACGAGTAGGTCAATCTGAACTTACCAATAGCGATGATCCCCAAGTGCAAGAACAGTAGAGCCCCACCTCCGATGACCCGGTCTTTGGTTGAGCCTTTGGTTGACGCTACCACAAGCAGTGAAACCAAGGTCCACAAGTACAGCAATACGAAGAAGGACTCGGCGAGGGTGAAGGGGTAGTGGCAGCGGGCCTCTTGTTTCGTTCGCTTGTGGCATCGAACTAGATCCTTGATCTGTGCGGCATTCTTTGTAGTAAGGGGCTTCAAAGTTATGAAAGTATCTCGCGTATCATCTACCGAAAAGCGGGGCAAAAAAGATACATTTACACGTCATCTTTGAAGCCCCCAGAGTATCTAAGCAAGTAACTTGAGAGGTATCTCTCGGCAAATTGATTGATATCGGTCAATTCGTCTTTCGGATGCTTATCAGCGGACATGTTTGCATTTAATCTCCGTTTTCGGCTCTACGGACAACCAAAACATCTCCTCGTCCGTGCCCGACCTTGTGATCGGCTGTTATGACCTTGAAGACCGTGAATCACCTACATCTAGACCGTCAATCGATATGACCCTGACGTCCTAGTCCGACCGCCCGCTACACTCTTTCCCTCCTCGCCTCATGTTGTTCAAGCCATGGTGCGAACCTCGGCTCGAAAGAGAGCGCTGATTGCGCTGGAGGGGAATGTCGAAGCGTTAGCCTTAGTCTACCAATTCCTGATTCTAGCGAAGGGGAGGATCCGACGACGACTCATATACGATTCCGACAACGACTTTGAGAATCAACGACTTACGACCTTGTCCCGACGGCTACGTAGCTTCCGAAATCTGCTCCTCGCCGCCATCCAACAGCTACATGCCGTCCAATCATCACGATATCTCAGCCGACCTATGGGTCGAGGGCTAAAAGCAAGAAGAAGTCCGCTGTTCGAATACTACCTGCATATGGACGATGTATGGTTCAAACAGATGGTTAGTGAACCCATCTTGACGTTGGATCTGTGCCGTTACCGGATAAGTGACCAGCTTCGCTTACATCCCTCACCTTGCTTTCTAAAGGCCCGAATGACGCACGACTCGTTCTTCCGCCTACATGGCCTGATCAAAGACGACCCGGTCTTCCACAACAACTCACGAAATCCTCAATCTCCATCAGAATATCAGCTGTTGTTAACGCTTCGTCGTCTTGGCATGGGAGGAAACGGTGCCTCTGTCGGGCAGACTGCTCAGATGTTTTCGGTGTCAGGTCAGTCCCAGCCGTTCGAACCTCGCTCTCCCGAAGCAGGTATGGCTAGGCTTACCCCGGCTCGTTCTTTTTGCAGAAGGATCAGTAGAGCTCTGGACCCTTCGATGTATAGCCGCCTTGTGCCGAAACCTATCGCAATTTGTATCCTGGCCAGACCGAAGGGAGCGCAGGAGGATATCGGCCGAAATCGGGAGAAGAGCGCCCTTTCCTGACTGTGTCGGATTCGTCGACGGGTGCTCGATTCCTCTCGACTATAAGCCAGGAGTCGAGGACGCAGTCGACTACTACAACTATAAAGGCTTCTATGCCTTACAGCTGATGGCTGTCGTCGATAATCAGCGCCGATTTCGTTACACCCTACTCGGATTTCCTGGATCGGCAAACGATACACGTACTTGGAGTTTCACCGCCGTAAGTTCCTGTCTGTTTGTTGTGGCCGGTCACCGTCCTCTTCTTGTTGCCTGTCCTGATGAAACAACTATTTCCGCGTATCTATCAGATCGACAACGATCCACAGGCTCACTTCAACGCCGGCCAATATCTCATCGGAGACTCTGCCTTCGTCCCCAACAACTACATGGTCCCTCCTTACAAGCGGGCCAGAAACACCGCGTACCTACCTCCCGATCGACACAAGTTCAACCAGGCCGTCGCCAGCGCCCGAGTCGTAGTCGAACATACGTTCGGAATGCTGAAAATGCGCTTTCAATCACTTCGGTCACTTCGCTCGCAAATAGACACACAATTGGATCTTGAACGTTCCCTAAACTGGATACGTGCTTGCGTCCTGATACACAATTTTCTAGCCGGAGATGCGGAAGACGACTTCTGGGCGGATTTCAATATGGAACGACTCGAACGGCGATGGGAAAGAGAAGCTGAGGCCGTGCGAGGATTGTGGGCGACATATACAGATGGGGCGGGAGGTGCTCCTCCACAGGGTACCGATCTGCGAAGACAGTTTGTTAAGACCTTTGCGGAAGAACGTAGATACGAGCCTGCTTACATGTACGATTCGGATTGATGTTATGCGATGCTATTCGGGCACGTCTGGCAATCCGGCCATCCTCAACGCTTGCTTGTTGCTGAATCCGGCTGAGCGATAGGTATTGAAGGCAGCAGTCCTGGCGGTGAGAAGCGCTGCCTCCGAGTCTCTGTCTTTCATACGTCTCTCTTCAGCCCGCTCCGCCTTATCCGATTCAAGCTTCTGCTCCTCGAGTTGTAGGCGTCGTTCCTCTAGCTCCAATCTCGCTTTGGCTTCCTGTTCAGCCAGCTGACGTTCCTCCCTCTTCTCCTCAACCCGCTCCCGCCACATCCTTTCCTCCAACTTGTTCGTCGCTTCGAGTGCATCGCTCAGAGGGTTAAACAAGTCGCTCGCACCTCCGCCATTTCCTTTCTTCCTCGACTTCCGTTGCGCCGCTTCCTTCAAATCCGTATCGCGAGGAGCGGCTGCGGTCATTTTCTGAGAGAGGTCGGAGATCCTTGTGCGGAAGGTAGTCGAGGATGAGCCAGAAGGGGAGTCGGTGATGTTCGCAGTTCTTCTCGGACCTAATCCTTCATCATCGGTCCATTCGTCGTCCTCTTCTGCCGCCTTCGACATCGTATATTGGTACTCAGGATCGGCCTCGGGATCATCCTCGTAATTGCCGGACATGGACGTGGTCATCTGCCAATCTGCAGTGCGACGGGTGCGGGGTGTTCGTAAATCGTTCTCGTTGACGTCTTCTTCCTGTTCGTCGAGTCCCATCTGGTTGGTGATAGATCGTTTGTCTTTCTGACTAGAGTCGAGGAGTAGAGCTGGCGAGCATACCGAAAGGCAGGAGAGGAGAGGTTTAAGGGTTTCGTAATAAGGATTCTCTTTGGCAAATTTAGCTATGTCAAGAGGACATGTAAGCAGTCGAGCGGATGGCGGGCATCAGGATCGAACTTACTGACAAACGCCGCTCGGGCGTTACGAGCCTTGAACCTCTTATCCTTCTCAGCCTCGGTCAATCCTTCCTCATCGGGATCCTGTAGTAAATCTTCGTTCGTAGAGCCATTCCCTGTCTTGTTCCATTCCTTATCTGCTGCGTTCCATGCCTTGACGACGTTGGTGATCTGGGGACGAACACGACATCAGAAAAGACGTTTGGTACAGCGCTACATCGCACACTGACCTTTGTGCAAATCGACGTCAAGCTTCTGTCAAATCCCGCAATATTCCTTTCGTGCATCAACTCCGTGATCCTCTGTGCATGCTGATGTCTCCCGCTCTTGTTACTTGCTTTGAATTGAGAGTAGTTTGTACCTTCGGTCAAGTATTCGATCAGGATATCGTCTGCGGTCTCTCCGTCCTGGTTGACATTGTCTGTCCATCGGGAATACGTGACTCTGGTTGTGTCTTGGCTAGATGAAGAGGGTTCTGGAGTCTTTCCGTCCTGGAGATTGGGATCGAGAGGAAATATGGGGGTGACACTTCGGCCTCTTGTAGCGCTCGATCCTCGACCTCGTTTGGCTTGTGGTCCTGCGTATGGAGCAGGATTGGGCCGCTTTTTGCTGGCAGGTGCTTGAATAGCCGAGAGAGGAGCAGATGAGGATGGAGGTGGCATGTTTATCGGAGATTGGGATTGCGTTTCGTTGATCAAAGGAGCTTGAAATTTCTTCGGAATGGTAGTCGTACGGGTAGGTCGTGAGCTTGCAGCGGTAACCGTGATGTCTGGAGCAGATCCTGCTGCTGCCTCGTCGTTTGTATAGTCCTGATTACATATATAAGAGGTCGTCAGGTCTCAATTGTCATAGCGGTATGGCACATAACGGAAGAGGAAATGCCAAGGCATACGAGATTCACACGAAACGGGATGGCTGGACTTTGAGATGGCGGGACACTTACATCAGTCATATCGAAACCGGTGTTCGTCGTCCTTTCTGCCGGATCGGGGTACGTAAGTCGATTTCTTGGTCTACCAGGACCTTAAGTTCATCTTCTTGGAGTCATAGATATGTATACAGATGAGATATAGGACGTTGATGATGGATACCTCGAGAGATCAAAGGCCTCTGAACCCCTTTGATCTCTCGAGGTATCTAATCATCTCGAAGTATCTGATTTAGCGCGGGGCCCCGGATTTAGGATACTTTCGGGAGATGACGCGTGAGAAGCTTTCTTTAACTTTGAAACCCCTTAGTAGGGTTTGTACGATATCTGCAAGAGCGCAAAGTTCAGAACCAGATTTCAAGGACTAGATTGAAGTTGAAAGGAGTACTCGTTGAGTAAGCCCTGGAGAAATTCGGCGTCGATATTGGCCTCGCCGTGTGCGGAAGATGCAGGTTGCATGGGGGGATATTCGGCCTCGATATTGGCCACGCCGTGTGCGGAAGATGCAGGTTGCATGGGGGGAACAGGACGAGGTGATGCTAAGGGGGGAGCCTGAGATGAGAATACGGGACGAACGTGATGCCGATCGGGAGCCTGAAGTGATGATAATATGAAATGTATAGCGACCAGCGACCAGCGACCAGGGGCCGGCCAGGGGGGGCGATGTCGCTTTCTTTCTCACGCGTCGTCGCGTCTAAGCGCAGCTACAAGCAGCAAGAAGCGAGCGAATACCCGCATTATATTCGTCTGCTCTCCCTACGCCCGAGACGTGGAATCTCTACCATCCTCGTGCAGTGTGCTATGTCCTATGGAACCTCTTCGAATCGAGCATGTAACTGATTTTGGCTCCCCTGTCTCCTATTTCGTTCCTTATAGCCACTCGACCATGCACGCTGGAAGCATCGAGGCCCAAGTCGTATCGCTCCTCCCTCTCCTCGTAACGAGAGCTGATATTCCCTGGCCTTGCACTCGTTGGATCATCCTCCGGCTCCCTTGGCCGTGGGTTTAAAGGCATCCACGTACATGGGAGAGGGCTTAAAGTGAAGGTCCTCTGAGCTTGCCGGGCATTAGATAGGTCGTCCCCTCGCCGCTTCTGGCCCGTTCCCGACAACGGCTGGTCCCCTTGATCGTAGGCACCAGGAGCAGGCGACACGGCGGCTACGGCGAGGTACCCGGGCTCAATGTGTCGCGACCCTGGCAAGTATCATAAGCATGGACTTCGCTGCTTCAAGGTGAGTTCCCCTTTTCCTCTGCTCGACGTTCAAAGCAGGGGGCGATTCTCTGACTCGTCGTCGTTATGCTTCGCCTCCTTTAGACCTAACCGACCCACGGAGGGGGTAGGGCCGGACTGTCTCGTTGCACCCTCCCCAGACCAGACACCGAGTGGCAGTACCACGAGCGAACAAATCGTTGGGCAACCGGTACGTCGATTCCACAAGATTAGACCGTATCGTTCGTTCCCCGACTTGACGATGGGAACGACCAGCCCGGGACCGGATGGAGGACCATATGAAGGACCATATGAAGGCGATGTCGAGCGGTGAGTCGTTCGCTCTGCTCGATCCGTAGTCGATGCTGCCTGACGCAATTCCACTTCAAGCGTTGTTGTACTAGAGCCTCTTGTTCATGGACCGCATCTTGTGGGTTTATCGTGCTGCTCCTTGCATCGTACACCTTGCTGATGACAGCCCGACTGGTTTAAAGGTTGTACCACAGCACCGTTACTTGGGGCACCGAACTTTGTACGTTCTACCGAATCTTGTACCGGTCCGTGATGCACGAGATGAAGCTGATCTTTCGTTTGATTCAAAGGTTGTATCACAGTTGTAGTTGCACGACCAGCGACCGGAAACCCTCATGATGAGAGCCCTTGGCAAGAACCAATAGTCCCCCGACTGATACGGTGATGTCACACGTAGCCCGATCTCCTCGAGGGAAAGGGCGACGGCACCCTGCGAGAACTCCTCGTCCATCGTGGCAGGGCTCGTATAGGTCTACTCTGAGCGGGTTTCCGATTGCAGTTGATGATGTCTCTTGTACGGTCCTGCTCATGACTTTATGACAGTATCTGCGTCCTCCAGATAAGATCGGCTTTTATATGTTTGTCCAGATCATTGATCGATTTCTCCTCTTCGCCTTTCTCTTAACCTTGAACGACCGAGCTCTCTCGCTTTTGACCTCCCGATCTGAGCCCAAAATGCCCAGCGCCCTGTCAAGCGCCAGTACCGAGCTTGATCCTTGTCCCGAATTGTCCGCGCAAGAAGAGAAGCTTGGGTACCGACATCGAATGGTTGCCGACGTTCAACGATGTTGCGATGACAGCGGGCGCGTGAAGCCTAACCTGCGTCCGTCACAGAGGATACGTGCCAAGGTCCGGCGACCTTTCTCTCCGTTGCCAATATGGAAGCGATAGAGACTCCCATTCTGGAAGACAGCGCTGAACTGATTCCGGCTCGGCTTGTTTCGATGACAGACCCGCCGGAGGTGTCTTCGTTTTCTTTGAGATACTTCAAGATAGGGGAGTTCGACGTAATTTCGCTCTTCGACGCCTCGACTACAGATCGAGACGGAAAGCGATTCATGAGGAAATATCTTTGCGGTTGTTAGTAACGTTTTCAATACCGACATCAGGAACAGTCGGCGGAGAGCTGAGCTTACATAGTTATGTCCCGGTCCCGAACCGCGAGTGATCAAAGATGAGACCCCTCCCGCTCAGTAAGGAACAGATCGTTCAAGTTCGTTCTGGACCCCTCCCCATAAGGGAACAGGCCACTTGATTCCCCTCCCCATAAGGGAACAGGCCAAACTTTAGATCGCCCTCCTTCGCGGGACACGACGACGAGGTGTTGGAGGAACAGATCGTTCAAGTTCGTTTTGGACCCCTCCCCATAAGGGAACAGGCCACTTGATTCCCCTTCCCATAAGGGAACAGGCCAAACTTTCAGATCGCCCTCGCCCACAACGACGAAGTGTTGGTCCATATGCATAGTCGGAATCGCCTGTGTGGCATTATTTGGCGACAAGTTGAACGGATAATCGATCACGCCGTTGCTATAGACACGACCGTACACGCCCAACTTGGTCGTCGCGCTTACAGAGAAGCTTCCACCAATCATACAGCAAACCACAGCAGTTACGTCGACAAGTCCCAGGTCCGATCGACATCAGGAGAACCTTATTGCATCCTAATCTGACCAACGAAGAAGTCCTGGCAATGTCGATTCAGTAAAAGAATGTCAGTTGTCGGGTGGGTCGTGAGAGACAGGAGATTATTATGGCGTGAGGGAACGTAACAGGGATGGCAAACACTGCATCTGAAGACGTGCAAGAATGGAAAACGAAACAGCGCCAAATACCCTTCCGAGAGAACCTCATCACATGCGATACCTTAGATCATCATCAACGAGGCGACGCTTTCGTCAGCAGTATGACGATGTGCTGACGTTTCAAGAGGTTGCGAAGTGGTTGATCGACACTCTACGCGCGTGTTTCAGGTCGATCAATGATCGAAACGATCAATTCCTTTTGTTCCCTTTTCCGCGTGGTTGTTTCTCCGAAGCAAAGATCAAAAGATCCAAAGGACTCACAACAACACGCACACTATCCTCTCTTGCTCTCTCTACCTTTACTCGATGGCTGGAATATTGAAAAGCGTGTCGGCCCGAGTTTCGGTATATATACTGCCAGCCAAGATCACAGGCAGGATGTGGAATCCCGCCGGACAATCATTCCTCCAGCAAACATCGCCATCTACCAAGTCAACAAACACCCAGTTTCCATCATGCCCGGAATCAAAGCGATCAACAAACGACTGCAATACGGACCTCACGTTCTCCTCCTCTTCCTCACGGTGTTTACCATCTTCATTTTGCTGTAAATCTGATCTCGTCTTGGTTCAGGTGGGCTCGTGGATTTCGTATCTGATATTCTTCTCGCTCGCTCTTAGTATCTTGATCACCTTTTCGTCACCGTTCATCACGACCATATACTTTTTACGGGCGGGTGTGGTCAATTTTGGTGCCTTTGGATACAACTCTCCCGGTTTTCGATCGGAGGATGTCTTGGGTTACGAATACGGGTTACAAGTGCTGAACCCGCTTACGAATGCGATGATTCTGTGGGGTATCGGTAAGCCTGGAGTCGAATAGATGATCTACATCGATATTCGCTGACCCCATCTTACTGTCATGCCTGCCTTTGATCCATTCTTTCTGTAGCCACTGCATTCGCCCTTTTCGCCCTCATCTCTATCATCCCGTTACTCTGGGTCCACGACAGTGCCGCCCTACACGCCGTAGCCAATAACACCTTTTTCACCTATTCTTCGGTGAGCTCTAACATCATGTTCGTTTCAAGTCGAAGCTGACGATCCCACTAAATCTCGGTTTCTATATTATCAGCAAATCCTCACGCTCATCGTCTTCCTCATCTGGCCCATGAGCATCTTGGGATGGTCGATCGCTCAGCGAAGTTTCAACCTATCGGATCCGGACGTCAATGCCACCTTGGGGTATGTCGTGCTCGAGCATCCTCGGTAATATAGAACCGTCAAGCTTACCTCCACGAAATTGATCTCTTCCAGACCTGCCATCTGGATGGGACTTGCCGCGTGGATCTTGGTCGGCGTGTAAGTTCCAAGTCCATGCTCGCTTCGTATTCGGGTCTGCGATTTACTTACAGCATTGTTCCTTTCCTTTCTTCTTTTCTTTTGGTAGCATGCAGGCGATCGGTTGGCCAGCCGATGTTGGAGAGGGTCAGGGTGATGGGTACTACCACTACCGTCAGACTACCAGAGAGGTCACCAGGCCTCGTGTTTAGTCCAGCACGCCCATCTCGTGCTTTTTACCTTGTTGTCGAGTTTCGCTACCACGCGCCCGTTCCAGGTTTCGTTCGTCTGCGTTTTCTCCTTCGAGCCTTTTCGCTGTACGGGTATCGTTTCTCGAGGTCTTCATATGTTTCAAGATATATACAACCATGTTTTGAGCTATCTTTGACGAACCACTATCATGCATCGGAGCTCGAATCCGATATGTGCTGATGCTGCTGCTCTCGATCTCGATTCGGTTGACGTCCCTGCTGCACGGCCATCTTCATCTGATCGATGACCTTGCTGAGCACCTCGAGCTCCGCTTCGGCCCCCAACCCAAATTCGTCGTCCTCGCCATCGTCCCCTCCAAAGCCTCCCGAGCCGAGGTGGAACCCCATCATGGAAGAGGAAAACGAGCCGACGTGCGTTCGATGCAATCGCAACAACCTCAGCGTATTCTCCAACCCGCTCCGAATGTCTTTGAGATTGTCGACCGTCATCTGACTGAGGGCTAGGTCGGTCTTGAGCATCTCACGTTTCGACGGTTCCTTGATCCCGACCGCGGCCTCTTTCGCCACGTCCACCCAGTCCTTCCAGCGGGGCGCCTCCCTGACTTCCCAGCCTAGTCGATGAGCTTCCCCCATCATCTCGTGCATCAATCCTCCACCGATCGTGCTCGCCCGGTCAGCCGCGGGCAAGGCCTTCTCCGTAGCCAGGTAGAGCGTGTCAAACTTTTCTTGCGTCCTCAGCATGACCTTGTGAATCATCGCTTCGAGTTGCTTCGGCGTAGGTTTAGGATCCGAGGTGAGCAGGAGGCGATTGAGTCGGTCAAAGTCGTTGGCGATCCAGGAAAAGGCGTTGTTCGTTTGGGCATACAGGGAGCTAATTGCGCAGAGAGAGAAAGCGTGTACCAGAAAGAGGGTTGTTAGACGTTTTCTTCCGGCTACGAATAAGCGACCTGAGAGGTACATACGAAATCTCGTCGGATAGGTCTCGACTCATGTCACCCAGCGCCATCAACTCGCTTCCCACTTTATCCTTGTCAGGCAAGTGAGATCCGATCTTGATCGCCGACGCCAATTCCCACATCCTGTCGGGGTGGTCGTCATAACGTCAGCCATTCAGCTAAAAAATGAGAAACGTCAAGCATCTTCATTTACTTGGTGTGATAGAGCCCATTCTCGACGCCTCCTGTACCGAGACTGATGACCGATTCGAAGATATTTTGAGCGTTTTGGGCTGCGGCGTTTTCCCGACACTTCAGCCTCATCCTCGACCTTGAAAACCCCGAAAGGAAGGGGTTTAGAAAGATCGACTCACCTTCTTTATGTAGAGCTCGAGCCACCTTGCCCACATCGTACCCGTTCTCACTCTTCCTCTTCGAGCAGATAAAGGGTAGATAGATGCTCCCGCAGACGCTCGGCAATCCACCCCGAAGCAGGTCCAAGGACGGCGATCTCAAGGAAGACCAGCTCAAGCCGGTCCCGTTCCCTCGTGCCAAGTTCCAGAGCACATGAAGTGACCCAAAGAAGCCCGACTTTAACCGGGAGATGAGAAAAGGTAGAAGAAAGTAGAGAGCCAGGAAGCCAAGCCCGAAGAGGACGACCGAGTTAACGACATGCGCCAAGATGGGCGACAAGAGGGTCGATAGAATCCGATTCAAGAGGTCGAGAGGTACAAGTAGGAAGGAAAGGGTATCGGCTAGTGCAGGACGTCTCTGGCGAGGTGCTGTATTGGTCTTCGGTGGAAGCGCTCGGACAGCCTTTCTCGATGGGCTAGCTACTAAGAATGCGAATCAGTCGATCTGCCAAGTGATAAAAACACGATCCGTCGCTTACCTTGTCTACTAATCTTTGCCTGCGAGCCTATGAAGCTACCTTCCATCTCATCGTCTTCCACATCCTGCTCTTCTACCCAGACCGACCTAGTCGCGGTCTTTCTCGGTGATGCGGCTGATAATCCACGGCGGACTTTGCGAGGTCGAGGGCTGCTGCCACTAGAGCCGCCATACCGGAGAGTAGAGGGTGAGGTCATTTGTTAGGAATGTGAGTGCCTCTTACTAGGCCTTTGATGCTAAAGGAAGTGAGATACGGGGACCCGAGGTTGCAGCGACGAGATCAGGTCAATCGAGAAAGGAGATGGAAGAGGTCGGTGATGACGTCAGATTTGTTGATTTGTCGATAAGCAAGCGCGTCAAACCTTTCCGATGACGTGGCATTTCTTGCATCTCGGTGTCAAACGACCAAGTCGTTCACTCACGATCGACGGGGACGAGTATTGGTATGAGATGTAATAGTCGGAAAACGGTGAATCGAGACTGCGGCACACTACAGCTACATGGTACAACAAGGCACGAGCGATTCGATGGATGTCGAGCTTGACAGAAATGAAAGAAATCAGGCTAGGCTTTGCGGCTTGGCCGGATGTTAATTTCGTCCCACCAAAACTGGTGGGACGAAATTAACATCCGGCCCTCCCTCAGCTCGCCATCATGTGGAACTAATCGTCCTTGGACTTGCTGCCGCAGACCTTGGGAACGCTGTAGTCCTCGGACCTGACTCCGCCTCCCCAAGGTAACTGACCCAACGTCTTGGCCTCGGGACCGAGCCCTCGCTCGGCGAATCCCTTCCAGATGTCACACGTATTGTTGCCTCCGGTGAGGATCAAGTCGGCCTGGATAATGGCGTCTCTGGCCGCAGCAAAGCTGGGTCGACAAGGTTGAAGCTTCATTCCTTCGACCAAGAGATGGGCGAGCAAAGTGTTGCCGTGCTTAGGGACCAGGCGGGGTCGAGTTGAGGGACGGCCAGCAAACGAGGTCAAGGTTGAGTTGATGGGGAGGTAGTAGTCGTTGGGCTCGGTAGTGTTGACGGGAGGGAAGAGCGTCTTGGAGAACCCGTGCTTGGCGATCAATCGTTGCTCGACGACAAACAGGATCTCCGCCCAGACTTCTCCGATAGCGTGGACTCCCTGTGAGATGTAGTGTTGTGCTCAGCTAACGGTTGCGAATGGTCTCAGTCACGCTCGCGCAACTCACCCAGTAACCCGGCTTGTCGAGCGTCTTGAAGGTGGACGGGTTCGAGGTCATGTTGGCCGAATAGACATAGTTGCGGATACCAGACTTTCGGTTGGCAGCCCAGGCGCCCATGCCGTACTCCTCTTCGTGGGTACCATACTCGGTAGTCTGACGGATGAGCGTGGCGAAAGCGTCACCCCAACCTAGACAGACAAGGACGACAGGAATCAGCACATCACGATCTCCCGACGATTTTATCGCAATCGCTTTAGCTAACCTTCTCCCATTCCACCGGCCTCGCCGTATCCGAGACAACCACTGTTGGCGGGTCCACCGGTCAATCGGGTCGATAACCCGTGACTGTACTCGTGAATCACAATACCGGCCTCGAGGTCGCCGTCTCGGAAGGGCTATGTTGTGACTTGAGGTCAGCCGTGGAGCTCCATCACGTTTGATACGCCATGAACTCACCGTAGCAGTGTCCCAAACATACATCCTCATCCGAGGTTGAGAGCCGTCAGGCGGGGTCATGAAGTCTGGGTTCAATCCAAGTCAGCCCGGATCAAAGGGATATCCCATCACAGCGACGCAAAACTCACTAGCGTTATCGGTCCCGGACCCATCCTGCGCTTGACAGATGACAGCGTCTCCGCCCAATCCACCCTTGCCAAAGTTGTCCATCTGGAAGTTACCGCTCGCCTCGTCGAATCCGAGACGGTACAGCAGGTCGTGGTACATGTTGCTCGTGTAGAACAATTGAGTTACCGCGAGATCGCTACAAGAATGAATACGTCGACAGATCAGCTGTTTGGTCTTCGAAGGTTTGATTCGACCGGATTGAGCTCACATGTATTCCTTGGGTCGGAGACCGTCAGGCTCGCCATACTCGTAATCGAAGATGTAGGACGAATTGACAGGTCGGCCATTATGCAACCACGAGTTCTGACCCTCCCAGTCCCTATAAGGATGAGGAGCGTCAGTCGTGCGAGAATATAATTGCGTTTACGGCCACTACACAAACGTACTCCTGAGCAAAGACATTGTTCCCCATAGTGGTAGCGAACGAGCTCCACGTTCCGTTCCTGTACCGACCAGTCATCTCCCCCTCGACAGGCTCGTAGCCCTCGACCCAAGGTCCTTTCAATCCCGTCTTCATACCCGGGATCGATTGCCGAGCGTATGAGTTGCTCGAGTCGGGAATGGCGTGCCATCCGGCCGGCGAGGCGACCAGGTCCCAAGGGGCATGCTCCGAAGAGAGGTTGCCTACGGATGGGTCATTGACGCCGAACGGAAAGACGCTGATAGAAGAGGGCGAGCGGCGGTCAACAAAAGCGCCATGCTGATGAAGCGAAAAGAAAACTTGCAAACTCACGTATACGTGTAAGGCTTGCCCTGCTTGTGAGGAATCGGTAAAGGCTTCTGCTTGTCCCCCTTCTTGTTCCTCTTGGCCGAAGGCGGGGCGTCCGAAGCTGGGTGCCATATCGCATCAGCTCGACATCCACCTCTGATCGTCCCACAGAATCGAGACTCACCCCAATCGACAACGGCAACGACCTTCAGATCGTTGGTCCCGACGCTAGCCTCGTACCAATTCTCCTTCATTTCGACTACACACCTCCAGACCAGCTCCAACCCGCCCTCAGAAGTCTGATGATATCCCAACCTCACGCTTGGGGGACTCGCGACACCGCCTTCATCTGCAGAAGGAAGACCCTTGACAATGAAGCTCGGTCCGCCTTGGCCGTTGGGGATCGGAGCGAAAAAGGCGGGAGACTCCTCTTCTTCGAGCGTAATCGAATTTCGCATCGCTTGTTCCGTAGGGAGACTGCCCGTTCGGTCGGCAAAGTGTTGCAAAAGCGCGAGGACGGCGTCGATAGGACTGTGCCCGTTTTCTACCTCTATTACCTCATCCTCTTTACCCTCAATTTCTTCGTAAGGCATTACGATGATCTTCTTCTTGACCCCCTCGGTGCAGACGACGGCGGCATGATCATGCAACCGTTCCAAATGCGCCTCGACGAGATCCAGCCGATTAAAGAGCGCGGTCGGGTTCAAGGTATGCTCTTCGAGTTCGAGCATGATCTCCTTGATCTGGGCTTCAATCTCGGAGTGGTCGTTCTTGTTCACGGAGGAAGAAGTGGGACCGAGGAGATAATCCTTGACGATTCCGATAGCTCCCCGAACGATCTCCCTGATCCCTCCAGGTCCAGCCTCGTCCTCCTTGCCAGCTCGACCTTGCTCGATCTCTCGGACCTTGGAGATCCCGGCTCGGAGCTTGTCCAAGTAGGCACTGACGACTTCGACCTTGGTATTGATATCTATACATTCTCGAGCATTCGAGTCGGTACGAGGGGTAAACTTGTCGATATAGGCAAAGAACGCGTCTTGCGCCTTGGTGTTCGAGGCAGTTCGAGAGAACTAGAGGAACCGTCCGATAACAGACACAAGCGATACAGTCCAGGCGAAAAGAAGGAGCAAACAGAGATACGAAGACCGAGAACGATCAGCCTTGCCCGCTTGAACCCTGTAAAAACATGGAGAACTTCAGGCTCGGCAACTCACGCTGTCCCCGAGGCTGATCACCCTCCCAGTCTCATCAACGTTGATATTGATGTCTCCATCAATGACTTCGAGCCCGTTGACGAGCTGTCTGATGTAGATGTGAGTGACAAGAGTACGGAGGTCGGTGTAGGTCTGTAAAGAGTAATCGTTGTGGTGATGAGGATAGTCGGTTGTGGATAAGGCGGATGCATTGAAGGAATTGACAGTGAGATATCCGAGTGGTGTTGTGATAGAGGTGGCAAGATTAATTGCGATAGTGATGAAGCCCGGCGTTCGGGGCAAATAAAGGGAGACGGTACCGATTTGGCAGATAATGATCAGGCATGTCAAGAGTATCGTTAGCCTGCTGTAGGCCGCCTCAGCCTGGTTCAAACGGAACTCACGTCCTCCCTGACAAAATAGTCCTCTCCCTCGACAGCTCCCTCCAACCCTTCGATAGACCTAACGACGTCCCTAGCAATCCTCGCTACGTTTACGCCTGCCTTTCCATCGAACCCGACCTCGGGCTCGTGCAAAGTCGAATCCTGCTCAGGAACAACGAACCTCGCATGTTCGTGTACCGGTCCAAAGCCTAGCGACTTGCGAGCGATCCTTGAAGATGCCGCCTTGTTGGTGTCGTCGTGCTGATGGTGGTGGTGATTGATGTTGATGCTCGCCTCGTCATCGCCGTGTTGATGGTGACGATCGTGCGAGCGGTGTGCGGCGGCATGGGTAGCCGCCAAAAGGGGCAAGAGGGCGATGAGGGTGGACGACCTCATGTTTGATGTATTCAGAATGAGACGATCTGAGAGGTCAAAAGGGTCAGGCGAGTGTAAATCGATGTCGCTAATATGATGTTGATGATGGGTTGGCTACTTGTACCCAGGGGGAGGTGGTCGCCTCCTTGCTCCCCTGCCCCTCGCTCATCGCCGGTCTGATACGACGAGATAAGCCCGATCCGGTAATATCACATTCAGCGGACATTTTCAACGTGATCATGTCCGCGTGTGAACAACTCTGAAACGCGGACCTTCTTAGGTGAAACAGATACCAGCCGAGGTCCACGACACCTATAGCTGGAACGTTTAGAGCATTGGTAATACTTCATGATTCTCCTTGCTCTTGATCTCCAGACGATACGCAAACGAGCGCGTTGCTGCTGTCCAATTGTATCCTACACCATGAAAGGACAGGCGCGGTTTCGGCCACAAAGCTTAAGCGCGGCATTGATGATTCAACTCGAATGCCGATGCGTTGGACCGGAGCATTTACCGAGCAAGCAGGAGCAGGATCGAGATAATTTCCCTTGTGCGACGATGTGATTCAAGATGCAGGATGAACGCTAGCAGCAGACCGAGACGGGTCTGCTCATATCATACGCAAAGTAGTACGACTTCCCGGCCCTGCAGAGTCGATTTCCGCGTCTCGACGATCTCTACACGCGCAACAACATGCGCAATATTGAAGCTATGGCCACAAACACCAGCGCTTAATTGCGGACCCCAGCAGGGCTGTAACTGTATAGGAAGGTACGGTACAGGCCTCATCTACCTTCAGAAACAGCTATTTATAGGGAAAGCACCAAAAAGAGACGGAAAAGGAAGCAGCAATCCGAAAGGCTACTTCATGAAAATCAAAAAATAATGTGTGGTATTCCTGAGGGGCAAGAGCCAAGCCTTCCAATAATCTATTTATGACGCGTCCCGGAGTCGAACGGGCGACAGTAACATCCGGCGAGGGTCTGACATGCGATTACATTAGCTTAGCAACGTCTCCTCTGCCCGTAAGCTAGTAGCCCGGTGTCGGTAGGTATATTCTGTTATCGTGTATATATAACCAACTTGCATTGAATCCGCACAGAGGATTTCTTCCGCAATCAACTAGAGTCTCGGTCATCGTGCCCAAAGCCGGGCGTAATAGCTCGGAGCCGAGCGAGACAGTTCGTGGAAATGGGCCGGATCTAACATTCCGGAACGTCGAATTGTACACAACTAGTTTAGACTATGTCCTATGACGGAGACGATCCTGGCTCAACAAGCCTTTTCGCTAACTCGCTTCTCGCTATACCGTCATAAACCATTCTCTCCCCATCTCGCCATAAACCATGAGCGACTACTCGGGCAAGTCTCGCACCACGAGCGACCACTCGGATTACTCGAAATATCAATCGGATTACTCGAAATGTCGATGGTATATTGTCGACGTCGACAGCACCGTCGCCCTTCCACTCAAAGTTGAAACTTTAAGAGGTCCTTGGATGGATGTAGATCGAGATCCTAGGAAGAAGGCAAAAGAGACTGCAGGAGATGCGGTCGTCAACTATGAAAGCTACATCATCAGTTCCTTACATCTGCTCAGTAAGTGTGGTACGATTTCGTCTCCTCCGCCAACGACATCTGATAGCCGTGCCTATAGACCTACTGTCCCACTGGCCAAGCGGAGCATCCGTTGCCCATTTCGCCTCCAAAGCCGTCTCGAATGAGGTCAGTTTGCCATGTCCTTGCGAAAAACTCTAAACGAATGCTCACGATCTGTTTGATCAGGCCTTTTACCATTTATCTATCACCCATCTGCTTGCCAGTCAAATCAGGGTGACACAAAACAACTACAGATATGCAGTTGCTCTGTGGTCCACCCACTACTCCTGTATTGGCAAGTTCTTTGGTGACATTCTTGAAAAGCTAGTCTTTGAGGTAAGACAGTGTTGATCGCTTCGACGACGCTCTCGTCCTCGCGGCGAATCAATTGGCAGAGGTACCGTTATCGATAACAGCTGCTTTTCAGATCTTTGACAGAAAGCGAAGAAGACAAGCAGGTGGCCACTGGGACCGAGTCAGCTCGGACGATATCCGAAGGGAGCTTGGAGATCTGGGTGCTATCCCTCATGCCAGCTTGCAGGAAAATCTTACCCGTTTCGTTGTGCGGGTACATAAGATCCTCAAGATGCAGGCGAGAGGAACACCCGACAAGCGCAAAAAAGCACAGATACTCGAGGACCTTGGATTTTCTCAAATCACAACGACCACCGTTTGCCTTGACTTCGTGCTGTGGCAAATTCGACACCCCGCTACTGTAAGTGTGGACTGACTTATAGACAAGCTTTCCGTGCTGATATCTCATCTCTCATCTTCCAGTCCCAGAAGTATCTTCTCGAAATCTTCGCTCTATTCGGTAGGCAGCATATGCGCTTGCCGATCGTTTTGGACGCCTACTACAGGTACGTCCGCCGCCGAACGGATCGCGCTCAGCAGGTCGCTAACGAAGTGTTCCGTCTGGGCACGGACCTCTCTGTACAGGGAGTTACCACCTTGGATGATTCACCATTCCAGAGTTGTGTGCGAAGATCAGCAGTCTGAGAGGTGGTATCAAATGGTAGGGGCGCTCCTGATAGACTACAGGTACGTCTGCGCTCGGACGGAACGTGAACGCATGCCTATCAAATCGCTAACGAAGTGTTCCGTCTACGTGTAAATCTATTGTATAGGAATCTCTCTCCAGACGCCAATCTAAACCTTCAGCATCTCAACCGTCTGTACAAGAAGTTCTATCTATGTCCTTTCCTGTAATTGCATTCTTATGATAATGTAATAATATCCTATGTAGATAGTGGCAATCGAGGCCGAGCGTCGGCGGGATACGCCTTTCGAACTATCACATGATCTGAGCTAATTCGGGCGGTCCACGGAAGTGAGATTTGCCCCAGGTGAGATACCATACGATCGCCAGCACTGCGAACCCGATATACACCGCCGCAGCATCTGTCGAATCATGCAGATGAGAAGGGCTTAGCGTATAGAGGGGCATCTGCGGTGATCGAACTCGCTTACAGTTCATGGTATTTGCCAGGACCGGGATAGTCGTAGGGAAGCTCAACAGCGGAATAGCGAAGACATACCAGGCGATCGTGATCCTAGAACCGACAGCGAAAAGCATATCAGCTCATCTCCGATAGACGAAACCGGAGGCTAAACCTCGTCCAGGCCGACATACACGTTGCAGAACATGCCGAATCGTCGGCCAAGGTAGAATTTGGCTCCGACCAACCTATCCCGTCCACGGGCTACGCTGATGATCACTGGGATGACGTAGGATGTCCCCAGGCAGATGACGGCCACTGTGTCAACCAAGCTGCAGGTCAGAACAATCGTCTCCACGCCGTCGAGTTGAAAAGCGGTACTTACCCGAAATGAAGGCGTTGAACGCCGCGCTTGATCCGAAGTACAAGCAACTCAGCAAGACTTGGACGACCACACAGAGCAAGAAGGCGTTGACGGGCATCTGATGGCGTTGAGATACCCTTGCAAGGTATTTGGATCCCGGAATAGCACCGTCACGAGCAAAACTGCGCGATTGAGGTGGTAAAAGTGAGCTCGGTAGAAATTGGGTAGATTGTAGGCCTGGCGCAGATGAACTTACGCCCAGGTACACCTCGACGACACTTGACTGCACGCTAAACCACATGCGACCCCATTGAGGAGCACGATGAAGAAGAGCCCAAACGCAGCGGCATTACCGCCAGTCGCTTGCAGGTATAGCGCGGGTAAAGGTTGACCGGTCGGACCTGTCAGGCGTGATACCGTAAGCCGCGCTTTCGGTGCATCGATGGGCGGCTGAACCGACTCACTCAGAAGAGCCGCTCCGATGTCTCCAGCCGTAAATAAGATGGGCAAGAGAAAGACGATCCCGAAGATCGAGCTGCACGCAGAATCAAGCGTAAAGGTCAGTCCACGAGCTCCTCTAGGCCAGAACGCCTCTGACCTACTTGACAGCCACACCTCCGACCCTGATGATTGCAGATTCTCCAAAGATTCAGTTATCGAATGACAAGACCATCGTCACCAGAAGGTACACTCACATGGCAATGGGTACGCTAGTCTCGGGCGTCTTCATCTCGTCGGCCATGCTCGCCAGCATGCCGATCGGGGAGAAACAGTAAGCTCCTTGGATTAGAGCCATTACGAAGCTCTACGGAATAGATAGAAGAAGTGGGATTTAATTCGTTAGCGGGCGGACTCAAGTTGTCGCCGATAGATTAGCTGAAAGGTGTCTCTCACCCATCCCCGAGGCCAGCCTGCGCCTTGATCTTGCCAAATCCTGTACGCCAAAGAAAGCCAAATTAGCCGTGTCTTTCGAGACAGACACCGCACTCCGATTCACGTAAACACCTCGGCGGCGCTCCTCGTCCCCGAGGCCGCCTTGACGGGCAGAGTGATGGCGGTAGCCAAGACCCCAGCGGTAATCCAGACGATCATGAACCCGTCGACCTTGGGCAAGGCCTTTTGACCGAGGATGGCTATCGTCCCCACGACGATGATCAGGCCCCAGCTGGTTAAAACGGTGTGCCAGGGTTTAGGAAGGTAGTCTGGATAGTATAGGTTGACGGAGGCGAGGATGAGTTGGGTGGTACTGATTGTCATGGCAATAGCGATCAGGAGCATGAGCATCGGAAATTTCGATTGGGCCTCCCAAGTCGCAAATCAGGCTTACCCAAAATTGGCTGTGAGCGTGACAATGATGTTTCCTGCAGTAGAGCGATCGAGCGACCAAGACGTGATCAGTACATCGCATCGACCAATGTAACCGCATTCTTTCACGACCATGACTGACCACAGAGTGACAGCCACCCAACGACATAACTCGTCAATGCCCTGTACTTCGGAGTGGACATCATATAACTCCAGTAATACACTGATTCCATGCGCCCAGAAGAAAAGACGTCGAGCGACAAAGATCAGCAAACCATCAAGCGAATGACCGGGCCGATGGACTATCCAGCTTACCTCCCCCCGATGTCGGGTACCGACTGGCGATCTCTCCGAGAGAAGCCGCGATACACAACGAGATGAAGCTCATGATGAACCAGCACCAGATGACCGTCAGAGGTCCGCCTTGCTATTGGAGTCAAGGTCAAATTGAGTTCCAGGGTTGTGGTCGTGGTCGAGGTCGAATACCAAGTATCGTATAGTGCAATCGACAATTTGTAGGAAGAGATAGATCGAGCGGAAAGTCAATTTCGGGTTGAATTTCAAGATAAAGCAAGTTGAGACAAGCTATCGTCAGCGAGTTCGCTTTTTCTTGTCCACCCATTGCAAAGCTTACGATCAGGCTGTAAAAGAAGGTAGTCCCCACGCCATAAGGAACGCTCATGATGATGATCGAGATGAGTAGGAGGTTGAGCGTGGATTTCGTCTGCGAGTAGAGGATCGGGCGAGGTTTGGGGAGCAATGTGGAAGAGGCGCCGGGGTAGCATATTTCGATGTGATTTGGCAGGACGTAGATTGGTCGGAGTCAATAGGAACGAGTAGGAGTGAGTTTGAGCGGGGAGGCAGGTGTCGACGTGATGGAGGGACAGGTATAGAGGTGATAGGCATGAACAGTTCAACCAACTATCCAGAGATCATCGAAAGCAAAAGACGATCGCCGACTCACCCTCGGCATGACATTCTCGACCCCATAGGCAGCCGCCGGAGAATACCCATCCCCGCCCTCACCTTCGTCATACTCCATCGGCCGCTTGTTCTGCCTGTCCATCTCATCTCCGTGAGAGTACGCTTCGACCGTCCCAAAGTCGGGCTCGCTCGTGTGCGTGTGCTCGCCCGTATACGAGCGGTCGTCCTTCTTGGCGGAAGACATGCTTGTTATTGGGGATCGTCCTTGAGGGCGGCTTGAAGTGGTATTCGTTATCTTATCGTCCTAGATACGATAGGTACGATGGAGGATAAATTTCGAGTGTTGATGTCCCGTGATGTGGGTCGATTCGCTTTGCCTCGCGGTGAAGGGTTGCTCGCTGACATTGCCTTTATGTTTAATACAGCACATCTTTATCGTTGACGAGCTGACGAGAGAGAGAGAGAGATAGGCTGGATGGGGGGGGGGGGGGCCAAGAGCGATGCCACCAACCACCCAGACTGGGCAGGAGAGCAAGAGGAGATTGTCAAGATGCTCGTCGTTGGGACCGGGCCGTCGCCTATACGGATAATCTCCTCGAGCAGTTTCGGACGAGAGCGGGGGCGTGCGGGGGTTTATCCGATAAACATTGGGCGTCGGGTCGTTCCGATGCCGTAAGTCACTTCGTAATCGGCGGCCATCGACGTTTACGGGACAAGGTGAAACGCAGCACTGTGGACATCGAACATCGGCAACTCATCTCATCTATTGATCCGGGAGCACTGAGGATAGGGTGGGGGAGGGGAGGCAGAATCTTGCAAGAGAGTCAGCACCATCGTTCTAGACGCCGATGTCCAGTCATGTCGACCGCGCTCGAAATGCTCTCGAAGTGCGGTCAGACGCTTCGAGTGCTTTCTCGTATACATGTACACATGCCAACGGCTAGAGCAATCGAAGCAGAGATGGTGGGGCGCTAGGGCGTGCGAACCGTTCGCCCCGAGCCACCTGAAATCCGAGAACTAGAACGGGCTAGTACTCCATTTCATCTCGGATTCAAGGTGATGATTCGATTGTTCCCAAGAGAAAGAACGGTCCCGCTTGGCCTTGGAATTGGCCGATAGCCGTCAGTCGATGTGTTCCGGTTGCGACATATCTCATGAGAGCATTTCGCGAAACGCTCGGGAAAGTCGAGCGGCTTGTAGAAATCTGAGCTTCGAATGAAAAGGCGAACGAGACTGTCCTAGATCCAATTCCGCTCAATTTTCGGACACCTATCGAGAACACGCGGCGGTGTTATCAGACTAATTGATCCAGTAGACGATATTCTCCATGAATTGGGAATCACCAGAATGGCGCTTGTGATAATCGACTAGATAAGTCCAGTAGTAAGACTTACAAAATGCACTCGCGGTAGGTTCTTCCTGATGCGGGTAGCTTCGAAACACGATGAGAGCCAGGAACGTCGATCAACGGTACGTAGAAAACTCCTCGAGCACCCTTGATAGATCTATAGTCGTGAAGATACCTATACAACGCCCTAAAGCGAGACGTTAGTGATGAGATTACGCCAGATCGATGGAAAAGATGTGTGTGAACCAGCTAGTTTTGGGCTTACGAGCGGTGATAACCAACTGCTCTGACATCGAACCTTGAGCCTCGCACTTGTAATCTAGATAGATACGCACAATGGGAGAATTAAAGGATAGAGTCGAGATGGACAAGCGACGATGGTACGTGACGAGTTCGATCGGGCAAAATCTTCGCGGTCTCGGATCTGGATCGAACCCGAGACCGAAGCGTTTCAAGCTTGACCTTTCAAGATTGGCGTAGCGATTATGTGAGGCTTCAATCACAAAAAGTTGTATATCTCGGATGCATGCCCTTGTAGACGCTTGCAAAAAGAACGGACCAACCGTCTCGCTCTTTCCCCTCATCCTCCCCGGATCACTAGCCAGTAAAGTCTGGTTTGTGGGTGCCGAGGATTGGGAGAGTTACTTTCGGAGTGCTGCGTTACCACTGCACCATTACTCGCGGATTGTTTTCGAAAAGCGTGTTGTAAAATATATAGACACTGGACCCCTCAACATCGGGAAACAACAAGCGCATGAGACAGCAATCTTTTCTTCGAGCCGAATCATCTCATCGAGAACTCAGCTATCATTCTCTGCCATACCGAGATCTGCTAACTCTCAAAGCATCGAATCTGGATCGTTGCGAATTCGGGGGTTTTGAAACGCCTTGATGTCCGCGTTACCAGTCTCGTATCTCCGCGTCTTCACCGAGCCCAATACTCTAACCCTGTCCTTTGGCCTGGAACAACTGAATCTATGACGGTCAGTATGGTTGTGCTTGGTATTTGACGTCTGAGGCTTCTAGCACACCGTCATATCATAGCAGCAACTATCATAGACAAATATGCGAGGCTCATCCATCATCCGCCAGACCTTCACGTCGCCGATCAGCTCAAAGTTCGCACCTTCTCCGCTGGCTCGGTTGATCCGATCGCACATTATCTCTGCGGATCCATCCACCCTCTCAGCAGCATCTTCCTCTACATCCTCTTCATCATCATCGGTATCAGCAACGTCTGAAGAGCCAATTCCCGGTCCTATTCATCTCACGATCCCCAACCCGTTCGCCTCCCGCCGCATCTCCCTTCGCACACAATCAGACCTGCTCAAATCCTTCCCTCCCACCTGGCTTCCTCCTTCCCGTAAAAACCCTCTGGGTGCGAAGAAGATCACTTATGATCAGGATGGAGTAGTGGTCACCTGGACGGGCGGAAACCTGAGCGAGAAGAAACAGGTGGTCATTCCCAACAAGCAACCGAGCGGTATCAGGCCGAGCGATAAGAAGCTGGGTGACTTTAGGGGCAGGAAGGTCGATCGGGTCGCTAAAGATAGGAGGGCGGAGACGGAGGCTCGATTGGAAGGGATGGACAAGCGGATAGAAGAGTGGAGACAGGTGAGTCTCGGGCTATCGCGAGGTCCGAGTTATGAGATATGGTCGACGTGGTCGCGCTGATCGTCATCTTCCTATGATATCGATTCATCCGCTCCTGGTCCGGCAGGCTCGAAAAGAGGTGAAACAGAACGCCAAACCAGCCCTCCCCTTCTAGAAACCAGGCAATATCTCGGGACAATCGTAATTCCGCTTTCGGTATGTCAATCACTTGAAAGTCTCTTAATCCTTCTTCCTTCTTCTTTTCGTACATGCCGCTGTACAACAGGTACTTGATTACTAACCCAAAGCTTGTTTCCCCTATCTCGCATCGTCATACAGACCTTCACGTCGCTTCTGCTGCTGAATAGCCTGAACAGAACCACCAGGAGTGAAAACGTCGAGCACCAGCTGGATTGTAATTCAACTCGATCATGCTTGTACGATGCATGAAAACATATGGATCTCGTTATTATCACTTGTTCACTTGGCATCCATCCGATCCAACGTTTCCTCTGCGGCCATGATCAAGGAGTCTGGGCAGGAGTTTGCTTCGACGTTGGCTATGCTGTAGAAGCGAAAAACAAATGCTCAAATACCGGGTTTTGAAGGGGGAGTGTTAGTACGATCCTACGGAGACTCTGAGGTGGAAACTCTCAATCCGCGCCACATCGTTACGTAGCCTTCTCTCCAAGTAGTTGCCGAACGCTTCACTGCAGACTAGGTCAGCTTCATGGTGCAGAAGAGCTTGGCTTCGCGGTGTAGCTATGTTATGGGTCTGATCAAGACTGGAATCGCTGGCTGGAGTAATGATGCATCTTGAGGACGCATAGTATGTACAATCTACAAGAACTTCATCTTGCTTGGCCTACAACCGCGAAAGCAGAAGGAAGACCGATCAGTATCCCACCACGATTCTTGACACCTGAAGTCCGCGACTCACCTTGCACGTACGACTACGCCGACCGCAACTAGAGCTAACCCGACATCGAAAGCGACTACCCTCTGCCACATCTTGCTATGCCCTTTCACCATCCAGTCCGAATAAGCTCCTCCCAGATGCGCGGTGACCAGAACCAAAGGCAGCAACAGGTAGCCCGACAATCGGTGATACTTGTAAAATCTCTTCGCGCTGTCCCCGTACTTCTTGGCCGCTGAAGAAGCGACGATGCCAACGAGCGCTTGTACGAACAACCAGATGACGATAGCTAGACCCATCTTTCCGTGAGCAGAGACGAAATGAGGAGCATTGTGTATGTGCTTGTTGTAAATGATGGAAGAGACACCAATGAGGAGGATGGGGAGGGAGAAGGCGAGGTTGATGAGTTGATGTTGACGGAACGCGGCGTGCTTCTCGGCGCTTCCGGATGGGGATGTAGTCGTCTGCAAGGACTGGATGGCTATGAGTTAGACAAGAAACCAGGACCTGATTAGCGTGGTGCACATGTGTGTGAGCAGGAAATCGTAAACTCACAGAGGACGGCCATGGTGATTGCGAGGCTCTGCATAGTCGGGTGTAGGACAAACCAACCCGTCCCTTTGGGATCCTTGCGGTATGCTTCGAGGACGAGGTACTGAACCATAGGCATAAACATAAGCAGCCCGAGCTACAAGTTGAACGAGAATACGAACAAGAAATCAGGACGGGTGATCAGCCTCTCCATCTCCCGATTGCAAATGGGAGAGGTAGAAAAAAGAGCGAGACCGGTACTCACCAAGATGCATCCCAATCCTACATTGTCTACAATCAACCTCGACTTTCCTCTCTTCTCCCTCATTCCCCAAGTACCCATCCGCTCATCCTCCGAATCGAGATCGCTCGAGGTCTCTGCGGACCGAGTTCGAGAGACCCTGGGGTCGCCTCCGCGAGGTGGGTTCTGGGTCGAAGATGGCCGGTTCGGGTTGTCCAACAAAGGGTCGGTCTCCTGAGGTACGAACGACATGATTGCAATATATAGCAGCTAATTCTACTGTAAATGGTGATCGTGAGCAAGTCGTCTGATTACAACGAGTGAATCGATACTTTCGAGGCAACGGTCGATGTTGTTGATGACGAACTCGATCTCGATGGAGGTCGACCTCGATCGCATACCGCGTCAACGTGATTGGCTGATCCCGGTCCCGCGGATCTCAAAACTAAATTGCACAGGCAATTTAGTTGCTTCCGGAGTTAGTCCCGATCAAGCACTTTCTTAGTAGATTGGCGAATTTTGGGTTAGTCCTCGAGAGCCACAATCACCATGGATCATCGATTTATCCTGTCTAGGTCATTCTAGATGTTCGTAGTCAATCAATTAGCTGATCAATCTACTGCACGCAGGCCTATGTAGCACAAGTCATCATCATGGTCTCTCCCTTCGAGCGTAGCATCCGACGGATGCATTTTAATCCTGCCCCTTAGGACTCCTTGACGTATGTGTCCCCCACAATCAGCGATCGCTCTTCCAGAGGTTTTCAATATTTCCTCTTAAGTTCGAGACGATGTAGAAGATGTCTCAAGCGTTCAGGTTGTTCTGTTTGGCATAGCACTCGACCCAAAATTCAAGCAACGAAGCGCGCTGAAACTCGTCACTCGGACTTGACCGAAGCAGAAAGAGAGTGATCATCATGGCTCACTCGACAGCACCGGTACATAGTTCACATAGTCAGTCTCAGAGGATAGATCAGGATAATACCGTACATAATAGACCTACTCCGATGCATTGAACAGTCGCGGGCGTCTTCTTGTTTGAGTTCGTGAAAGTGGGTCTCACAGCATCGGACATCGCCGAAGGAAATGACGAGTCGGAACAACAAGGAACGATGTAGCTCTCACTCCAGCCAGGGAGACGATGGCAAAAGAGTTCTCTGTACTTCGTACGATGAATTCTCTGCCGAGAAGGAATCCCGAATCCTGCATAGGAGTTCGACACCATGAGCGGGTACCGTCGACCATGTTGTAACTTGCAAGGTGTCAGCTTCTCATGCCCCAGCCGGACGCCCATATCTGGCGCATTACATCAGCGTAATCTCGGAAACCTCGGCACCGCCAGGAGTCGGTCATCTCGATACTCTCCTCGAGCTCGGATTCTCGTTCAAATGGATGCGCTTGTAATTGTCGTAGCTTATTGAATGGTGATCAAGGTGTTTTGAGAATGAGACGTTCGGCGATCGCAAGGGTTTTGATGCCGATCGATATTAATTGATTGGTCAGCTATCACGTGACTCTCTTTCAGCCTCGGATGTCATCCACGCGGTCCCTGATCTCGATCTCTCTCACATCCAGTACTTTTACATACATTATGGTAATTCATATGATCAACCTCAACGAGCTATTAGTAATCCAGGGTGGAGAGCTACACTAAGCTCCAGGCTACATTCAAGCAGCGAAAGGGAAAAGGAGATCCACCCATACTTCACCGAGATCGAGCTTTCCGTCCGCTCACCGATCACGATGATGTCGTCCTGGCTGCCATTTTTGGCAGACGTCCTGATCGCCTCTTCGCAGGAGGAAACAATAATGTCAGGACAGACATTTTCAAACAAGCACGGTGACAGTCAATCAGTTCACCATCACTACCATCAGAAGAGCGGACACCGAAAGCCCTTGTGCTATTCTCCGGAAGGTTTTGGACCCATCTCCAAGATCAGGCAGTTCGACTTGACTCCGTGCTTTGAAAGCGCGGCGGTGTTACCGCTACCGCTCGTCATCTTACTCGTAGCCGGGATCTGGGATGTCGTTCGAGTTGGGAGGAAAGGACCGAGGCGGAAAAGAACAGGATGGAGCAAGGCTAGGTTGTGGATGAAGATGGTCAGTACGAAGCGGCTCGTCGCAGCATTTGTGCCCATCAATTCAGCGTTAATTTTTTGGTCCTTTCACCCTCGATGTCGTCCTCTGATTAGATCTTCCTGATCATCTCATTCATGACAGCCGTAATTCATCTCGTACTCGTGCTCGTCCATACTCCTCATGCCTTCAAGGATATCATCACCCTTCCCTCCCTGCTTCACCTTTTGGCCATCCCGGTACTCGCCGCCCTGTCCTGGTTCAATCACCTCCACTCGCTCCGGTCTTCCTCGATCATCCTCCTGTTCTGGCCTGTATACCTAGTTGCCCTCGCAGCTGCCATCCGAACTCGATTCTCCATGCTCCACCAGGACCGCTCTACCCCGCTTTACGGCTCTAGTTACGTCTATGGGGCTTGGAACAGGACAGGCAAAGCGAGTTTCGCGCTCTTTGCCTGCAGCATCGGATTTGGAGTGATGGCTTGGATTGTGGATATCTTTGGGCCCGAGCAGGGTGGAATCAAAATTGGGGAAGAGGTGGATTATGGCAATGGCAAAGGGAATCCTTCCAAAAACGTCAAGGGAAGGACGAGGTCGAGATCTAGGTCCAGGTCTGGAGGATATCAGGGTGTTTCAAGCGACGACGACCACGTCATCGCCGAGGAGAGTGGAGAGGATGATGGCCAGGAAGATCGGTCCGCCAAGAGGACTCTCGGAGAAAAGATCGCCTTAGAGCACGCCGAAAGTCCTGTGTTGAAGGCCAACATTTACTCTCGCTTGACGTTCGGATTCCTGACCCGTAAGTTTATAAGCTCTGATCATGCTACATCATGCTGACGCTATCGCCTGCCTGCTTCCCAGCCCTTATGCGACTCGGGGCCCGACGATATATCGAAGAGGACGACATGTGGCCTCTTCCCCCCAGCGATTCTGCCGAGGCTTTGAACGCACGACTGAAGGCTTCCTGGCAACAGCAGCTTTCATACGTCGCAGCAGGTCAGAAGAAGACCCCATCATTGAAGATCGCCCTTTTCAAGGCCTTCGGAGGACCTTTCGTCGTGGCTGGATGCTTGAAGGCTACCTACGACATGCTCTCGTTCTTGCAACCTCAGCTCTTGCGCTTACTATTGAGCTTTGTGCAGTCTTATGCGACGACCGACAAGAAGGAACACTCGCAGCCTCAACCTGCCATCCAAGGCTTTGTCATCGCGTTTGGCATGTTCGCTTGTGCCAATCTGGCGACCTTCCTCTTGCATCAATACTTTGAGCGGGCCTTCGAGAGCACAATGCGAGTCAGATCAGCCTTGGCTATGCTCATTTACCAGAAGAGTCTTGTCCTAAGCAATGGGGAGAAGGGTGGCAGGACCACAGGGGATATCGTCAACCTTCAGAGCGTTGATACGGTCCGGATCGCCGATCTATTGACGTACCTGCATATCGCTTGGAGCGGTCCTTTCCAGGTCAGTAGTATACGCTGCCATCGCAAGTCTCGCCATCACAATCTGACGGTCATGCTTGATTCTCAGATCATCATCGCATTTGTCTCGCTTTACAATCTGCTCGGATGGCAAGCATTCGTTGGAGTTGGAATCATGGTCGTCAGTTTGCCCGTCAACGCGATGATCGCTCGGCGACAAAAGAGGTTGCAGAAGGAGCAGATGCGCAACAAGGATAAGCGGACTCGACTGATGAACGAGGTGCTCAGCAATATCAAAAGCATCAAGTTGTACGGGTGGGAATCGGCGTTTTCGGCAAAAGTTTTGGACGTCAGGAACAATCAGGAATTGACGATGCTTAAGAAGATCGGATACAACAACTCCATGAGCTTCTTCTTTTGGTCCTCCACTCCCTTTCTGGTCGCACTCGGCACGTTCGCGACCTATGCTTTGACTAGCCCGCACCCTCTCACCTCGGACAAGATCTTTCCGGCTATATCGCTCTTTGGCCTGCTCGCCTTCCCGCTCGGAGTTTTCTCAAACATCATCAGCTCCATTATCGAGGCAACTGTCTCGGTTACCCGTCTCGAAAGCTACCTAGTAGCTAAGGAGCTGCAAAAAGACGCCCGCACAATCATTCGCCCCGATGCAAGCAACGGTTATGACACCCCTCGACGAGGACAAGAAGTCGTCAAGATTGAGAATGGGGAATTCGGATGGTCCGACGAGCAGGGCGCTCAGCCTACACTGCAACAGATTGACCTCACTGTCAACAAGGGCGAGTTGGTTGCTGTGCTTGGACGAGTTGGCGACGGCAAAACTTCGCTTTTGTCATGCATTCGTGAGTCCGCCTTTCCAACACCGGCAGTACCGTGCCAAGCTGACTATCTAGTCCGCCGGTGTGCACTTAGTGGGCGAGATGAGGCGGACCGACGGGTCTGTTACCGTCCGAGGGGACATAGCGTATTTCAACCAGGTGAGGCTTGCTGCTTGTCTCGGTCGAAGAAGCAGAACTGACGAGGCTCGCGAGACTCTCACCAGAACGCCTTCATTCTGTCTGCAAGTATCAAAGACAACATTATCTTTGGTACCAAATTCGACAGGGCGTTTTACGAAAAAGTTTTGGATGCTTGTGCCTTGCGCCCGGACCTTGCGATCATGTCCGAGGGAGACGCGACCCAGGTCGGTGAGAAGGGTGAGTCTGACCCTTCGTGGGAGATAAGCTGCATGTACCAATTGCCCTCTCTTCATCAGGCGTCTCCCTGAGTGGAGGTCAAAAGGCCCGAATCAGCTTGGCTCGATGTGTTTACGCCCGAGCGGACCTATATCTTCTGGATGATCCTCTCTCAGCGGTTGATGTGAGTGTCCTCTGGCTTGCGATCAGTAATCGTAACTCACAATGAATGTCTCCTCGTCAGGCGCATGTCGGTAAACGTAAGTTAAGCCATGCACTTACCGCACGTAATACGTCTAGCTGACTTCCCATTCTTCGGCGGTCATATTCATAAAAGACGTTTGGGATAACGTCTTTGGCGCACAGGGTCTGCTCAGTTCGAAAGCACGAATCTTGTGCACCAACGCTATCACGTGGCTGCCTTCTGTAGATAAGATCGTAATGTTACGCCGGGGCATCATTCTGGAAACTAGCTCGTACAGCGAGGTGGGTTGGGCCGCCGTTCGAAGCAGCACGGGAATAGTCCACTGATAAAGCAACATCACCCCAGGCAATGGCCAATCCCAACAGCGAGATTGCCAAGCTGGTCAATGCCATGGGTAATCAGCCAGAAGAGGACCGCAAGGAAGAAGAATCGACCGAGTCACCTGAATTGATTGAGGATGTTCCCGATGAGGGCGACGACAATACCAGCGAGCACGAGCAAGACGCTGCCAGGATCCCGAAGATGGACAGGCGAATGTCGATCGCGACCATGAGGCGGGCATCCGTTCTGAGCACGCGAGCCGCCAAGATTGAAGCCGTCCGAGACTTGAAGGAAGACTCGCGGCCAAAGGAAACCAGAGAAAAAGGAGCTGTCAACCGACAAGTCTATCGCGACTACATCGCTGCGGCCAGTCGTTTTGGTGTGGCCTCATTTTTCCTCTGCATCCTCGGAGCTCAAGCGACGTCGATTGCGGGCAACTTGATCTTGCGGTACTGGGCTCAAGCCAACAACGCCGAGGGCACCAACCAGAACACCGCGACCTACCTGCTGTGGTACGGATGTATCGGCGTTTTGTCTTCTGTCCTGTCGGTCGCGGCTACGCTGCTACTGCAAGTCCTCTGCGCCATCCGTTGTTCCAAGGAGATGCACGACAAGAGGTAAGTCAACGATGCCGTCTAAAAGCCTGGATCTGTATTCTGGGTCAGTATCTCGTGCTGATCCCAACACCACGGTTGCAGTTTCGCCGCACTCATGCGGTCGCCTATGAACTTCTTTGAACAGACGCCCCAAGGACGGTAAGACAAAGGTCCCTGCTCCAAACTCAGCTCCGAGCTAAGATCTCCCTCTTCAGAATTTTGAATATATTTACGCGAGATATGCACACCATCGGTACGTTGCTATATCTGAGGCCTTGAGGGAACAAAATGCTCACGTCGACGTCACATATCGCAGATGAAGTGCTCGTTAGGGTATTCAGCGGATTCTTCAGGTGGGTGCCTTCGGCACGTTTGTGCCGGTCAGACCGCGCTTACTGAAGAGACTCATCTGATGTGCATAGGACGATGACTTCCGTTCTTGGCGTCGTCGGTGTCATTGCCATCGGAGCTCCCTGGGTGCTTGTTGCCGTCCTACCTCTCGCCTTCGTTTACCGTTCGATCATGCGATACTATCTCGCTACATCGCGAGAGCTGAAACGGTTGGATGCAGTATCGCGAGCCCCCATCTTTTCTTGGCTCAACGAATCGTGAGTCGGAACATACCTATCGTTATGCATTGTGATCTAATTTACTTTGCCGTTCTCGCAGCCTTTCGGGTGCTCCAATTGTACGAGCCTTCAATCAAGTTCAGCGATTCAGCTCCGCAAATGAGGCTCGTCTCGATCGCAACCAGCACTGTTTCATGCCCGCAATGGTGGGTCCAGTCGCGTATTGAAATCAGCCCGCTCATTGCTAACGCTCCGTCTTTCGCTATGCAGAATGTCGTGAGTATCGCATCATGACCAGTCCTCATATAGTCTTTGCTGACGTTTTCAACCTGGTTTGGGCGAACAGAATCGATGGCTAGCGGTGAGTACAAAGCTTCCTTTTCAACTCGCAGCTCTCTAAGTTTTCTGCTCGACCTGCGCAGGTTCGATTGGAAAGCCTCGGATCCTTCTTGATCTTGGCCGCCGCTCTCGCTTCAGTACTCTCTGTCGTCATTGGCAAGGGCAAGGTCGACAGTGGTCTCACTGGAATCATTCTGGTATACGTCTCGAACGTTAGCGGCGCTTTCGGATGGGCCGTTCGAAGCGCCAGCGATGTCGGTGCGTGTCAAGACGTGACCGGTTCGATTTTCTCTCGCTGATTTCGAAACTACGCTGTAATTGTATAGAAAGCAACATCACCAGTGTTGAGCGTGTCCTTGGCTACACCCATCTGACGCCCGAGGCGCCGTATGAGATCGAAGAAAACAAGCCGGCTGCTTCCTGGCCGCGAGAAGGCACCATCACCTTCAAGAACTACACCGCTAGGTACCGTCCGGAGTTGAACCCGTCACTGCGCGATGTCAACCTCCACATCAAGGGAGGTGATACGATCGGAGTGAGTGGACTGCAATCGAGCTATCGAAAACCCGTATGGCTAATACGGATCTTGTCAACTAAAAGATTTGCGGAAGGACTGGAGCCGGTACGTGGTTATGGACTCGCACGAACTGCGCAATTCTCATTATGAACTCACGTGCCTGCTCTTCTAGGTAAATCGACGATCACCCTTGCGTTGTTCCGAATCATCGAGCCATCGGGAGGCCAGATCTTTATCGACGGCGTGGACATCACCACCATCGGACTGAAGGATCTCAGACACGCCATATCCATCATCCCGCAAGATCCTCAGCTCTTCGAAGGAACCGTCCGTGGCAATGTCGATCCAGTTGGTGATCATAGCGACGCCGACATCTGGCACGCCCTCGAACAGAGCTACTTGAAAGACTTTGTCCAGAATCAGCTCGGTGGACTCGATGCTCCGGTAGCCGAAGGTGGAAGCAACTTCTCATCTGGACAGAGGCAGCTCGTTTGCTTTGCTAGAGCGCTTCTGAGAGAGACTAGGATTTTGGTGCTTGATGAGGTGAGTTTGAATGGCTCGATGAAGCTTTGAGCGGACCGTTCGGATGCTAACGAGCTGATATCGTTACAGGCTACCTCGAGTATCGATCTGGAAACGGACGAGGCGGTCCAACAGATCCTTAGGGGCAAGGCTTTCGACCATGTCACAAAGCTCATTATCGCTCATCGATTAGGCAGCATCGCTCACTCGGACAAGATATTGGTTCTCGAACAAGGTTCGGTGGCCGAGTACGACAGCCCTGCGACTCTTCTCGAGAATCCTGAGTCGTTGTATGCCTCGCTCGTCGGACAGGCCAAGTCGGCGTGAATATCATGTATCTTATCAAAAATCTCGTGCTCTACACTTGTTCGAGTTCAAAGGCCCAGAAGAGCCAGAATATCACCCGCCTTCTTTTGCCTCTCCAGAGATTTGACTACCTCTCTATCCGCTTCCTCCTTTTCAAGCTTCGCCAATTCCTTGATCCGTTCCAAATGCGAAGACGGAACGCGATCGTGCGAAGACGGAACGCGATCATGCGAAGAAGGAACGCGATCATTCGAAGACGGAACGCGATCGTCTAGTAGTCCATTTGGCTGGAGTTGATGAGCCGGCTGGAGTTGATGAGTCCTCTTGGGGGCCGGCAGGGGGGCCGCGTAGCTCTCGCTGCTTCGTACTCGAATCCTGTCGTTGGTCCATTCGTTGGCGGCAGTAGTAGAGGTGCTAGAGTTGGCGACCCTTCCGTTGTCGCCCACAGCCTCGGCGGGGTCGGCGGGGGTCTCAGCGACCCTACCGTTGTCGCCCACAGCCTCGGCGGGGTCGGCGGGGGCTTCAGCGACCCTTTCGTTGTCGCCAGCCGTCGGAGTCGCGAGGTGAGCATCGGCGTCCACGACCTCGGTGGGGGTCTCGATCTCGTCGTCCTCAGTCTCAGGTTCGAACAGGTCGACCCTGGCGGTGGTTGTCGGCGCAGGAGGAGCCGGCCTAGCGGTTGACATGGTATTCATGCGTTCCGCCACCGTACTCGTTCCTTTCGCCGCCTGGTCACTGTAATGCCAGGGCTCGATGATCTCGGGATGGACCCTGCGAAGGTCCTCTCGGACACTGATCTCGACATGACGTCCGATTCCAGCCTTTACAAATCGTCGCCTGAGAATATCGACGCAAGTCTGCAACGTCTCCTGAGCATTGTAGTTCGACGAGAGTTGGTAGGTGATCTTCAGATGGGGACGAATTCCATACTGCTTCTTTCCTAGACGGCTTGATCCCGCATCTTCTACGGGCCCATTGTTTTCGAATGGAGAGATGTCGGCGGGGGCGGGCAAGGTCGCTATAGTAGCGGCGATAAGGCTGGCCATTTGTTTGACGCTATCGGCTGGGTTCTGATGAATCGATGCTTGTCAGCAAACGGCGGGAAACCCTTCAGGTTCGAGAAGTACCGTACCTTCCCGAGAAGATCAATCATAATGTACCCCATCCAGCATTTGAGCAAATCCCGTAAGACCTTCAGCTTATGCCCAATGATTTAAGTCGATTTAAATCGAGTCGCTGCGTCTAGCCCTTCGAGACGGTTGCGGGCGAAAAATCCGATTTAAGCCAAGTGAAAACAAGGGTTTCTTCAGCGTAGAACGCGACTTGGCTCGCACTTGTTATCGACTCGATTTAAATCTAATTTAGGCTGATTTAACTCGCTTATATAGCTCCCGCGCCCGTAGGGCGCCGCCCCTGGTGAAATTAGTCATGAATTACCTGTAATTCTAAGCGCAGAACGCCCTTACTCGAACACGATTATTGCTTCGAATTTGAAACGATTTTGATGTTTCACCCTAGCCAGATTGCTTCTAGCTGTCTCGAATCTTGCATACACCATCTCTAGACCTAGATGAATAACATACTCAGAGTTGAAAGCGTTTGAAACAGTTGTCAAGAACCTATTCAAGTGCGATAGTTGTTCATACGTGTTGGGTGCAATTATGTGCGTTTTCAGTGAAAATTGGGTTCGAAATGATGTAACTTCTCGACAGATAGTAAGATCGTTCTGAGCTCATAGTATGTTGATTCTGTCGGTGTAATAAGATCATATTTCATTCAAGAGCCCTCTAGTACAGATACAACAAGCCTAAGCAGTGAATTATAAGTTTATCGATCGAAATCGACCTCTTCTCCGTTCTCGAATACCGTGATGAAGTCGGTATCGGCGTACTTCACCGGAAGACCTTGTAGGGCCTCCTCTAGCTCCTCTAGGTGGATCTCGAGCTCCCCAGCCATCTCGACAACACCGTTGATCGTCGTTCCCGTGATCCGAACCTGGTCGTTCTTGACGTGCTTCTGGATCTTTTGAAGCAGGTCTTTTAGCTGCTCCGCAAGTCCCGTCGGCACGTCCTCTGCTAAGGAGGCCCTGACCCTAACGAGGTCTCCGTTTTGGACCTCAAGCGAACACTTCTCACCGACGAGAGCACATTGAGCGCATCGACCGGTCGGTGAAATCTGCTTGCATTTCAGGATGATACCGGGAACATCATCCGATATCTTCCTCTTGCTTCGCAGAGGCAGCTGTAGGCATCCCTTGCAACGATGACGACCCTCAAAGACCTTCCCAGTAGTACTGAAGAAGATCTTCATCGCAGACTAGAAGACGAAAGAAGAAACATAAGCGAAAGTCGATCAGTATTCTTCGGTGAAAATGTCTCGGATTTCACTTGCGAACTTGAATACTCACCTCCATGTGCGCCGACGCCTTCCGTTCGACCTCACCCGTCTCCTCGTTCTTCTTCCCGGACTTTACCGGCTTCTGCTGCTGCCTCCAGTAGTCAAAGACCACCTGAGGCTTCCAGTATACCTTGGCTTTTCGATATCGCCAGAAATACTTCATCACCTCTGCCGACTCAGCTCGATCACGGTCGTACTCGAAGCTGGGGTCTTCGGCAGCAGCAGCAGCTTCCTCCGGGTCTTCCAACTCATCCTCGTCATCGTCCGGGGGAGGGGAGGAGCTGTGAGACATAGAGATAGAGATATATAAGAGATATATAAGTCAATGTTCTCGGTGAAATTGTCTCCTCTTTCACTCACGTCTTCCTCTTCTTCTCCGACCTCGTCTTCGTCTTCTTCGACTTCGACTTCCCTTCCTCCTCGACATACTCGTCCACCGAGTCGTCAGAGCCCGAGTCTGTGTCCTCCCGAGCTCTCTTCTTCTTTCCCTGCTCCTCCCAGCGCTCAGCCTCCGCGTTCTCGCGATCAGCCTTCTCGCGAGCCTCGCGAGCCTCTTCTCGAGCGGCCAACCTCTTGCTTTGCCGAGCAGCAGCAGCCTCTTTACCTCCCCACTGCTTAGGCTTGGGCTTAGAGGAGGATGAGGCGGTCTATGAGCAGTTTATAGGCTTGTAAGTCGTTTATTTGGGTGAAAGAAGGTCACGTTTCGACGTACGGCGTTTTGAGAACTTTGGGCGTCGGACATGGCTTCAAACGGGAGTAAAAGAACGAGGTGAAACGTGTAAGGGGTAAGGGAGGTCTAGAGCAACAGTACGAGGTGTTTTGAAGTGTCTAGTATTGATAATAAGACTTAGAACGATATCGACGTAGTTGATGTAGATGAAGGTTCTTGGGTGAAATCGGTCGACTAGACGTTCTTGAAAAACGACGATCATCTGGTGAAATTCGCTTATTGTTCATCGACCGTTTTTGTGTTTTTTGACGATTTCGCTTCTCGAGCTAAAAAACGAGTCGTTCCTACTAGAATTCACTCTAGATCAAACACGTAGCTTTAGACACACAGTAAATAGCTGTACAGGGTGAAACAGAACAGGATTTCGGGGTATAAACTAGTAAACACGAACAACAGGCTATAACATTCGAAAAAAGGTGAAAAATCGACAAAACGGAGTTCAAGTTCAGTTCTGTCCGCTGTGATCGCTTCGCTTGCGACTAATACGAGCAGTGATCTGCCCCGACGCCTTGAGTTCGTCTCTGACCGCTTTAAGAACCGCAGTGACCGTCTTCTGAGGATAACGAGCCTGGAATCGTTGCCAACCAGCTTCGGTGAAATCCATTGCTCCTTCATTGAGCGAAGAGTATGCTGACCCCAAACGGGATCGCTGGACGTAAACGTTCTGCGTAGCGAGCTCGTCCTTGGTCTTCCCTTTCGTACACCATTCGTTTGGCCAATCCTGCAGTGCGTACGGGTGATGGGGATGGAATCCTCCTAAGAACCACTGCATTACAGCCTCCTTGACATCCGCAGGTGCGGGGATTTCGGGTTTGTCTCTTTCGATGATCTCCCCGCTGCGTCGTAGCCTCAACACAGGTCCAGTGAAGGTTGTGGTGTTTGCAGTGACTACCCTCGTATACGGTGCACACTGTAGCATGGCGTCGACCCTCCTTTCGGACGTCTCGAGTCGTCCAGTGAATGACGAAAAGACCGAAGAATTCACTGAAGAACTCCCGTTTGATGCGGCCGGTATCATCGATGTCGATGTCGATGTTGATGCCACAGGATTGGTCTCAAACGGTTGTGCGAGACCACGAGCCTCCAGCATGTCATTGAAACCCTTTAGAATCTGTTTCGTAATATCGTTTTTGTCGTCTTCCGTCTGATATGTGTTCTGATGATCAGCCAGGTGAAAGGCGATAGGGATTTCACTCGGGATCTGAACTCACCATCGAATTGGGTCCCTGCGTCTGTGTAACGATACGATCTCTGCACAACTCCTTCAGGCTATCGATCTCACGTACGAGGTCCCTATGCATCGACTTCTGCTCTTGTCGGACGGCCAGAATGTCTCCCGATTTCGCTGGGTACAAATCACCCGGTGCTGCTTGATTGACAGTTTTGTTTGGGTTCTTTTGAGGGTGGTGCATGTCCCCGTAGGTCCTCTCGACCTTGAGAAGGTTCTCTAGAAGGTACCGTGCCATCGTACCGACCTGGTCGATGAAGTCGATCGAGCGTACACAGATGAAGGAGGTGGCGAATGAAAATGTCAGGATATTCACTGTGGACTTGTCCTTACTGTTTACGTTCGCTAAGACTTACAGACTCGCCCTCGACCCAACCACCCCACCAGGTAAGGCTTGTAAACGACCACCGACCCGCAGGATCGAAGCTGAAACGCCACTGTGCTGCTCCTCGTCTGAAACAGTGCCCAGTGAAGTTACCGTTCGGATACGCCGCCGCGAGGCCGGATTGATCTAATATACGGTCCCAAATGACCTGCCACGAGCTCGCTGGCATCCTCTTGGTGAAATCTACATTCCCTCGAGGTGTAATAACAGGGAACAAGTAGTATTCGGGCGCTAAGTCGAGGTGGGTGATTTTTCGAAGGTGATTTGCCCAGTTCTGAAGGTGAGTCCAGCAGTACGCAGGGAGCTCGTTGGGATTGTGAGGAGGGTGCACCTGATACGTTTGCCCTGTTGATGTATTTACAGAACAAACAAATAACAAGAGAAGCAAAGATAGTCATAAGTTTCGCAATCGGAGGACTCCCGGTGAAAGAGGGAGCATTTTCACTCACCCTTGCGCGGATCGTGCTGATTCGTCTTTCGCCACATCAGATGAATCATAGTAATCCTCTCGCCTGGATAGGCAGGGCTGTATCCATTCTCCTCGATAGCCTTGACCTGGAGACTGAGGATCTCATCCATTCGACAGAACAGGAACCACGTTGTCGTCATGTACGCAAGTGCGAACAGCCATTCGGTCCGAGTCTTCGGATCCGTTTCTATGTCCAACTGCGAGTTCACCCACTTGACGAGGTGGAGCAGATCGGGAAGGTGGAGAGGGAGAGACTATAAGGAATGATCGACAGCCAGAAATGTATAAGCACACGCAAGGTGAAAAGGACACCTCTTTCAGTAACCATGCGACCGACCTGATCACTAGCCATGCTTCGACCATCCCGGTTCTTGATCGACTTCATGAGGTCCTGTACGAGACCATCGAAGATAGGGTTCCCTTCCCACTGACCATCTGGCCTCTGTTGCCAGGTTTCTCCCTATGAAGACATACGATAGTATATCAGGTCGATGGCCACGACCGGGTGAAGATAGATGAGGTTTCACTCACGTAACAACGATTTCCGAACGTCGTTTGGAAGTGTGCTTTGAGGGCAGCCTTGATACCATCACACGTATCTTTGCTCAGAGGCTTCGTACCATTCTTCCCTGACACTCCATGAGCGATGTAGAGTTGTACACAGGTCGCAGATCGATCGCTAAGTTCATCGAGCGCTCCGGTAAGATCCCGTTCGGATTCTGCTCGATTCGCGTTCCATTCGTCTAGCCACTCCCGACACCTCCTCATGTACCCTGCGTATGTTCGCTGGGTACGGGGGGCCCTTAGATGACCATCTATAATGGCCTGAGAGGCCTGAGCCGCCGTTGAGGGGTCTACACCCTCGTTATGTCGAATACGTCGTTGTTGGGGACCTTTACGGGCTGATTTAGCAGCCGTAATCTCCTTCCGAGTGGATGCCCTCTTGGTAGGTGCTTTAGAAGTGGTCTTGTTGGCTATATCTTGCAAATTGGGAGCTATAGGCTGGCCTTCGACCGAGTTGTCGTATCCCAAATTGCCGGCTGAAAGGTTCGCCAATTGCACTATAGAGGCAAGGTCGGCCTCGTACTCATCTTCGGGGCGGCTATTACTAGGTCCAGCTCCAGATGAGTCGTTCCCATGACTGTACGAGTGGTAG